CAAAGGGGGTCTAGATCTTTTTCCACTTGCTGGTTTAGCGTGTATAGAGTTGGCACAGGCAGTGAGTTGCATTCACATTAGCTGAAAATTCTTGGATATTCTAGATTTCAGGCAGACTCATGGTTGAAATGACTCATATATTTGAGTTAATGGCAGCACTGCTTCGTCTACATGTATCTTACAGAGGATAAGCAGAAATGCAGCTTTGACCTGAGTTCATAGCCCAGTTGATGAGGTAACCAGTAATCTAAGCTATGCAGCTGTTATGACTCCAACACATTTCATACATCTTTGGAGACATTTGTCATACATGGTTTCCCTTGTCCATCTTTCATGCCATTGAGTGTATCTGTCTTGCCTAAGGCCATGTGCATTATGTCTCTGCAAGAACATGGGCACTGTGTTCTCTCTGAGAAGTGCAGTGACATTTCTCTTTTCTTTTTAACATTGTCATTCCAGCCTCCACATTGAATTTTGTCATGTGTTCACCAACCTCAGACTAAACATTCAATCATAACCTGAAATTATTATAGCTGCACATTTATTTAGATTTATTTGTTTATATTTTATTTTTAAGGATGAATTTTATTGAGGTTTGTAGCAGTGCATGTAGCGCTTATTTCATTGTGTGTACATGCAGTCCATATTTTTGTCTAGATTATAGGGTAATTTTGTTATTGATTCTACAAAATAGAGGTTGTTCCATTAAAACTATGAGACAACCTTAGAATGTTTTGTAACGTTTGGTTTTTAATTTATCGGTATTTTGTTTCAAATTTGCAATACACTGCAATTTGTAACATCTGAAGTGCACACTGTCCTTCAATATTGCGCATTAAAGTTATATAGATTGTACTCAGGAAAAATACCAACTAAATCTACTTGTCCTGCTTGTGAATTTTTGGTGTCGTTTCAACTTATAATATTTATTAACAGCTATGTACCTTATTTTCAAGTGAAGATTTAAATGTTGTGAAAAGAAGACAGGTTATGTAGATGATTAATCTTGCACCATCCCATTAACCTGCTATCTTCACCAGTTGTTCTCCATGTGGCTTGGCATTATCTGTCAGGGTCACATTAATTATCCAGCTTCTCTCATTTGTTAGAACTTCATCACTTGTGTTTGTCTAGAAGGAATTGGCGCATATTTAAAACTCACCATCATCTCTCCCCTGAAAGGAGCAGGATCGTGAGTACATGTATGTCATGTGGAACAAATATCATTTTGAGAGTGATGTGTTTTAATCAAGAGCGCCTCTCCGACCACGATCATATTTTTTTGCAAAGTGAAGAATACCAACGACAGTCATCGGTGTCCCGAGGGCAGTAACTCAGACAAGCTGACGGTAGCTGGGCCAAGTTGAATTACTTGGCCTATATCAGAATCACGTCTTTGCCTGTCTGTGAGGTTGAAACCTGTGCCATGGCTCACATTTCATCACAGTGTGATTATGTTATTCCTGTCGCTAATCAGAAGCTGATATGAGAAACATGAATGGGATTGCAGTCGTAGAGCACTCGGCATGTCAGGTTGCCATTCACACAAAGCAATCACTTGGCTGTAGAGCATTTGTTGATGTTATTAAGTCACAACTTCCCCATCACCTAGTCTGCTTCGTAAAGGCTCTTCATTATACTGGATGAAGATTAAACTCTGCTAACTTAGAAGATTGTCGTGAGCTCTCAGTCAGACACAAAAACCAGTTGGTATCCTTTCCTTTAATGTGGTTGAACAACACCAGGAGCTCATTTCCAATTTATCACAAATCTTACATACTATATTTCAACCACAATATTTAACATAAGTTGGATTCTGTCCTCCAACTTAAGCTGTGTCATTTGTTTGTTCATTCATTCGCTCGCTCGTTCCTTCCTTCCTTCATTCCTTTGTTTTGTTTTGTTTTGTTTTTTATTTTTTTTATTTTTTTTTCCTGTTCTAACGTGTACAGCTTTTTGCACTTTGATGATGGTTAAATAAACACTGAACTAAACGCACATCACATGTTAACCCATGTTGTTGGTGTATATCCTAAAGGTTGTGGATAATGTGAGCACCTCAAAATATGTTAACAGTGCAGAAAAACTTCCTCCCTCTTCTTTGACCCCTCCCAGTTTCTCAGACTAGATTTGTAAGTGTGATCTTTGTTGTAGCTTTATTACACTCTTCAGATAATGATTTCCTGTTCTTTGTCCAATTTTATTAGCCAGATTTATTAGCCAGTTATATCTTATATGCTTACAATGTTGTATCTCATCATTTTACACCCACATTAGAGATTTTCCTTTTTAAATTTCCAGGCCCTCAGGATTTCTCCAAAGACTCCAAGCTCACTCAGTACAAAGAATGACATCTCTCCAAATTACCTGCCTGTCATGTTATTCTTGCCTCCCAGCTCTAGTCATCAGTGGACCTGCTTTCTCTCACCGCCAGCAGATACCGGGCGCAATCAATGCTGCATGACAGTGCTTAAATTGGGAATTGTTAAATGAGGAAGAGATAGCTGTGGCTACTAGCATTTCTCTGCAGAAGTAAAATCGATGGGTCGGTTTGATGGCTTCCTGGTGAAGTCATCAACACTACACCCCAGACATTCTTCCTTCAGCTACTTAGGAATAAATTGAGCCGTCCATCATTTTTGTGCAACTTCTATAAGCAAAAACTTTGCACTGCTTCATTACACATCAATTATGATGTGAGCCAACTTTACTTAGCGAATTTCTGCCACATCAAACACTTTTCATTATATTTTCTGATTGCTTTGAAAAAATTACAGGTGTGTTCTGTTTCTTTTTTATATTTCACTTTCAATTAATTTTGACTCAGCATAACAGGAGCAAGCCATGGAACCAGTGCCACTTTTTGATCTAGGAGCTCAGATCCACTGACTTCACCATCCATTTCAGCTGCATTCAGCTTTTTAAATTCCACTAGTTAAAAATTGACTTTAGTTTTTACAGGGTTTAATCAGAGTGCTCCAACCAGTTTGTCATTTTGGCATTTGTGCCATCTGTTCATCGTTTTGGGGCAGAATATGGCCTGTAGCCTGTAGCATACGAACAGAGTGGCTGATTGCTACACACCCGCAGAGTATTGATATACAATCATCCTGGATGATCCATCTTTCATTTTCCTGCCTACCGTTGGTGCACCTTTCTCTAGTAATCAGCCCCCTTTGTTGTGTATTCATCAGGTAGAGTCCTTTAGCTTTGCTAGCACCTATCCATCTTAATGATTTGAAGTGTACCAATATAGCCACACACCTTTACAGCTGTTGTACCGCGTCTGAGCTGGTCTGTCTTGATGGTCTTCCCCTCATTACATTTTCATCCTTTCCTCATACGTTTTTCCTATCTTTCACTTCAACTGATGATATATTGTTGGCTTTTGAAACATGCATTTGATATATGAAGATGGAATAACCAAGTTCAGTGATAAATTGTGACATTTTCCTTGTTGGGTGTGTTTCTTGTTTTGACTTTTGCTGGAAAAGTCTAATTCCTCTGTAGGCCCAGGTAGTCCTCTGTAGGAAATGTGTAGAGCATAGCCCGACTGTTTTCATTAAATTAATTCAGTCCTGCAACAGATGGTCCGATGTGCATTCATCCATGCAATTCACTGGTGAAACTACAAATCCAGGCATGCCAATGTGCATGTAGCATCACATGCAATGTTTATGAACAGATCAAAAGAATGTCTATGTGTTTTATCTTTCTGCGCTTAAATATAGGATTTTGCATTTCCAACAGTTTGACATCAACACTCTTGTACAAGAGAGGGTATCAGATGTCAAACACGTTTGTATCAGTTTTCGGTTTCAGTTTGTTGGTAGTGTTTTTATTTTAGGGCCTACATCAGAACTGAGAGCGACAAAGAGTGATGGTCATTTGTTGGTTTAGGATAGGCAGGAATGCTGGTTTAGTTAATATTTGGTAATGTATTCATCAAGGATAGTTTGTAACTTGGCATCAGCCTTTGCATATTTGTAGTTGTATTGTTTAACGGGACACTAGGTCACACTCAGTGATGACTTTCTCATTTACAAGACTATAGTTCGTTATCAGAGGTTTGGTGATTTTTACACTTCCTTGTGCTGAAGAACGTTTGTAAGAATACTGTTTCTTTTGGGAGCTGAAATGCAAGGACTTACACATGTGCCCATCAAAGATGGGCGTGAAAGTTGTTTGATCTGATGGAAGTGCTTTCTTTAGAGGTCTTGGCTGGATATACTGCATCTCTTTCCACCGCTCCAAGTTTCTGTGTATTGAATCACTTTAAGATAGCTGATGCACATCTAGTATATAATAAAACCAGATGGCTTGATTCAATGCTGACACGGCTGTCTGACTACATCACTGCATCATGTCGGCATGGTACATGCTCCTGGATATTTTAACCGGCTGGGAATGACTTCAGACGTGCTGGTTAGCAGTGCATCCACGGTTGGTTAGACACACGTAACAATCATCTTTGATAGGCAAGAGTATATACGGGGGTGAGATTTCTCAGCTTTTTTGCTGATTTCAGCTTTTTTGTTATGGATTTCATCTTTTTCCTCACTGGCTGTGTACAAAAGAATAGGAGATTTTCATAGTTCAGTTTTATACCTTTTTTCAGCTGTTTTCAGCTATTTTTACCATTGGTCAATCTCACCCCGGTATTAATGGCTGTGGCATTATCCAGAGAAAGGGACACCTTAATAAAGGCTTCTGAACTCTGGTTGCCATGGTAACTAATGCTGGCAATTTTTGCTTAACAGGTCACTACCATCAGGTGCAAGAAAAGACATTTTGTTGATGTTCTTTAGTACTAACCCAATTCACTTTTGTGTACAATACAATGCAGCAAAAATTCTTTAGTTTGTACAAGTTGAAACACATCCCAGGAGTATTTGGGCCCAGGATAAACATTTGAACTCGCAAATTACTACATCAGAACACACAGCACATATTCATCCAAAAATTAAACCTATTCTTTCTCTGTTTTTGTTCTTCCCAAGGCTGGTAAATATATGATTGACTTCAACGCTACCCACTGTACCCCTCTACCATCGCTAATGTTCGACCTGCCATGGTCAGTACAAGAGGATTCATTTACCACTGAGATGGATTGAGGAAGGCTCATTATCTAGTCCATTAATCGGTTTGATGTAGCTGGTTGGGTTTAACGAAGCACAAAACACTGAACTATGAAGCGAAGAAGACTTACCAACTGATGTTACCCAGTCAGATAATCTAATGATAATCCAACTTGCAATCAGGTTTAATTTGGCGTAGAATGGGGATGAATTGCTGATGACTTTTTCATGAAATATTACCAGTTAACTGATTAAATTGTAAATGTCGTAAATGTCAGTTTAACCGATACCAGTTCAAATAACAAGTAAAGGACTTAAGGAGGAACTCGCCAGTTCGTTTTGTCTGTTAACCATCTCGGCACACAGTTTAATGTATTTTGGTCCTTCAATTCTGTGGAGTACAGCCTACTTTTACTCTGTCAATTAGGTACACCTTGGAAACTGTTCTATGAAACCTTGCCAATAAATCGGATTGATATCAGTTTATTCGGTTACCTATGCGATGTAAAAGACACGGTGCTTTGTTGGTCATGTCTGAAACACTTCGATGCGGCTGTAGCCTAGCATTGAGATGATGCAGTCAGTTGAAGACCCATTATTATTATGATCTGAATCATATTTGCTCTTTTTGCAATGACATTAGAACTATTATCGTGATCTGAGTCAAAATTTGTATGTACATGTAATACGGGTGATTCCCAATAGTGCGCCTCCAAGAGTTTGATTCGCGTTGGCCAATCACAACGCGCGAAATTTGTCGACCCTTTCCAAACGCACATTGGGTCGACAAATTTCGCGCATTGTGATTGGCCAACGCCTTGCAAACTCTTGGAGGCGCACTATTGTGAAACGCCCGTATTGTCTATCTGTGAGAGTGCATGATGCTTGGATGTGAAAGAGTGAGTAATGCCTTATCATGTATCTTAATAATAGAGAAATAGTTAATCATGAAGTTCATTGTGTGTTTTGTCAGCATCAACCATGTGTCCATTTTAAACTGAAACATCGGACACAGTCTGTCTGGTTTTAATCTTTGTTGAAATAGCATCTCCCAGCCAACACCCAAGATCGTTATTTTTCTATTTCCTGACAACGTAATCAAAGATTCTTTAGCTTTACATACACACGACGTCATAGGTGATGTACTTCGTAATTTTGCACAATCCGGTTCGTAAATGACTTCGTCACAAAGGCGGACACGCCACGATCTGCAGGCTCCCATTGGACGATTGCTAGAGTTGCGGGTTAACTTCCGGTTCCACGGTTCCATGTAAACGGCGATCAATGCATGTAACTCTATGTGCAGTGGGCGTGGCTTAAACGGAAGTGACGTCACACTTACGAACCGGATACAGTTAGAGCTACTGACAGTATGAAATGTCTGTTGTTGTTTTTTTCTCTCAACGCGAGAAACACATTGAAGATCGTTTGAACTGATCTTTGTATGAATGACCGCTTCTCCACAAAGACTTTCCCCTAGCTGTGTTTACTTGGTTTTCCGTTGTCCCAGTTTTCGTTGCATCCTTTAAGTGGACGTTTACAGATTTGGATACACAGCGCAATGAAAATACATCTATCATAACAGACACCTCATTGATACAATCGGAGCTTACAGAAAATAAACTTAACATAGAAATATGTTTATTAATATATTGATGCATTAATTGAAGATCACAAATAAATACATGTATAAATACAAATTTTACTTGAATGCAGAATTTGGAATAAATAGGAATAACGTGTAATGTGTGTTGTCAACCCACTACAGCGTTTCGCTTTCGCTTGTTTTTTTTACGGCATGTGCCTGGCGAATTTAACCCCAATCTTCATTTTTAAAGTTTGCTGTTAATGAAATCAATGAAATGGTGTTGAACCACGTGGTATAGAGTAAATCTGTGGAAGCTACTTGCCACACGGATTCTGGAAACGCTTGTCTGGCTTGTCTGGGCTTAAGTAGTTGTAGCAATCACCCTTTGTATCGAAATAATTACGAGACATCTGAAACAAATTATGTATTTTCATTAAGCATGCTGATTCACAATGGAAGTTCTTATGTTGATTTAGAAAAACCTGTCAGATGGATGAGGGTGTCAAGATGTGTTTTAAAGTGGATATTTTATTGTGAAAATAGGCAGCGTCTATTGTGTACAAATGGGAGCTTACGAATTTATGGCAGGTAATAAAAACTGACTGCTGTGATGTCAAATTCACCCTAAGATAGCGGGAATCGAGTTTGTTTATTGCGTACTTTCATGAACTGTCCTTGGCCCTCTTTGAAATGTTCGAAGTAATCGTGATTGGGAATTTGTTGTGACTGACGAGTGTCAATGTCACTTGTGAGCAGCTCCCTGAATGACATTTGGGAGAAAAACATATTCCGCTGAAGCACGCAGGATGGTTTAAATTGTTATTGTAAAGTGTCCCAAAGTCCAGACTCTAAAGTGTGCCTGTAATATGTCATGTCTTTCTTACGTACATGTATCAGCTTTCTGCTAAATAGTGTACAGGTAAACTTTATTCTTTGGAAAATATCTTGCCAGCCGCTATCAGGTTGGTTACTAAGCCGGGGGCTAGCGTAAAACGATATTACCAATCCAAAATGATCAGAATTCTGCTGTCAAACAAAACCGAATGTTGTTTGTTCCCCCAGTGTTGGGAATGTATCTTGTGTTCTGTAACGTCAATACTGTGCGTTGTACTCTCTGCGGTCATTGGCCAGATGGTACATTTTCTTGTCCCAGAAAAAAATAGGTTGGTAACACGAGACTGAGTATTTCATATACAAGGAGAGGTGACTCAATCAAGGACTAGGCGTAATTGGCGGGCTGTCTGGAACGATTTCGGTCAACTACTTGCCTGCTTTGCTGGTCTCTTGCCCGATACCTCATGGATGCCCTGTGTACTCGAAGCACTCTAGTTTTCAACAGCATTCATTCGGTTACAGCTCTCCATTTTGGAGAGTTTGCCGCGGGGATTTTAATAAGGAGATCTCGTTCAACAAGGAGGGGATCTTTCTCAAGTCTTGTACGCTTGAATCATGAGTTTAGAGTTTCATAACCTTTCACATCAAAGCTAAAGGAAGTTTGAACTGATGTGAGGTGTCTTTATTACCAAAAACTGTCTAATATGATTTCTAAAGCACATGAATTGTGTTCTGTTACATATTGTTAACAATGAGTTATAAATTAGTTGAGGTTAAGCGCGGAGGTACGAGTACATGTAACCTTTTATTATAGTTTACGAAACGAGCGTTTTGGCATGTTTTTGCAAATGCTCTGCGGTGTCTTATTTATGCGCGGCGCTTCTGCTGTTAAAACGCGTCAATTTTAGGACGCGTGCACGTCATACGTTCTGCTGACCCTGTTTTGTACGTGATTTTTCATGCATTTATTCCACTCTTGTCTTGTCAGTTCGGGCACATCTGTGTCCGGTCAAGACATTGTGAATAAATCATTACGATGTTTTCAGAGTGTCACTCTCCAGCCCAATTAGCCGGGTAATGATCGAAAATACGTTGGATGTTTGTCAGTAATAGAGATAATTGAACGAGTCATATGTGCCTTGCAGTCAACTTGCTATGGTGTGAAATATTCAGCAGATATGGACGGTCTTCGAATGTAAGGAACCGACATGATCTTTGTAGATACAGACTACCACAGCCTGACATTTAGATCTCACGCTGACAAGTTTGAGGGCTGTTGGCAAATACAAAAGTTACCTTTTCTGTGAAATGAAAAAGGTCACTGCCGTAAGAAACTATAGTTTAGAATTAGTTGTCTTTTTTAGTTGTGATTTTCTTGTTGTGTGCCTTCCGTTGGTTTCTTTTGACAACTGTCTAACCTATTTCCAGTGTAATGTTGGTATGTAGGTGCAATCCTCTCGCCAGTTTTTGAATGTCTTTGAAATGACAGTTACAAAATGAATATTTATAATGAGGCATTTCTAGACCTGTTTGAATTTTACAGTCGATTAGGCCATGAAGACGCATATTTTACATTTGCAAACAAGTTTTGCGAGAACATTGTGTTCTGGTAATTGAACAAGTCAAGGTTAGTTTTCAATTATTTTCTATTAGAAAACGCTGCATGGTTCAATTAGTGCAAGAAGGTTGTGGGTTTACACTCACAGACTGGATAAATAGGGTAGAAAAGAATGAAAATAGCCTAAATCGGCAATTATGTAGCCAGCGATTTCCTTGACACCACAGGGAATTAACCAGTTACACACCTTCCTAATCCTAGCAAGTTGACCTATCGGGAACTATTTTCATACCATTCCGCCGGTCGTATAATCATTAATTCCCTTCCCGTGTATCCCTGTCCGCAAAGCCAGTGACCGATGAGAATCAAGGGGAGAGAAAAAGCCCGTCATCTTGATCGACAAATGCCGCTGGATGAATATTAGGTCTTGCTGATGATGGTTGTCAGTTGTTGATGCGCCAAGGGGGACGGTCCCATTGGCGCCTTTCAACTGGTCACTCACTCACCTTTTCTTGCTTTTTCTTCTTGGCACATGTTATCTTAGGCTTGGTGTTGATCGGTCCATCCGTGATTCGAATTCGTTAGGAAGTTCAGAACGTCACTTTTTAGGATTTCTGACATTTCAGAGCGGAATTTCGACAAAATGTTCAAGATAAATGAAGCCCATCATGTCATGCACGACGTCCAAGCTATGCTCAGCCTAACATCTGTTGGAAATAGGCCTATCGAATTGTAAATTTTTTTTCCAATTGTCTTACTAAATTCAAACTCCTAACCATCATTTACATCTTGTGCAATGGAAGTTGCATGACTCTCGAATATTTGAGCATAGAGTGTATTGCACCCTGCCGGCCAGATTGTCGCTAATGAGAATCAGTAAGAAATTGTACCTTCCTAATTGACCTGACCGTTTGCCGTCAGCTACCGGTGCAAATTGATTTCCCTCCGCAGGTTAGTAGTGGCATTCACGTTGATTCCGTATTAATCATCCATGCATTTATGTAGGATTCACTATCACTGGGAATAATCACTGAGACTTGTGACTTCGATAAGATGTATAAGTGAATTGGGAAAAGAAACACGATTCCTTCTAATCCGTTTGAGCTTGAGCGGTTGAAACTGAGTTGAATAGTGGACGACTTGATTTTTTCTTACCGGTTGTAAGGTCTAGAAATATTTCCCCATACTTTAGAGTAGCCTTCGTGTATTACGGTTTTCTGTCACCAAAACTTCAAAGAAGACATAAGTATAAATGATAGTGTAGTGCATGCCGCATCATTGAAAAGGTGATTAGTTGTATAACAAAGACCGTTTGCCAAATACATAGTGTTGCTAAATTGGGTTACTTGCACAGAAACACTAACCCAGGCCATCACGATTTGGGTCCTTTTTTAACATTAAAGTTGGTATTTTGAGAATGTTGATATGGAAAATTTTCCTTTAAAGTCTTTGTCTATCCAATCAAGTGCAAAATATAAATTATAAACTCCCGGTATTCCAACATGGCAACCTGTCTTGTGAAACGTTTGATATGCTACCAGCTCAATTTCTGTTATATGACTACCATCTCATAATTACACCCAAGTCCGTAGAAGCTTGACTATTATTCCTCTTGGCATCCAAATAACCCAAAGGAGTAAAGGATAATTCGATCTGTGTCAATCAATAACCATCTCCCCCTTCCCTTGCGCCTCTTTATCAACCAGGGCACGTCTCGTAGTCTTATTAAAACAATGGCTGCAGCACAAAGTCAATAGCGTGCCACGTGATACAGTTTGTCTTCCCTGAATGGCCGTTGATGATGTTTGTTCTTATTAGCCTAGTAGAGGCTGAATGGAGATTTCTTTTGTACCTCCAAAATGAGAGAAGGATGCCGTGCATGCAAATTAAAGTTGGCTGTGCATTCTTCAGTGGTGTTCCGAAACACCATTCATTTTTGCGTCTGGTTTCCTTCATCGTTTAAACTCAGAACACCATTTTTAAATGCAATACGTCTTCAGACTGTAGTATTTCGTTGAACCTCGGATACCAAGTGACTTGGTAAAGATATGGCCTTCCTCCTACTAGAATTATGCGATCATCCGACGTGTTGGGATATTTAGCTTTAGCGTTTATTTTAATATGAGGTTAGTCCTTGTAGATACCTTGGAATACCACATGGTCTTAGTAAAGTTTCACCTATTCCTTATAATCAATGATCCCGGTTCATTCTATTCAGTGAAAATTGATTTCACACCTTTACGGCGGTACTTTCTGTTGTTTACGGCACCCGGTCCCATTACGATCGATGTATAATTAAATGATGGCATAGGAAAGGAAAAGGCGCTTTGAAGCATATGTATGTGTACTTGCACGGTGGACTGGTGCACAGGGTTCTCTACGCTAGCGCAATGAGCCTTTGATCCAAACCGACTGACGCGGTTATCACCTGCCAAATTTACACGAAAACAGAACATGAATATTGATTCATTATACTTTAAATTTTAGTGACAGGTGCTTTTCTTTTGTCTTCTTATTTTATATTAATTTGATGCTTACTTGGTTCAGTTTTTGATTATTCAAACCGATCATTTTTTAAGTGTGACTGTAGGCTTTATAACATTTCTTGGATTTTCCTTAAATTCCTTGTGCCTCTGCGGAAATGTTGCTTTCGTAATCGCAGTCTCTGCCACCGTAATGTTGTTTCTTGGTTCAAAAGGCAATAGAATATACAGTTCATCAGTGCAAGCTCTTCGCTACTTGAAACACGGTCCTGTTTGTTTGGTTTTTTTGTGTTTGTTTTCTCCAAACAAGTATACCTCATCCAGGGATCCATTCCAGACATGGAAATGGCAAGCAGCGCCTGAACGATTGTAAGTAACATCTGTTTCCTCGATTCTGGCGGTTCTGATGTGATCAGGGTCCTATACATACTAGCAAGCTGCCGACTATACTCGCCCTGTCTTGCCTATCCCTGCCCCCAGCTGTTCAATTTCATTTCCAGTCTTCAGAGCTACCCAAAGTCACCGTGCCTATCACCAAAGTCGGCTCAGATTACGACACTCCAGTGAAAATGCGAGTGTAAGTTTAAAGGGAAAAGTGTGTAGTATAATATAATCATCAGCCAATCTAAGCTTCCGGGAAGTATTTTCTAACGAGTCATTTAAATTGAACACTTGGAATGGTAATAGTTCATGCACCACGTTTCGTAGAGCAAGAACATGCCTTATCAATTAAATATGAACTGTTTGTATGTAATCATCGTTTTACGGATATCATGCCACAGTTATGAGATGTCTGAAGACGTACAGAGGCTTTGTCACTGTATTATCACCATAATTTCGCGTGTAGGAGGTGAATTTAAGACATGTCATTAGTTCATTAATGCAATAGGTAAATTGTATATATACCTTGTATCACCCGTTTTATTTAGTGAAGATGCTTTTGCGTTAGTCGTTGCAGGACGTGATAGATCCATCTGCAATGCCACGACAACACCGACAGCACGGCATGACGAGGACATGCGCAGTGAGATTTCGTACCGTGGTAATGTTGCATATAGAGTGCTGTTCACATTGACAACGGACATTACACATGCAGATGCGTGAAATAAACTCACAAACAAAATAGGGTTCATTATTTTACTTGGTGTAGAATCGCGAGTGTATTGACTGATGGGCTTACCCATAGTTTGTCACGAGCGGTAACCGTTCCGTTGTTTGTTACAGCCCATGGGTTGGACAGGAATCGTGATCGACTCGGGCCAATTTACTGCCCAAGGGACCTGGGCATTTCTGCTTGATGTTACTGTCTTGTATTTGATCACTGGTGATGAATAGTATTCACATAAGTTTTTGAGTTGAAATTTAAAGGTTATCATCGCTGTAAAACCAAAGGGAAAACTTCAGGCTGATTGTCAAGGAACAGGACTTAACCTGCTGTGACACACCACGCCATTTAACTTCGGGTAAGCCCTTTTCCGTGTTTGGTTTATTATGTACGTGTTTCTTTGATCTCTAATGCTTGCATTTTTAATGAATCGACTGTTCTGTGTTTGAGTGCAACTGGTAAGTGGACTTGATATGAATAAGAAGTTGCCTCATGATGCCAAAAAGAAGGTGAGGCTTCAGTACTATGGTCTAATTAACGTTTCAAACGTCTTGCGTTTGAAACCAATACTTGACATTTTCGTTCGGCATTTTTAAGGGTATTATAAGCTTAAAAGGTTTGTGTTAGAAATGTTGGTTACCGGTACCTTACAACATTTTAGCAGAGTCTTAAGGGCTAGTTGATGCAAGCAGCATTAAAGTAATATGCACATACGAAATGCATAATTGATGACGAATAATTCACGGACGTTTTTGTATAATGGAAGATTCTCAAGTTCTTCAGGTCTTGTCAATGATGTTTTATGGCGGATTTTAGTGTCAAGGTAGTACCTTAACAACTAACTTGGATTTTAGTCTTTATAAATGCTATTACTTTTTATCTCTGTCTCCTTTAACAGGGCTGTGCAAGTCTTTGGTGGAATTCTATGGAGATTTGGCTAATTTTAGTCTTCTTTTATGTTCCACGTGTAGCATATCTTGATTTAAGTCTTTATAGAGTTGCTTCCCAATAACATTCGTTTTTTACTTATTCTTTTACCTGCGTGGGATTCCAATCTTGCATTTAGTCTCGCTTGCGGTTTCTTAAGTATTGCGCGGTCAGGTATGTAGTCATGTTATATCTTCCGTAAGTTATTCCTCTCTGCGTGTGTATCAGCTACATTAACAAGATTTAGCTGATGGGGTCTGTGCTGTGATATCCTTAATAGGATTACATGCACTCTGCAGTGGTGACAGCCTTGACTTTGTTCCTATAAGGTTGTGCTTAATAGGATATCGTTTTTAGACACACGGAACCACTCTTGTATGATACCCTGGGTTGAAGGTTATGGCTAAGAAAGTCGTATAGCATTAAAGTGTCATATTAGGCGAGCCCTAAGTGGTAAAGTGGTGTAATAGTTGTTCCCAACCGCTGTTATTTTTGGATGGGTCATCGCCAGAAAATGCAAGTGCTTTTGAAGGCTACTGAGTATCATTGTCACTAAAATAACCAGCGTTATTTGTCGTTTTGTTGTATTTACAAAAAAGCGGAACTACACAAATTACATTGCTTCTTCGTAAGTTAATATAAAACACCTTTCTACTATATTATAATCATTGCTGCAGTTAGTCACAACAGGTAGGCCTACATATTGGTTTATTGGCACAAAATGATTAAAATCTCCACAGAATACTTCCAAATTATTTCTCACTAATCTGTATGCGAGTCATTGGGCTGCGACAGTTAAGCACATATCCACGTACCATTTGCTGGATGTATATCAACTCTTGTAGAATGTTTTTTAAATATATTTCGCAGGCATGGGCCAGAGTGTTTATTGCATTAAACGATGTTTATTTTATTGCATTACATGCGGCGACGTTCAACGCCCTAGTATAAAGTGCACAGGCACTAAGATCAGTGATGAAAGCAACAGCCTCATATTGTCATAAGGCAGATTAACGTCACACACTCCCCCAGCATGTAAAAGGAAATGCTGTGAAAATATGAGTAATTTCCATTCGTTAATATGGCGACATTTCAAGGTGGAATTTGCTTCGTGCAGTGTTGCGCGTCCCTTGTAGCTATTAAACGTACCACGGTTGCAGGTTGAACGCGCCAGTAGCGGGACTTCATCAGACGTTGCATCAGCCGCATTATACATTAAACTCGCTTTCCGTAGTCCATTTCAGTTATTATATTGCACGGACATGTTTTGTATATATAGCCATAATTTGGTATTGTTTTCTTGTCCAAGTCATGTTCCATTCCATTGCTTTTTGTCCATCAGACAGTTGCATTTTCTATCACGTTAATAGACTGGGACATTTGCGTCCTTGATACATAGCTTGACCATTTTTGAAGTTGCCGATGTCGCTTGGAATTAAAGAACCCGTTTCTGTCACTCTTGTGGAAAAGTTGGCATGCAGTAAGAGGTATGGTGAAGAAAAAAGTCAAGAATGACAGATAAATTGTGACAAGAAATCACCTTCGGTGTATTTTTTCAAATAAAGGTTCACAAAAAAATACAAGTATTACAGTAGATCTTAACTCATCGTGTTCCGATCACAACATCAATCATCGATAGAATGCGATCAGCTGTATTCAGCAGCATCTATCGGCATGTTTCACCTCACTGGTATTTTAAAATAAACAGGATCTGCACAATTCTCGTTTAGTTTAAACAAGATAAATCACCGTGACATTTCAATTTTAACAAGTACAGGTAATTCAGGAGATCGTTTTCCGCGTCCGAGACCCCCTGGAGTATGTTCACCAAACGCGCCTGTCACCTAGATTCCCCGGGCTGCGTGTGCTCTTCGCTCTAAATCATGGCGCTGTAATGCTGCGGAGCAGACATTATCGAGACAAATTTCCCAGAACAATGTGATTAGACACGAGGATAAATCGTTTAGCGTGTATCGCTGGTTTTTTAAAGAAGATCGAAATTCGGGCACTTGCAGAATTCTTCCGCGGAAGTCTTGTTGGGGAAGGACTTAGTTGAATATAAGTTAACTTGTCCAGTTCTCTCAAAAGTAGTGTTCTTCTTTTAGTGCAGGTAATCTTTTTTGGAATTACTTTGTCATCGCTAAGAACATTCTCAATACGCTCATTTTAATCGGTCATTTCAGTCAATCCATACAAAACGAAAAACTCCCTTTTTTCGATAATGGCATGTGATGCTACTGATGGACTTTTTTAACTTTATTCTATTCTGGTCACCGATGGGTAATCAGATGTACACGCAGCTCTTCGAATTTCAAATACAGTAGGTGGACGTCACAATCAAGTTGGATCGTATATGTTCGTGTCAGTGTGTATCCTAGATTCGACACTAAGGTACGGTGAGCTATGAGGACATCAAGGATTTCTTTTGCCCTCCTGTCTTTTTGAAAGGATGTGGAACGCATTATGGATGTCGTGAGGTTTCCTGAATCGATTCAGATGTACTTTGAGAAATTGTGTTTTGGTGGACTTGACTGTCAGACGGAATGCTTGAAGTACATTTCTGCACCCGTGGCTTGGCGATGTAACCCTGCATGGCGCTCCCTTTAAGCTTCACAGGGTTCCCAAAGAGTATTTGGAGACGTGATAGTTGAGGTGACAGTCTAATATTTGTGATAGACGTAATGGACCATAGATGTGCTCGAAATCGATGAGGTGTATGAGGTCAGATCTTTGCCTACATTCTGGGTTGGGCCAGGAGACAAGGATGGCAATCCAGCCAGCATAGGGTCCGATCAAACATTCTTGATTTGCAGAACATGTTGCTCCTAATGGATGTTTGCCCCCTCAGGACCGAGGAAACCCAATAAAAGGGGTGAGGTCGTACTCTGAGCAGTCGATCAGATTAGATTTCTGCTTAATCTTTCTTCCCTAACTGTAGTCTGCATTCTGCAGGCATTGCAAGACCAATTCATCACCGTTATCCTCGATTTCATAGAGGTTTTTTGGCATAGGTATACCCCCTTCAGTAGTCAATACAGAATGAAGAATTTTTGTTCATCCGTAAAAACGTCTTAAGTTATGGATATCTTCCAACTTAAAGAGCACCAGAGACGCGCTACATTATAGCATAAAAAGAAATCACCACCAAAAATGACTAAACTCTTTTGCATGGCTTCATATATGTCGAAGTAAAATGCACGCCAAAGGAAGTTCTGTAATAGACTTCAAAAAGCCAAAAAAAAATTGCTTCGTAGAATTAGAAGCCAACTTCACTCAAACCACCTCAAAGTTGTATCTAAGTTTTTTTCGCGATGTTTGTTCACCGAGAATACGTGATTTGCCGTCTCGTTTGCGTTTGCAGTATGCGCTGTACTGAGCATGTACATATAAGTTTCAACATGTTTGCTCGACATCGTGTCACTTCCTCATACTCCCAGATTACCTGCCTCAAAAAGCGTCGCGAGTCCTGGTAATTGCCGAGGAGGAGACGCTGTGACGTCCCCTTGATCTCAGTCCCTCTATCTTGACCTAATTCCGAGCCTGTTAAGGACTCTCCTGTGTCTGCTCTGGGGCGTTTCTTCGCTTCATTGCCCCGTCCGCTGGGTTGGACTGCCAGGGTGTACTTTCCAGCTCCGTGGGGTTGAGTTTACTTTATCACTGGGTAGAAATTAACCTGGAATACACCCACGGCACCTTGAACATCAGATATATGAAATTTCTTGAGATGGCTTCTTTGCTACATGCTTCAGTTCCCACCAGTGTTTATGGCGCGTTCTCCTAATGCACACATCCGGAGGTGATTAGCGATTGAAGGTGAAATATTTCATATCAGTTCAGTGTTGGTGTACTGGGAAAAGATTCACCAGGCGTCAATGACACAGTGTCATCGCTATTGAGCCTACAGCTTGGATTTACATGTATTTCCCCTTGAGTTGCAGCTTCGCCCGATTGTGTTATACTGCAGATGCTCCCTTGATGGGACGCACAGGCGGATGGTTGGGTGGCTCCACTGTCTATTGTGGCTGTGGGCAATTTTCGAGATTTGTTTTCCTCGATGATGGCAGAAAGCTAAGAGGGAAATACTCTCATGAGGTTAAAGAACCGTTGCTTGGTGTATCATCTCAGACCGGTTGGCAGTAACATTTGTGTAATTCACATGCATGTGTTTCGTGTTGAATGAATGTAGTACGCTCAAACCATGCAGCATTTACATTTGGCTAAAAACCCCTATGTTAACCATCGTGAAGGGACGATTTAACCGGATTACCATACTTTTACAGTGATTGACTTCCATCCCCTTCCGTCTTAAGATTTACATCGGTGTTTGTTTGTTTTTTTTTGTCTTCGGTAAAATATTATTGAAAGTTGATACTTTTCAAAGAGGTCTAGTGTACACGCAGTACCGTCTGGAAATTTCTAAGCATGACACTGTTCACATTAGAAAAGTGTTGAAATCAATTTTATAACAGTCCTGTATTCCGTTCTTCCTTTACTCCTCCTTGACTAAGAGATAGTGGCTTGATACTCTTGTAGTCTTTCAATCGTCTCGTTTCAAGAGTTTTTACATTTACTTATTGGCATAGGTTCCCATTTTCAGTTTGAAGTACCATTTTTATATTGGTGGCACAAAATCAGTGATGGAGCTTGAGAATGTAGTGTTGGGGTTATAGCTTACAGTCCTCATTAAGCAAGGTAAAAAAATATACGTGTCATGAAACATGGTCGCGTTTCAAATCGTTGAAAGTATAATTAATTACTGCGTCATTCTGAAACAGTTAAAAGCTGCCCTCTGGATATTTACAAGGCTTTTAACATTATTTTAAGAGGTATTGCGCTCACGACTAGGCGGTTGCCCGCTTGAACTCGGCAGTTACCCATTTGAAACTCGGCGGTTTCCCGTTTAGAATCGTTAAATTGTCCCCAGTAATTAGATTGGACTTGTTCACATTCTTGAGCGTGAACGTGACTTCTGAGCATCCACGCCGATGACTGAATGGGATCGAGAGCTTGAAACCACCAAGACAAAATCTAAGGTGGCAAGAACTGAAGTACAGCTCTAATTAATTAAATAGACGACGGAATCCATTAAAGAACACATCCAAACAATGCCGCAAGCTCTCACTTTATATACACCTGTGTATTTTGATCATTTAAGAGTCATCGATGCTCAGTAATTTAATAACCTCCGAATGAATGTGGCTCAGTGTCAACAATATTATAATTCTGAATATTTGTTCCTGCAGCCGCAGTCCTTTGCAATGATGTGCACCGCTGATTTGATGGGGACCACGTGACCTGGGTTGTTAAGGACTGAGTTGACTGGTGTGGAGGCAGACTGCTCAAGCTAATAGACGTAGATTGGTTGATGCATGAACAGGATGGATGTGTGGTCACCAGTTACATGTAGGCTTCGATTTCTACTTCTCACTGTACTGGAATTGTCTTTGTTGCAGTCTGTCATTACAGGTAAGGCGAGACTCTTCACTTTGATACTGAAATTATGTAATACCAAGTTTCTTTAATTTCTCAGTAATATACGGCGTATGGTAATCTGGCCTTGACGATGTTATACGCTCTTGACTGACATCGTTATCTCAATTAGTCTCAGAGAAAAATGTTTGATGTTTTTGCAAATTCAAATATGTTTTCAGGCTGTGGGAAAAAATGATACTTTTTCATACAGCGTATAGCGACGTTTAACTTCAATTGTAACAAGCTTTTAACATATGTAATTAAAATAACAATGAAAAGAGGGTCATTGCGTCTTCATCCTCAACCCTCTCTTTTTCTGGCATTGTGAATTCAGAAGCAATGGTGGGAAAGTAAAAGTTTATAGTTTCATTTATAACGAATTATTTACGGATTAAAATCACTTCTTTCCAGTCAGAAATTTACAAGATAGCTTATCCTCTTCTGTAACGCATTCTGTTTTTAGGAGAATTCCTGATAGTACATTTCTTCCCAAGCGTGACCAACTATCTTTGATCAAACTCCTTCGATTGATATTTGCCTGTGGCTTGTTTTCTGTTCTCTGTGTCATACCGACCTACTTCTATTTCATGGATTCTAGCGTTACGCCATCTTCGATAAGTCATGTGTTTAAAGTAACAAATTTAAGCCATTTCATTTTACAGTGGCCAACACGGTAAGCCTCCGAAACCTGCATGTTCCTTGACTTGTCACTTTTAGTCTTCCTGTCAGTTTAGCCATTTGAACAAAGTGATTTTGCTCAGAAAATCGTGTCTTTTCACGATCAGTGATATTATGAACCGTTAGTGTCGTATAGCGCAGTGGCTGTTGGCTTAAATGCAAATCATCGTAATAACTAAAACGTCAGTAATTATTATTGATGTGCAGTGGAACTGCAGAAAGTGACATACCACAGTAGCAAATTAATGTGTGATTAACTTATCCAGGAAGCAGTCAAAGGTACTACGTCGGCCAATAGAACTACGATGTGTTCCCAAATCTTCACTTTCCTTTCTTAGGCTAAACTTTCGCTTAGAGTATTCTGTGAAGTCGATTTCTAGCTAGAAGTATAGGCCCAAGGTGACATTATATTCGACAAGCAATCCGCCATGATGAGTCAGTGTAGTGTTTGGTTTCCTACTAGTGGTCTTGAAGATGACAGTCATTAGAATTGGTCTGCAGGCGTACATTCCCACGAACCTACAAGCACGCACAGCTGCCGTATCCCTGTATTTGTCAGTAACTTGGAACATGACTTTGGCATAATTTTACAGCAGCTATGTAGACAAGTATGTAGACAATAAAATCTAAAAATTGAAAAACGTGAGCTTTTGTCTTCGTTTTCCCTCAAACCCTTCACTCTCTTCTTCGATTATTTAACCGGAATATGTACTTAATGTTCTATTGATTCAACGCGTTGCTGGCTATCTAGTTACTCGAAGCAACGTGGTATTAGTCCACGGGCTTGATGAAATTCGATGCGTCTAGTGAAATGTTTATACCAGCTGAAATTACTAGAGTGATCATTACGATAAATGTCGCTCACAACGTTGAGGATGTCAAAATGCCTACAACATTGACGACTTGAACTTTACCATCGTAAAGCTACATTCTCTGTAAAAGCGCTTCATTTTATTTTAATATATTCAAACTTCAGCTGCATGCGTTCACTCTATGAAGACGGTTCAGAGTTGTTGCCGTGATTCTTGTTTATCTCAGTGCAGTCCACCCGCAAAACATTGGAATGGACCAACCAAACTGAGTAGTACTACCCTCCATATCGGATTTAACCCTGCGTCAGTTCCATTCTGTCTTGCTGACTTGTTATTTCCTCCCTCGATCTCGATCAAACCAAGTGATTTCCAATTCCTCTTACCCTCAAATTTCTCAATTCCCTCTCCACACCACATACTGTGAGGTGCTCCAGTCACTGGTCCATCGATAAAACAAGCGCCTCTTCAAATCTAGACGGCCATAACCGCACGTACGGCGGACCGTGGCTGTACGTCTTGGAGAGGTCGATATGGGCGAAGAAGCCTCTTGTGAGTGCGTGGCTGATCATGCTAACCTCGAGAAATGAGTACACACTGGCGATGGAAAAAATCCCTTTGGTGGTGTGGCCGCATAATTATGTCGATGCAAGAAATTAAGTTTGGTTGCCGTCACGAGAAGATCACGACGGAACGAATGATGTCTTATGTGCACGTGTACTTGTGCTTCTGCTTACTCCACTGGATTCATGTTGACCGTATGCTGATGATTCTTACATAACATATTAAGTCAAGCTATTAATTCACAAAGACGGTGATTAATAGAGTGAATGTATACACGCTCAAACGTCGAAAAGGGTACGCTGATTAAAGAAGCTTTCAAAACCACGCAAAGTTACGCGAGACTTCGTGGTGCTGCAAAACTATTCCACTAGTTTCTGTTTTGTTGAAAGTTTTCTTTCAGCTTCTCCATAAGCTTTGTCTCAATTCTCTTTCTCCAACCTTTTACCCACTTTTCTAAGGCAAAATCCCGCTGTAGCCATCACCTTCAGTAATAATGATGTTGCAGACTACCAATATCGGCGATAACATAGTCATATGAACTTGTATGCATTATTTTACTTCAACCTAATTTTTTTTTCCCCTGACAGTTCTACACGGTGGTGAAGGGAATGGATACGCCCTTCCACGTCCCTTCTCGGGCTGCACAGGTAAGGATTTGTATAAGGATGTCGAAGCATAAGGTGTGAGGTTTGTCTGTTTCTTTCTGTCTTTTCCCCATTCAGCCATATTCAATTCCGATGCATAGGCTTTTTTGGCACAAGAGTTTGTGAGAGGTGAATGCACATAAAACTTTGATGCTCATTGGGCCTCATGTCATCCAATTTTTGACTCTCCTTCAGAACACTGGGTTGATTTCCGTGTGCTTATTCGATACTCCAACATCACTGGAGAGACAGACATCTCGAAGGAGTTTAAGATTGGCTTAGACACCGTGGACGATAACACGATTTTGTTCGAGTTCTGCGTTCAAAACAACACGCTGGTGCAAGGTACCATGGACGATCCTGTGATAGAGTGGCCAGCGGGACAGTACTGCATACAAAGTGTGGGGCAATTCGTGAGAAATAACGGCAGATATGAGTGGGTGTTGGGAGATTGTCCGCAGGGATTCAAGTCGGGTAAGACATTTTGTGTTGAATATAATATGAAAATGCTGTCTGTTCAAAATGGGAATAGACGGATTTCCTCCACCTTCAACTGTAAGACAGTTTCTTCTGGTAGTCTAAAAAACCTCTCAACGTTCGACAGGCAGACTTGAATAACTTCACATTTGTCAAGCATGCCGTCATATAGGTCAAGCCTAGAGCCTATAGATACGCCTCTGGCGTAATTTACTTTTTAGTCGTTCGGTAAACACCTTTTTCCCGCAGTTAAAGCAATTATTTGTCTTAGGTTCTGTGGTTTGCTCACTTCCCTGCAGTGAGTCAACCATTTCATTTCTTTTGTTTGTTCGACAGTTGAATGGTTGATTGTTTGTCTATCTGGTTGTCTACTTGGCTTGTAGGATATTTCTCTGTGTCACAGTACCTTGTTCATGACAATTTCGCTTTGTTAATTTGTTCCATCCAGTGTGTTACGAAAAACTGTCTTGATTTTTTCCCCACATTTTTAGGGGTGACTGCATTACCCTTCACTACTTATCCAGGCCAACGCATGTCGGCTTCTACCTCGCCTCTGTCACTTACTTATCGCAACCGAACCCTCATCCATTACTGCTGCTCCACAAATGGTGACGTCAACACACCAATCGATCTGGGAATGGCGGCGCCCTTTTTCCTCCTGCCCTATGGAGAGCCGCGCTGTCAAAAAGTACACAACATGGATTCGGAGTTACAGTACATTGAGTGGCCAGCGGCTGTGCAGCAATGGACCGGAGTCCATCCGTACTCGGTCAGAGGAAGAAAATTCTTTTACTGCTACTATACACCTTTGGGTAAGTTTCGGTGCTCGATCCGACTACCCACTGCTGTTAACAAATGAAGCTTTTCAGAGAAATGCCCCTGTTTGGAACCGGACTGAAATATACATGTATTTATTATGGCATTACCTGAATGAAACAGCTTCATTGTGATTATGTAGGGTCCGGGGGAGACAAAAAACGGCCGAGCTTGCTTGTAGGCTTGAAGTTTGTTTGTTTGCCTGCACTCTCAACTTTTCTCCACAATGGGTAAAAATAGGCCTGAGAATTCCCGACCTTGTTTTCTATCCCATCCGACCCAGTTGACGTCACCGCAATCCCCTCCTACATTATCACTACCTGCAACTGCGATGTAGGTGACTAGGGGGCCATTTCCATTTCACTGATTATATTTAGATCTTGATTATTTGATAAGAAGGGCATTGGAGGCCCTTTCTGGTTATTCATGACTGAAGATAGTCGACAAAATTCTCAGCTTTTCAACAAGCCGCGAGCGAAGTACACGACAGTTGTGTGCCGCGGTTCACTGTGAATAACTTCGGGCGGGTGAAGAAAAGTCCATTGCGCATAATTCACACGGTGTCGAGAGATTTCCCGTGGATGAGACAGCTTCGATGCACGTTCGCAAAGGCTGAAGTACTTATCTATGGGACATGTACTATGTTCCTCAAGCTGAAAGGCGGAAAAGATTGCTCAACAGACTGAAGAAAAACACGAAATACATTCCTCGGGAGTCCAATGGCTTTGTTTTGGTAAAATGGTCTCATGATCAAAGAAGCGGCCAGAAAGCTGTACGAACAAACACTCGGATGTAAGATCATTCCGCTTTTAGAAACAAATTATATCTTTGCTAAGTGTAAATCAGCAAAATTCATCTGAGATCCAGTAACATCAAATTCACAGTGCAGGAAACCTTGGTTGACCCGTTCTAGAGTGTCATTATGGAAGCTAAGTTTCATGGCAGCTAGAAGTGCAAGATAACTATTTATTTTTTTTTAAAAAGGCAGTTTGCAGCACACGGTTCCCTAAAGGCGCCTTTCTATATGCACGTGGCGCCGATTTTGACGGCCGCACGCAACGCACACGTGCTATGTTAATGGAGTCGGATTTTTGTGTCCTTGAAAGTGAAACGCATGAATGCATCGTGTGCGCAATGCATACAAAAACATACATAGCGCCTTAAGAGCATTTCTTTCTTTTTCAGGTGATAGATTCTAGTCATAATGAATGAGCCTGGCTCTGTGCTGGGCTAATACCGGCATGAGGAATGCCGGTATTAAATCTGCAAAAGATTTTTCCTGAGGTGCGTCTCCAAACAGTCTGGTTAATCATCTCAAGCTGCTCTTTCATTTTCCTGAGAGATAAATTAAATCAAGACCACTACAGTTGCTATACATCTCGTCTTGACATTTTATTTCTGGATCATACGAAAAGGATTACTTATTTGTCTGATATATTTTTCAGGGCTTGGGATGGAACACGATATAATCCGTGCCACTTTTGCTGTTTCTCTTGGCACACCAACAGTAACTGTGATTATTATATGTTTGTGTAAACTACGCGCTAAGCTAATGGCACGGAGGAGGAATTTTAAAAGGTTGGTGAGCTGAATTGCGTGCTATAAAGCATTTGTTTAAATCTTTGCTATTACGTTTCCAAAGATTTAAACAAATTCTTTACAGCACTTTTCCCCAAAATAAAGTTCCATCAATTTTTATTCTTATTGGTTCTTTATTGCTTATCTTTCTGAACACCTTTTAGTGTTGTTTTTTACGAACGGAGAACTTATTACAGTTTTTGGTTTGTTGATACAACTCAATCGACTGGATTCAGTTTTCTCCCGCGTTTTTGTTTGTTACATGCCAAATCTGTCGCACCATGGGTGCCTTCCAACAGCAGATAATGGGACTAATATTACAAGAAAGCGACACACTCTCATGGTGAATTGAACCTAGTTATCCAACCTTGCACATGTCTCAGTCGATGCCATGCTGTGTAGACCACTAGCCCATCATTCTAGACACCTCTGTCAATAAAGGCTAAATAAAGATTTTATGTTGGTTTTATTGCGTCAGTTCAAAGAGCCTCGATTTTAAGACAACAAATAAATGTAATTAAATGCATACAGCATGGTAATATGATTGTAAATTTAAATAATTTCCCCGAGCGCTTTGAAAATGGACCTGCAACACCTTTGATCGTTTTCCACATTTAAGTTAAAAATGTTACTTTTATAAGCTATTCTTAATTTTAAAATAAACGTTCATTGGTTTATTTACGTCTGTATTTTGTGGGCTTATTTTGTTCAGGTTCCAGTCTGTCATGTGACATGGATGTCACATGACCACGATCTGGTTTCAGAATTTTGTAAGTATTAAGGGCTTTTTCGTGAAATTGAAAAAATCACCAGAGTCCAATCTCGCTCCAGGATTCGGCCAAATCCAGTGCCGTCCATTATTTCCTAGCTTCCATATTTGTCAAAGGAGGAAAATTTATTGTAGTTACTTCATGCGTGTATTTGAATGAAGATCGTCCTGCAGTAGGTTACCATCCTTTGTTTTATGGCTCTAATATTGAGCAAGATGAACTCTAAAACCCTCGAAAATGTAACTTCAAACGCGTTCTTGGACATTTTTCTTTCGTGTTGCAGGTTCTTGAGGGCGCACTAACACCCCAGTGGCATTCTGAGCATCGTTTTGTGTTGCCCAATATTATCATTGGATGAAGTCATCTACCAGCGACCAGGAGCTGAGATGAGATCACCGAGTCCCGAACCACAGATTCCTGACCTCAGTTCTTAAAAGCTCGCGAACGACGATGCCTTGTAGCATCGAATCATTGAAGGGAATGTTTACAACAGATCCACTTTTCGTGGACTCTGAATGTTATTAAAGCGCTTTTCAAACAGTGACAGTTTGAAGTTGCATATTCTTCAACTTTCTTGACGCTCTTTCTCAGAAGGGAACTCTCGCACACTTGTTATAATATAATACTTGTCAGGAATTTAAGGTACAAAGTCCAAATCCTTGTTGTCCGAACAAAAACAAATGAAATAGCTTACTAGTGATCTTTTTTTCCTTTTGGGGATGGGTTGCGAATAAATTAAACATCTGATTTTCATGTTTGAGTTTTACATTTAGTTGACCAATTTTATAGAAACTGTATACGGAAAGCAAAGAAATTTGATGATCTTAAAAGATTTTATTTCCATTTATAAAGAAAACAAATATTTTGAACTACTAGTTGAAAGTAATTTCATCTCATAGATATTACAGCTTCTTTGTTAATCAAACCAATCGCACTTTTTGATAAATGTAAAATTGGGTAAAAGGTGTATATTTAAAATGGTTTTAGCATACTGTAACCTATGTCGTTTTTTAATTACCTATACAATACAGATAAGAAGAGCACTGTAAATACAAGGTCACGTTTATAACAAGGATAGTTTTAGGTCCTAAGTCTTTTGTTTTTCTTTGTTTTCCATGACTTATGATACAAGGTAACTATTATAACAAGGTAATTCGTAAAGTCCGAAGGACCTTGTTATAACAGTGTTTCACTGTACATATTAAATTTAATCTGCAACCTCAAAATTTTAGGTACAGATGTACGTTAATGTTTATATAATTCATGAAAACATAATCTGTAAATGATACAGTTTATATTATGTTGGATATCATATAGGAATATCCAACAGCGATAGTTGCCTTCAGTGTGGATAAAATTAAAACTAAAAACGTTTGAAAAGAAATGAGTCATAATCTATCCCACCTATCCTCGGCCTTTACGACCCTTCCAGAGATTTTGACTCTACCTCCCACTCAGCGCTATTACCAATTATCCTCCCTGTGTCGAATCCAGGCTACATGCGTTTGAGCTCGAGTACGGTTATTGGGGGGGGGTTATAATTTCTCTATTTAGATTGTAATTTCAGTTATCTCGGCATGTACAAAACCGATTCACGTTGCATCCAGAATGTAACGAAGTTACTTGATATCCTAAGGCTTTATTCCATTCCAGCCTGGCGCACCCACTTTAAGGTATGCGCACATTTATGTCTCTACCAAATCACGCGTATCGGTGGCTTTGTTCTGGCTTGAGCAAAGAGATCCCAGATTTAAGCTCAGGTTTGTGTGCCAATACTAAATTCTATGACAATACAAAACGATACTTGATATATTCCAAATTCTACGGCCAACTTCAGAAGTGCCGGTGGCCTGGAGGAAAGGCACGCAACACCTGTCCCCTAGACCCAAATTTGAATCCCAGAGGGGATTTTTTTTCTTCAAATCTGTTAAGCCAAGTCTTTTAGATAAATATATTAAAAGTAGGTGCGTTCTTTGGGGACCCAAACTGGGGTGGCGGTAAAAAAGATATTGCCTCCCAAGTGGATGATCCCGGGTTCGAGTCACCAAGGTCAGCAATGACCGAAAGCAGGAAAGCCTGGCGTAGGTCGAAATCCCGTGGCGGTTGTCGAGGTTAACCAAATAAAATAAAATGGAAATTTTGCACTTTTATACTAGTAAATTAGAAGTAAAAATAGAAGTAAATTAACTTGTCCAAGGTAGGAATCGAACCCAAGACCTCCAACATGATCGTAAGACAGATTCCACATCCTAACCATTAGGCCAACACGCTCTCCTTAAACGTGTTTAACACTAATAAAGATTTCGCTTGAAACAACACAAACTTAAACTTAGTAAAATTGGCGCGCATGCGCTTTTCCTAAAGTCAGCTTCACGCTTGAGGCAAAGGCTGGGACAAGTTTGCGGGCATGCCCACTCGGTGTTTTGACGTAAAGCTCCTACTTAGCACGAAAGTTCTGATTATCAGGGAATTACTTATTCAGTAAACGTTGCTGATTGGAATAAACATACATTTAATTTCAAAATGATTTCAGGGGGAGGAAGGTTCATGACATTTTTGAATTCCGACTTTTCTCGACAGTTACTTTTTATAATTCATCGTTGGCTGAGTCGTCCCAAACCGGATGCAAACAGCACACAGTCAAACGTACATGGAGGCTGCAATTTGGGTGGGCCTACCTAGTCTGGCAAATATTCCAGCAATCAAGGGGTGCATCCAGTGATGGGGGATATAGGTTTAAGAGACGTTACAATGACACACAGCACCAGTCCAACATTTTCTTGGCAAAAATACAGTTTTAATCTCATTTATTTCTGTCAAGGTGGGATTCTGAACTATTCACATTATTTGTGGGAATCGTACATGAAATAAGCGTTCATAGATTTCGAACTTCGAAGCCTCTGTGCAAAAATTAAAAAGAAAAAAACAGGAACTTTGCGACAGGCATTTAGGTTTTCTTCAAACACAATAAAAATCTATGAGTTCTCCAGTAATTTTTGTAATAATTTTTTAAAAGCAGCAGCTTAATATTCCACTAGCAGTTCTAGATTCAACTGAATAATTAATGTTCATCTCTTGGAAATAAGACCATACTTAACACGTTAACAACGAATCAGTTCTAATTTTTTGGCCATATTCAAGGCAAAACCCATCTTTATACAAAGTACACTTACATATAGATTTCTGCCTGTTTCAAAACTTCAATTAACTAGGAAATTTGCATTGTAATGCACTAAACCACGAAGGTTGTCTTAGTCATTAAAGACAATATTTTACCCCATTCAGATATTTCAAATTTGAACATATTCCATCTAAGACTTTATAAATACAAAAATATTGGTTTTACCCTGTAATATCCTAAGAGATATGTCAAGCAATACCCAAAGTACAAAATGAAACATCTGAAAAGCATGTCCGTATTGGGACTAAGTACAGTGTACTTGTTGAAATTGGAAAAAGAGAACAAAAAACAGCTAATAAACCTTTAAATAAGATGTTCCAATTCTGCAGTATTAGTTTTATCTGCAATGGATAATAGACTAAAGTACGTGTCAGAAAACTCGGAGTTTCAAAAAAATTCATGTATTTCACGATAACTTGTTTGAAATTACTGGAATATTTCCTTTTTCTTACTATTTTTACTGAATTCTGCACTAAGTTTAGTTTACACCTCACTGTGGATTCTGTGCATGGCATCTGTGAATCTGACACACCATCCAGTTAAAATTGCCTGTTTAAAGTTTATTGGAGCATGAGATTGACAGTACACGTACATGTATTTAGGTAAAAACCGTATGCATGATGTTGACATTAAAGGCGATATACCTCATCTGAGCAAAACATAATCAGCTCCATGGTTGCTAAGACATTCCTGGATGGTTGCTATGACGGCTATGAGTCTACGATCCATTGCCTGAAGATGAAGCTCTGTCAAGATGGGAGCCAGAGGATCATGGGATAGCACTCTCCTCATCACATTGCTGAGGCGGCCATTTTGAAGAGAGAGGAGTTTATCCCAAGTAGCTTCTCGAATCCTAACAATCAGATCAGATTAAAAGAATGCTAAAGGTTTAAATGATGCCATTTTCAAAGCTACATTAATTTTTTGTTTTAAAAAAATTTTCAATTGTTTAGAAAATCACAGTGTTCAAAGTTTAGAAAATACACAAGTTCATTTCTGAAACACCTATTTGTCGTCAAGGAAACACAGAAACATTCCTAAAAGCTTATAAGATGAATTGAAAAAAGAGAAAGGCTTACTTGCAGCACTGATACAAGGGAGCTAGAATACTTCTCTCATCATGATGAGGATTACCAAAGCTGGGGAAAAAGAAAGTTACTATTGGTACAGACTAAACAAATCTTCAAACTTTCCCTCAAGAAACAAAATAATAACAATCAGCGTTGGCTGTTAGGGTAAATCTAGAAACTTTTTCAGATGCATATCTTACCGCCTTTCATAACACCTTCCAATTCTGCCCTCTTTTTGCCTTACCTTTTTGCACTGTCCATTAGAAGCAGCATAGCTTGCTGTCCATCTGCTTCAAAGGTTTCATACTGATGCCTATCTGCATTTCCTATCAGATAATCAAAGGCTGCAGTGTCAAGAATATCAACAATGTGTTGATGCTTTTCCAGTGGATACTTCTCAAGGACGCCTTTGCAGTAGTTGTCGTCGTATTCCCACCTGTGGCAAAAATAATAAAAACATTTCCCAACTTCAGGAATGATACAACTTACTGTGTCAGCTCTTAAATCTGCTCCTTGGCTCAGAAAGCACATCCTCCAGAAAACTACAGACTTGTCTAAACTATGAGAACAAAACCACACCATTGTAGGAGACTGCTACATGTACATAATGTCAATGCAATTTTCTCTATCTTTGAGCAAAGATCTCAATTTTCCACATCAACCCGTATGGCCATGTTGCCTGTTGGTTAGAGAACCAGTACAAGTTTCCAGAGCAGCTGAACTACACGTGGGTTTAGAGAAGAAGTCTCAACCTACTGTGCTTTCTTGTTTTCCTTGTAGGTCCTGGACCATGGATGATGCCACTTCTTGAGTTTCTTGTTTTTCGGCAACCACAAAGTCACTGACCCTTCCATTATGTCATTCTCATCGGCACAGGCTGGCTCCCCTGGATTGCAGTAGTAGCACTTACCATAGAAACAAGTCTGGTTTCCTGACAAAAAGAGAAGGGTACAAATGTGTCTCAATCCAGCTGGAATCTACAAGATTAACCAAGGTCATTTCTCCTATAGTATGATATTAATCAGAGCAATTATTGCTTCAAAGTTTTGCTGTTAGTGGATTCTATTGGAGTTAGAATCTATCTCTGCTCACCCTGATTCACAAATGTATCCAGCAGACTCTGTGATGCCACTGGCATAACTTCTGACCGTAGATTCACTCGTCTTCCCACGACAATGGGAGCTCTATGAAAACCTAAAACCCTGTTCAGAAAAACAGCAATCACATGACATCGAACTCAAAACATCGTTTCTATATAAAGTAACACACACAGTACTCCAGTCCTGGATCAATCAAATTCTATCAAAACCAGATGTTACACTTTGGTAGATTTTAAAAGTATACTATTTAAATCTATGCATAGGAGTATAAGTAATTATGCAACTCCCATTTTTCAATTGCTTGTTTGCAGGTCTCTTATATCCAAATCTTTAAGAATAACTCCCGATCTGTAAACTACATTATTGAATTGTCCATAGACCCCTTACCTATCTAGATGGAATGCTGCGATCTCGCCTGTGTGTCTATCATATCCTGCATATGGCGTCCCTTCGACAATATAATCTCTCTTGTATCTAATGGGACATTTTCAAAAGCACAAGGCAAATTTCAGAGCAGTTTTCAGAATGCAGAAATTTGATACATTTATAAATTTGAAAAGACAAAAAACTGTCATAAAATCAGGCACATGTATAAAGCAGACCGTTTCCAAGACTTTTGTGTCATCCATTGCTTCCCCTGCTTCAGTGTAGAGTCACATACTAACCTTCCTGGTTTGAAGACAACCCATTGTCTTCCAGATAACTCCAGTCGCGCCTTTAGCTGGGTGCCTTTATAGCCGATGTCGGCCTTAATGATAGGTCTAGTTGCTATAGCATTCATAACCACTCCCAAATCAGGATTGTCCGGAGGTGTAATTTGCCTGGAGTTTACCCAACTCCCAGCTAAGTTCCATAGCGCACCTGGGGTTCCGAAACCCTCTGCTAAGTCGTGAGGTATAAGATCTGACTCCAAATCTAACAATGCTTTAGTGTCAACATTTTGCCATCCAGAACATCAATCTGACTAAATGTTAGGTTTTTGGTTTCAATGAAACCTTTTCGTGCATCTCGAAGTTGCCTTTCAATCTTATTTTCTTCTTCATCTTCGGAGGGATTCTCGTTGACATCCACAATTTTAATTCTGGGTAGTTTGGACAAGTGCTTAGCCCCACTCGGGGCAAATTTCAGTTGATTGGCTCCGCGTTTGGAAGCATGGTAGCTATTTTTCTGACTTCCTGAAGGAGATGGGGTATACATGATAATCACCAGCCATGTCAAGATAAAGACAGAGGCTACTATGAAAATTCTCCTTCGTTTGAACCACATCCTGTGATCTAGCAGAACATCTTTCTTTCACTAATACTGGTTCCTCTTCACTAACGGTGTGGATTTACTGTGTTCACATTTCACCGTGGCTCTTTTAGTCTCAAGCTGTAACTGTCTTCACTAATCGCTATCTGAAAGAACGCAATGAACGAACCAGAAATTATTAATGCCATCATGCCTTTGGTTTATTTCCCACTTTGTAAATGAGTGTAAACAGATTAAAAATTCCCTCTTGCATTTCAGAAAAGAGATTCTTGAGTAGTCACATGTCAGATATCCATTCTTACGTATGTTAAAAATGACTGATTTTATTCTTTTTCAAGTGAGAGACATTCTTACTGTACAAAATCCAGCATTCACAATGCAATCAAAACGGTTATCAGGATAATTTGCAAATACAATGTAACGCAAAAAACATTAATAAATTCACAATTTTTCAGTATAAGCAGTATATTTGTGAAATTTCTAAAAAGAAAAACCATCAAAAGCAGGCAACACACAAAAAAAAAGAAAATAAAAAAGGAAAATGTACCTGCAACTGCACGAGCTTGAAATTTGCTAAATTAACGTTCGGCCCAACGACAAGCAGTGTGCATGATGCTCGTGACGAGGTGAACATCAAGTTGGTGAGCTTTGGTAGCGGATATCAACATAGAGCCAGCTCTACTTATTTCCACCAGTCCCTCCAATTATTCAACCACAGCACACATAGCTTTGGAATACGCAATTTTCCACAAAAGACTACTGAAACGACTTTGCAAAATATTGAAATAGTTCGCCATCACCGTTAGATCAAACCGTAGGCCAACACAACACTTTTTTGCAGTCACAACTGAACCGGTCAACTTCAACAGCGCCCTCAAGTCTTTCATAGGACGATCGACATCGCCATCTTATGATGGGAAAACGGACTTAAATTTAGTTTCAGTACCATTTCAATTTCAATTTCACTTTATTTCTTCACTACGAATACAAAAATAAACAAATACATGTAACATGTACAATGCACAGTTACAACAGTCAGGGGAAGTGCTATAAAGTTCCTTGTCGAGTGCGGGATACCTGGTAGCATAATTATCAACAAAACATGAAAAACCTTAGACTAAGATTAAACCTGTGAAGGAGGATGACAAATAAATCAGAATTATTTTCGTTATATATAAAATCAGAATTAAATAGAAATTTTGAGTACCAACTAGTGTAAATAATATTTAAATAACAAAGTAGATAATAATGGAGTGATGAGTGCAGAAATGAGATAAAACTAATGAACTAACAGGCATGATGGGTATACAATTTGTCACAACATTAAAAAAAGTTAATTAATTAACCAAAAAAAAAACTCAATCACAGAACGTAAGTCACTGTAACACCTGAATGGATGGTTTAATATATTACAGAAGAAGCAATCTGCGAATTTTCTTTTCGAATCACTCCTGTGGCTGTGACCGTATCGGATAGTCTTTGTCCGCCCCCTTCCTGTCCAAGCATTACACTGTTCATTAGTTCACAACCTCCATACAATGAGTTGTTTCAGTCTAGCTTCAGGCAGAAAGTCTTGCACCAACTGACCCCCGGACAAGCCTACATGAGTCGGAGGTAGGTAGTGAAACACCAAACCAATCCTGAAAAAAGGGAAAATCATCATGCCGTTTTGATAATGAGCACTTCCTCAGTAGGCCTACTGCCGTAAGGGAGGATTCCTTTATTCACTTGAGTACCGGGTATAACAAAATATAAAGAACTTTACCTATCTGTCCGAATGCCAAGTTCCTTTGACGTACATTCGAAGATGATTCCGGAGATTTGTTTGTTCTCAACATCATCAATGAATGCTCCGTGAAGCTGGATCAACATAATTGGATCTGAACGATTTATTCCCGGAACGGAAGCCGCTCCGTCACCAACGAACATCAGCACTCCTGTTTTCACCTTCATTGTCATTGGCTAGACAGAAATAAATAAGAAATCATAACATTAACTCAGTTAATTGTTGATTTCATCGGCCCGACGTTATGTTCATGTTCGGGTCTACTAATTTTGACAAACTAGCACATTATAGTACGTCACGTTTCATGACAGGAGTTTTCCCGCCTTGCCATATCTATCTTTCTTATGAGCACGGCTAGGCTAGATCCTCAGTTTGACCTACCTTTCCAATCTGATGTGATATAATTCCACGAAGTTGAAGCACAAACTCTTTATTAATATCTGTCATGTTGGTTTGTATGTCACACAGCAGCATCATGTCCTATTTGAAGTCACTGATCAATTTGAATATTCTTGACTTAATTTTATAAACAAAGTGAAAAACTCGGAAAGAGGTTTCAATTATGTTACTGAAAAAAAATTAAGCTACACCATCCGTCACAATGAAAGCGCGATAAAGATATGAATTGGTTTGTAAATTCTGCGGGTAGTAGGCCCGGGCTTTTCGCCGACTCGGAATGCTTGTGAATGGAGCATCCATCAAAATCAACATTAGAGATGTTCTCTAACTTTGTAGACAAGAAAAGGCACACCGGTCATTTAGTCGAGCGCCCTCAACAAAAATTAAGTCTGGCACCCTGTTCAGCAGAATCATGTAACGTAAATCCATCTGAGTTTTACCCAACTACCGAAATGGGCTAAAGAAATGAGTGGATTCGGTGAGTGAAATATTGGAAAAGTTACAATTTCTTCTTCTTGAGTCTTTCTTTTTCTGCCCCGAATGGTGAGGATATATCACACAGGCTTATAGTATCCCTAGGTGAACAGACTTAAAGACATGGCGGCGTATATCCGTGTCGTTGAGGACGAGTCCGATCCTGAAGTGATAGAGTTACCGGTTGAGCCGGACGGCACAATGTTGCTGAGTACGCTGACCGCGCAGTTTCCGTGCGCCTCCGGGCTGAAGTACCGTAACCCAGGCACACGAAGTCTGAGAGGACTACGGGTCGTGGAAGGAAGAATACAACCACCGGATGATGTATGGGGAGACCATCTTTACATAGCAGTCTTCCCTAAAGGTAATGCTCTACTCTCCAAAGCTCAATTGACAACCGTCGTGTCCGTGTAAATAATTGAAACATTTAAAATAAGAAAACTGAAATCAGTATAGAAGGTTCAAGAAGGGCCTACCACTATATATATGTAGGCCAGTGCCTAGCCTAAACTTTGAACATGTTTTATACTCTTGAGTTGAAGAATAAAGTTGTCAACTATATACATTTATGTATGCATGTCAGTATCAATACTGATTTTAGTTATTATGTAATACAATAGCAATGTTTAATATTGATTTGCACCAGGCATGCTGAGTGTTACAACAAAATTATTTGTATATTTCATAAAGGGTCACAGGTCTTAAATTTTAATATGCAATATAGAGAACTGCCGTTGTTTATTTAGTTTACAGGCATGACAGGCTAACAACATTCAAAATCCAAATTTAATTCTGAATTCTGTTTTTGCATTTTCGAATTCTCTTTCTTTTACTCACAGATAACAAGCGCAAAGGAGATGACAGTAGTGAGAACAATTCTGCTAAAACCCGTCGTGTAGAAAATAAAACTGTTGACCTCATTGTACTAGGCTTAGCATGGAAGACAACAGTAGCTAGCATGAGGGAATACTTTGAGAAGAATTTTGGTGAAGTTCTCATGTGTGAGGTATGTAAAATGAAAAACTACATAATGGATACATTTGATGCCAAGGACAGGGGAAAAGAGGTTTGGAGCATTAGCCTAAACTAAGTACCAATCCCTACAATGTACCGAACCTTTCACCATGCACACTGTTGTGTTTTTCTGCTGAAGTCTGCGGATTCAGTCAGTGTCAGACCAACCAATTGCTTATGCATGTACTTGATCTGTTTACGCTGCAAGGATTCCTACACAAGTAAGCAATGTATCTATTTTTTCCTTGTTTTATGTTTTATTCCAGATCAAAAAGAACTTGGAAAACCAATCCAAAGGCTTTGGTTTTGTGAGATTCAAAGATTACAAAGTACAGTGCTCAGTGGTATCCCAGAGACACAACATTGATGGCAGATACTGTGATGTCAAAATACCTGATTCAAAGGTAATTAATGAATTGGAAGAATTCAGTGCTGACATGTATGCACATTTACTTGAGTAGTCTCTATACCTGTGTAACCTGTCGCATATTTTAGCCGATAATAAAATCGATACAAGTCAATGCAGATTAAAGTTCTTAAGTTTCTTGTGAACATGGATGTTATGTTCATTACGAAGATCACCATCAACTCTTTCGCACATGTGCTGTGCATCTCTTCACTATCACCAATATTATCATCACAACTATGACTTAAATCATTTCTGATTATTGCTGCCACTTCCTTTAACAGATATGCATGACAAAGTCTTGGCATTGTTGTCATTGTAGAATTCCCAAGACTCCAAAAAGATGTTTGTGGGTCGTATGCCACAAGACATGACCAAAGAGGACTTGTACAACTACTTCTCTAAGTACGGTGAAGTTACAGATGTCTACATTCCAAAGCCCTATCGCTGTTTTGGCTTTGTGACATTCTTGAGGTCTGATGTAGCATCGGTTGTTGCCAGTGAAGACCACATTTATAAGGTATGTGGACATTCATTTCTACTCTTATTCTACTTATTGTGACATGCACTCTTAGAAGTATCCCGATTTGGGTAAGTTTCATGCTGTTGCTAATAAAAACAGTTTGCCTAGCACAGTACTATTTGGCTTAGCAAAAACTAGTTACCATCAACAATGTCACAATGATGTTCGTTAACCTTTTCCGTCCCTTGCTGTTGCATTTTGTAGGGTGCAAGTCTACAAGTGAATCGCGCTGAGCCTAAGAATCCCAAGATTAGAATGCAAGGAGACGACCATTATTCTGGCTATGGGTACGGAGGAGGGGGAGGTAAGTAACCAGCTGGGTACCCCATAGCACCTTATGGGCTCTACCCATGTTAAGGGTAACGTAAGGGGAAAGGTACATGTAGGTAAACCCACAGGTTACCTGAATACAGCTTATGGAATGTACTCACGGACTGGTACATTACACAGAGGTACCAACAGGGTGTACCCCTTTGTGCAGTCACAGCACTTGGTGTACTGAGGATACGGGTGTGCCTAGGAGGGCATAGCAGGTCTTGTACCCAGAATCATCCACTTCCAAGGTGGTTGTACTCCCTTAATGTTTTAGGTTTTTTTGGTTTTTAGAAGCTCCTGTAATTTGGGATCTCTTTTGTTTTTTCTTGTCAAGGCTATTCAGACCAAGGCAGATACTACTCCCGAGGGGATTACTCACAGAGTGGGCGTGGTCGAGGACGAGGGGGCGGCAAAATTGGAACGAGAGGAGGAGACGGGTACCGAGACAGAGACCAAGGTAGTATAGGGGGACCAGGGAATCAGGTAAATACATGTACGTCCAACGTTGGTGGGGGGATGGGTGGGGGTATGGGCGGGGGTATGGGAGGTGGTATGGGGGGCGGTATGGGAGGTGGTATGGGCGGTAACCCAGGCGGGCAGGGTCCTGGACAGATGGGGAATTTCCCCTGGAACCAAGCAATGCTTGCGGCGCTCAGCCAAGCAGGCTGGGGCATGATGAGCAACATGCTGGCTCAAGGCATGCAGCAGGGCATACAGCAACAGCAGCAGCAACAGCAGCAACAGCAGCAGCAAGGCAACCAGCAACCTCAGCAGCAACCCCAGCAGCAATCGCAGCAGTCACAGGTGGCTATGTCACAAGGCAGTCAATCATCGCAGGTGTCTAACCCAGTCATGCAGACACCAAACAGTAGCGGGGGATATGGATCAGGGCAGCAATCCTTAGGATGGGGGTCTGGCCAGTCTAGTGTAGGGGAAACAGGAAGTCCTGGGTATCTAATGGGAGAGAGTAAAAGTGGAGGCAGTGGCTGGTAGCATGTAGAGTTGTACTCTACTGTCCAAAGTAGACATCTCACTAGATCTCTCAACTTCAGTGGTTATCTTCCTTTGATGTTTTGTGCTCAGCCAATTTGAAATCGATGGAATATTACATCAAGCATGAACTGTGCTCTGCTGTTTATTGAAGATAATGGATTTCACCTGTCAGTATTTCTCCAAGCTTGTTGCTGTCGCATTATTCTTTTTACCAACTTTCATGGACTGCTATGAAGTGTGCTTTTCCAATTCAAATAACAGATCATCACCATGAACAAAGGTCAGCATTACACTACTTTACATCAGTAATCATCAATCAGTGTCAGACTTGACATCTTAATTGTTAACACAGGTGCAAATATATATAATAGCCAAAATGGAGTATTTTACCTTGGCCTTTTTTTTAATACGATGTGTGTGTATGTTGGGGGGGGTTGTGGCATAGTTGGGGTGGGGGGATTTGGGGGATTTGATTCAGGCAAAGCCTATGTGAGACAATTGTGTATATACACACTGGGATGTGCGTATACACAACAGACTGTTTTTCTGAATTGATATCAGTGTGATAGGATTGTGTGCTATCATGTAGATGGCTGTTGACCAGTTTTGAAATAGAGGATAAATGTTGTGGCACTGATGCGCTCATGCAGGAGAAAGTGCTGATTAAAATGCTGATTAAAAAGCTCTAGAACTGGATGAATCTTTAAGGATCAGAAGTAAGAGGGATATTTAAAAGCAACGTGAGGCATTAGAAATGGACATAAGATGTTACAGATGTGAAGGATCAGAAATTATGGATGAGATTATGAAAGGCTGATCAGTGAAACGGTAAGCATGGATTGAAGATTTTTATTGAGAGATTGGAGAACTATTCATTGGGGATTGAAATAGTTCTGATAAGGGATAGAAGAATTTTATTAGTCTGAACTTTGGAATTTGTTTTCAAATGTGTGAGCCTCATTTTAGTTCAGTTTGTATGTAATTGGCACAAAGTGCAAAGTGGTCATGACCTGCACAGTGACAATAATGTGAAATGCTGATCAGACGAAATCAGTGCATTGCCTTCAAATAAGGCTGCAAAATGAATGGGTGCTTTGGACGTAGGTTTTGTATATACACTGTACATGTATTCAGTCAAAAAAGGATTTTTATGTGACCTCTCCGATGTCAGTATTTGGTCACCCTCCGGAGTTTGGGAAAGAGCCCAAGTGTGAGGTATATTGTAGATTGTTTGTGCTCATTAAGTATTAGCTGTGAGAAAAGGTTGTCAGAATTTAAAGTAGATCTAGATAATGCTGTTTAAAACCACATTCATGTTGCAAAAAATGAAATGGATGTGAGCTCAAACCAAAAAAGATGCCTCAGTGGTCAAAGGATGAACTAAAGGACTTTTGAAAGTAAATCTGAAACCTTTTAGCATGCACCAGACTGGTAAATGTTGACAAATCAATGTGAAGGACTGTGTGCAGAGAATAAAGCTTGTACTTTATGCCTTGTCTTAGCCATTGCCTCAAGTATGCGTGTAAAACCATCACCACAGAGCAAGTTTTTCAAGTCCACTCATGAATACCCTTTTATTACGATGTATTTTTTGTTGTTCTGGCTTGCTCAAATCACTTTATTAGCTCGTGTGTCACCACATGGTATACAGCTAACTGGACTGCATGAAGTTATTGAATTTGTATGTCTTAACCACTTGCTGCCGGGGAGCTTGGTTTCTAACTTGTATTCTTTATATGCACAGCTAGGGTGTCCGAAATCAGACAATGGGAACTGGGCCTTGTAACAAAAGACTGTATTCATAACAAAAGACCAGGCAGCTGGGCATTACTTACGTTTGTTCATTGTCAATGGTGGAGATAATCCGGCGGTGTTTTGAAACAGTATACTACTGTTTGTGGCATTCAGTGCGAGCGGATTACCACTGAGGACAAGAGCCCTCCAGCACTGTAGTGATGAGCCACACAGTACCGCCGCATGCTAATTTGGTCCCTATTGAAACTGTGCCAGTTTCGGGAACAAAAGAAAATTACGTAACAGCACACAATCTGGGCTCTTTTTACAAGGCGGCAGGCCTGGCTGAAGTACTCAGTACGTCAATACATGTTGTCTATCGGATTAGAGTAGAAACCCAGACAGTCCTTTGTGTGGGTGTAAGTGTCCAGTAAATGAAGGTATGAATTTTTAAAGAATTTTGAAAGCAGAAAAAATGATAATTATCCCGTTCCAGCATCACCAACATTGATAACTGCCCCCAGCCCGAAGTGGTTAATGAAATTGGTCATCTAAATTTTAGGAAACAAACCCAAAATGTGCTTCATTGAGCAGTGTTTATTATGTGATGTTCCCAAGCAGAAATATTAAGGAAAGGACTGAATGATGTGAGAGAAAAGCTGTGAGTTGGAATCTTCCAAGGATTTGTGCAGCAGGATATTTGGAATCTCAGACAATGTTTTAAAAATCATGTGAACAGTTCTGACAAGGACATTCTGTGGTGTAGTATGAAATTTTAACTACAGTTTAATTTAAAGTCTGTGTATGAACTTGTCAATACATATTAGTGTTTGCACAGCTTGCCTAGCGACAGAGAAGTTTGTAGTCCTGCTTTCATGCCGGTATGTTGAAAGGTAAAGGCTGTGATGTCAGTGTTGATGACCAATAAAATCAGTGTGATGTCATGTGATCATTTAAAGTATGTTATGAGCCTGTGTTATTAGAGTGTGATAGTTTACACCTTGTACTGTCTGGATTTGAGGTGATAGATTATCATGAGTGTAACAGAATAGACCAGTTGGGATTTGAGGTTGTGCATGAGGAAACACTTCTGTCTGCTGTGGAATCTTGTGACTAGGAACTGTTTCACAAGCTGTGGCTTTCTGAGGGCAGCGATTGAGTTACAGTTTGACGTTTTGGAGATTGTGCCCATGCCGTCATCAGGTCATTGAGCTCTGCTGATTGCAAATGTACATGTTATTTTTAACATACTTTATTTTTACACTTTGGACAACCCGTTCTGTTTTTCAGATGGCAAATAGCAGGTAAGTTCATTCACTTTTTAAGATTTTTAGTTAGTGTCAAAATTGTGTGGTTGGTCTTTTAGGGTTCATTCAAGCAAAGATTGTTTTTTAAATTTTCAATATCCTCAAAAATTGGTCACATTTAACCCAAGAAATCACAAAAAACTTGTTTACTTAAAAATGCTTAATGAGATGAGAAATATGAATCTGAAACAAATATTTATCCTAGCTGTGCTTAGGATTGACTCTAAATTTAGGTGTACTCTCGTTAGTGCTTCAGGATTGGAAGGGCTCAAATGGAAGAATAAAATCTTTTTAAACTGAGATGTTTTGGTTTCCTTTTTTGTAACTGATTGTAGTTGTGCTTAGATTGAGTTTCCTAGGTTGAAAAAAAAATTAGAATAGTAGACTTTGAGGGAAGTTATGACCCGTTAAAGCAAACAACTGGATATACCAGCCATTCGAACCTTGTTCTCTTCAACTTAATTTCAACTCTCCTCCATGACACCTGCTGCATAATACACTAGTCTGTGCATAAAAAAGGTCAAAAAAGAGGCTCATAACAATGGAACTGCGTTAACACTACATGTCCAGAACCCAGTTGAATGCAACGGATTTGTAGAATTACTGAAACACGCACTATACCAGGAAGTGTGTTGAACCAGTGGAGAGTGTTACCTGTTGAAAAAACTTAATTTATTCACACAAAGAAGTCATTCATTTTCATTACCCTACTTGACTCTTTATTTCTCTGCATTTACCAATATCATTACTTAAAATAAATGGATATAGCTAGCAGTACACAGATTATGCTCGACTTTACAGGCATTGGAAGTGGAGCATAGAATACTTGTAATTCTCCAACAATCCAAGTTGTCCCTAAATAAATGAATAAGTTGAGTCAGCTGTATTAATGATAGAAAAGTTAAATATGACCCATGGAGGAAGGAATGGACCAGAATTTGTCCGAAATAAAATTGTTTAACATTAATAGCCTCACCCTATATATAATATCCAGAAAGTATTTTTTACATTTGTCCACAGCTTTTGTCATACACATTTTCCTAATCAACTTCCAATGCCTGTAATTTTTAATACACTGAAAATAAAAGTTAAGAAGTACAGTATGTAGTATGTGAGCCACGACACTGAGAGGGATACTTTCACAGTTGTGACAAGCCTGCTCTTGAGTGAATTGTATCAATACCAAGTTATTAGTTCCCTAATTTCAATATAGGTAGAGGTTTCATAATGATTGCAGTTGATGATTGCTGACACCTTGTACCCTCTCCAACTACTATCAGGACATCAGCTACTCTAACTTTCAAAAACAGCATTTTTAATACATTCAAATATACTCTAAAAATAACTTCTCATTTACCTTTAAGCCCCCTTACCACTTTGATTATATATTTTCATGTATAAATAATGGTTAAAACTGTTACAGGTTCACAAATGTTATTCTGATTAATTGGATCAGATTGTACAAAATGGGTGTTGATAGTCGTTTGGATTCTTGGTATGAATGAAGGGAGTTGGAACTACCTGCTCAGTTTGACATTTTATCCTCCCTTTGTCTCAATCACCTATATCCTTTCATCAAATCTTGTTCAACTGTTTCGTACTCAAAACTAGAACCTCTTACTCATTTTATAGGATTTAGTCCCCATCTAAATGTATCGTCCATTACTATATGATAAATACACCAAAATGTTCAGTTAAAAATCTTTCAGTTATTTTTGTATGTAATAAAATAAGATATTTAAAAAATCAACAAAAGATTTACAAAGGAAGTAATCCAGTTGCATTATCACTAACACAGGAGGCAGCTGCACACGGATCCTTGAATTTGATTTGACACTACCTCCAATCAATGAGCAGAGTGTTTTGTTAAAAATTAAACAAAGGCATTTCATTGAGTACAGCAAATCTGCAATTTTAGATTATAAACAGAGTAAAAATTTAAACTTGAATGTTGTCAAAAAGAACAAAACCGGATAAAGCACCTTTGTTACTCTTTGCATAGAGGAATCAAAAATTAAAATTATAAAACTATTAGCAAGATGTAAGTCTTAAATATACGTAAATATCTCAAAAGATTTTTTCCCAATTACCTAGACCTCAAACTGTTCACATTTCTGTATATAACAATAATTGTGAAGTACATGTACTTCTGAAACTTTCGCATTTAAGACAACCATTTTAAAGGCATTATGTAAATATTGAATCACATGCAGGTAATAACATTACTAACTGGCACCACATTTAAAACAAAACAAAGTTGCAGAATAAAAGTACGAGTGGTTTTTATGTCTGTAACATTCATGTTTTATAAAAATATTTTGCATATTTACATTAACATCAAGGTCACATTTCCGCACCTTGTTCCTCATGCTAATAGTTCTCACAAGTGGTGTTTTTCAATCCTGAAAATAAGTTCCTCGCAGATAACTAAATACTGTTTAAGAAATATATGTATCAGTTTGGTAATGCTTGCATAGATATTTACAAACACTTTTACTTTATTGAAAAGACAAACTATTTTCATCCTATAAAACAACTCATTTCAACGTTTAAATATGCCCTACACCAAACTTCTAATACAAAATATTCCTAAATCTCACCTGTAAAAGTAAACTCTCTGCAGTTGCTTATAAAAATACATTTTTAGGATAAAAAATGCACTATACACATGTAAGTTGTCATTACCCTTAAGACATGAAAACTGAATGCAGTAGCTCGAGTAGTTCGGATGTTAACAAACTTAAATTTATTCTAAATGTTACATTTAAACTTTTTCTTTGACAGCCAAACTTTGGCAGTCCTTTGCAAAATGCAAACTCAAAACTAAGGTCAAATAATGTTCTGCTAAAATTCGCACAATTTTCTAATCATGCCTTGTCTGTGTCTTAGGATCTCCATGTTGCAGCAAGATGTAGTAGCAAGAACTCATAAAGAATTATTTACTCAAGAAGCAATGTCTTTAGAAGTCACTCTTAAGGTAGCAAAACCTGAATTCAAGTTTCAAACCGCCATTTTTTATTTAAACAATCAACAGTTAACCATATTGCTTCATAGGAGCATGCAAGAAACACCTGAAAAACAGTTCTTATTGTCCATTTAAAAGTGTCCAAACTCAAAGAGTTCTTGTCCTGCAGATAAGTCTGGGTCTGACTTTGATAGTCTGCTGTACTGAGACAGATGCGTGTGGCTGATTTCCTGCTTCTCCACCAGCTTGGCATACCTGATCTCTGCAGATAGTGCTGGCATGGCTCCTGCATCTACCATCAGGTGTTCAGGGGAGGGATGTATTCTGCTGCTTTGCTGCTTGGTGTAAGGGTAAGCAGTGGAATAAGAGGGTGGTGTTGTGAAAGGCTCACTACTGGTTGTTGACCTGCGGAGATCAGGCTCAGATTGGGAAAGCCGATTGTTGTATCTGTCTCTTTGCCAGTTGCTGTCATCTGTGCTCATTCTGTAACCGGTGAGACGAGGTCTATCAGGGAGCACAACTTCAGACATGCTCAACTCTTCTCTGACCCGTTGACGGTCGATTTTGATGACGGAGCGTCTTTTACGGGGAGGTTCACCAGGCATCCAGGAAGCATCCCTTTGAGGTCTGGTTTGCTTGGAAGGCGCAAAGAATGGTAGATCAAATGAGTAGACGTCACAGTCCCCATACACTGTGACATCATCATCAGAGCTAACATCGGAGTTTGTAGAGGATGTGGCAAAGTCTGTGGGGCCCCCTTGCCAGAAGTTTGGATTCTCATGCAGGAATGGATCAGTGAAGTCCATCACAGCATTGAAAGATTCAGTGTCTGTATCTGAATCAGTTGTGTCTACTTCAGACTCGGGGTCCTTGAATGTCAATGGCAGCTCGCTCTGTGCTGACCATTTGGGTGGTTGGCTCAGTTCACGATGTTTCTCAATCATCTCTGACAATCTGCTGATGGGCAGCACAGATTCATCATCACTTGGGATCCCATCGGAGAGTAAGTCAGAGAGACGAGTAACCATGCCTCGTGGTATCGGCAGCAGCTCCATCGAATGGCCATGCTCAGAGGTCAAGAAAACTGGCGACATCCTACCGGGTGTGTGTGACGGAGACTGTGATGGAGACAGTGAATGGACGATGCGTGCACCAGGTCTTGGTGAGCCCTTCTTGTCATATGGAACATTCAGTCGATAGGCGGAGGTCTCTCTCTTAAACCATTCACTTTCTTCGATTGGTGCAGGGAATGTATCATTAGAATCATCCAGTATCACATCAGGGATACTTTCTGTTGGTGTGTGCTCAAGATTCATGAAATGCTGACGACCTCTAAGGGGGCTCTGCATAGTATAGTTTGAAGTTGACCGACTGGTGTATTCATATCTAGAGGACGTTTGAGTATATTCTGGGGTGCTGAATGGTGAACTGTCAGGCAGGTCTGGTGTCTTAGTTTCATCATCCCGGTTAACAAAATAGCCCACCAAAGTAGCCTGATCATCTGTCAATATCACTTTAGATAGCCGGAGATCCCTTCGAATCTTCTCAAGTTCTGACAGTTCTGGTAAACTGTCAGATTCAGTGTCTGAAAAGATGGGGGATGTGCCATCTGTAGAAGATTCTGTAGGCATTACTTGTTCCATAATGCTCATGCGAGACAAGTGTAATGTTGAAGGCACTACAGAGTGAGTTGTAGGTGTTGATGTTCTGAATGCACTGGTGTAGGTTGTACCAGCTGCAGTTGTTTGAAGCAGAATCATCTCACATCGTGGTGGCATGGATTGTAAGACTTCTCTGGTGAAGTGACTACTTGATTCATACTTGGAGTCAAAAGAGCCCATGTATGATGAGGTCTGTGATGTAATTGGTTGGAAAGGATACAGATCAGTTGACTTGAGGGGGACATAGTCCAGCCTTGCAATTTGCGGTTCCAGAGGACTCTTGGCGTGATCAGTGGAGCTTGGTCGATTGCTGTAGCTGTATGTAAATTTGAGACTTGAAATGTCAGATGTTGTAGGAGAGGTGAGCTGTGGTGGTATATATTCTACCGGTTGAACCTTTTCTCCTGTTACAATTTCTTTAATGTATGTACTTTCTATAGGTGCCTCTTGTGATCGGACAGGGTAAGGTGGCACATGAACTGGACCTTGGCTTTGAGGACTTATTATTTCAAATGTTAGGAAAGACAGTGGCGAGTTGGCCTGCTCTCTGACTACAGGTCGAGCCTGAATTCTTCTGTCTGTGACATCCATGCTTCCCTCATGTTGTACTGAACTGTCTTCTTGTTTGACAGGGATCTTCTCAACGAATTCATGTTGATCAAGGAGCTCTACCTGTGCTGAATAATCACCTGTCTCGTGAGGTTGAGTGGAAGTGCTCTTATCAAAGGTGACAGGCTTGACTTGAAGTGTAGTGTCTCTGTAAAACACAGGTTCAGACTGACAAACAGCATCCATTTGATTAGTGATAGTTTGTGTATTTTCAGATCTTTGGAGGGGATTCTCTGTCTGGACATATGTCTGGTGGATCTGTGGGACTTCCATCAATGTTCCTTGTTCTGCAGTTTCTGGTTGCACTTGGCATGGAGCTCCCACTGTCTGAGGATTGTGGGAAAACTGCACAGACACATCTGATTGGCTTGGTTTGGCCTCAAACTGATCACCCTTATCTGTCTTCTGCACCACCACTTGAACTCCAGACTCACGATTTGGTTTTGCAGTTGGTGTGGTACCACGATGAATCATGCTGGGTTTAGCTTGTACAGGGACATCTGAGGTGCATATCTTATCAGATGTAGTTCCTCTCTCCACTGAGTATACCTGGGTTTGTGTCATTCCATCCAAGGGCCTTGGTGTGTCATACTGTGAAGATTTGTCTGTGGTAGCTGTGCTTGCTTGTGTGGGAGCATCACGCAGATATTTCACGGCTGGAGAGGTTCCACGGTCTAGCATGAGGGGTTTCATTGGTTCTGGCTTATACTCAGAGGGCTGGTACATCACTGGTGCCTCAGCTCTCACCTCATAGATTGTTTCCTTTACATACTCTTGTTCAATCTCTCTGCGAATAATCGGCTCCAAATCACGTCTTACTTTGGGCTCAATTTCTCTTCGGATCTTGAACTCAAGGTCATCTCTTGTGCGCTCTTCAAATTCATGTCTGATTCTTGACTCAAATTCAACCTTGAGTTCCTCTTTTATCTCCATCATTATCTCCTCTTTGTACTCCTCTATGAACTCCTCCCGTATCTCTTCACGAAGTGTGATCTCCAGCTCTGTTCTCAGTTCATCATGCACTTGTGTCTCAATTTGTGAATTAAAGTTGTGTTGGACTTCATTGAGAAGTTCCTCTCGTAACTCTTCCCGTATTTCATGCATTACCTCAATTCTTATTTCGTCACGGATTTCTTGACGTAGGTAAGAGCTATCCAATTGATTGAAAGGTTCCAGTTGTGTAGGAGATGCTGAAACCTGCTGGATCACAGCTGGTTGGATTGGAGATTCAGTAATTGGCATTTTATCCTTTTGAATCTCCTCAAATGCTATGTGTATGGGTGAGCTGGCCCGATCAAGGCAAGCAGGTTTGAAATCCACAGACTGAGTAGAGGAGTCAAGGTGTTGAGCGCGATACTGTACCATGAAGTCAACTGTTCTGACACTTTGCTCATATTGTGTAGTCTCATGGCGCTGAGTTGGAATGACATAAATTGATACGTCCTTGTTCTCCGGCTTTGTTGATGTACCCTTTTCACGAGACTCTGGACTCATCTGGACAATCGCATCAGTAGAGCTTACCCTTTCATACTGAGTTGGGATATGATGTCGGTCAACCTGTGCTTGAACAGCCACCTGGTTCTTTCTTATCGTCAGTGGTGAAGTGTTTTTGGCCACTGAAGCTGGCTTTGCCTGAGTTTGCATATCTGAAGTTGGTGTTGACTGTTTCGGAGTTGATGTTCCTTGCTCCAGTGTTTCAGGTTTAGCTTGAGTGGAAATAGGTGTGCTGTCCACCCTCCAAGTCATGCCAGCATCCATCATCAAAGGTTCAACTTGAGCAGAGATATTTTGGCCAAGTGTATAATGCTGCGTCGCTGCATCACTAGTCAGTACCTCATTGGTGGCAAAGTCTGCTTGTGATGAGACATCCTTGTTTGACACATGGTCAGTGTAGCATGATTCACTAGCAGTGATTGGGCCGGCTTGGACATTGGTATCAGCATGGCCAATCTGTGCATCAAACTGGCTCTCTGCTTCCTTCATAGGAGGAAACAGGGGTGATGTGCTTCTCTCCTTGGTTCGGATATCACCAGTCTGAACAGCAGAATCAATGTAATACTTGGGAGCTGACATTGCTTGGTTGGTCTCGTCCTTCGTGATAGGTTCTTCCATCTCGAAGGTTCTTTGATCTGACGTAAACAGCTTATCAATGATATCTATGCTTTCAGTCATTTCAGCATCATACAGGCGGCTGGAAAAATCTTCAGAATAATCCCACACTGGCGAGGAGCTTTCCTGACGGGGCTGAAATTGGGATGATGTCTTAATTCTTTCAATGGGATGCTCAACAAAGACAGGAACTTGTTCATCATGGGCAAGGTACTCACAAAGTCTGTCTGAATAATCATGCATGAAGTCACTTTCGACATTTGGTTTGAAGGGTTGATGTGGTACGTATTTGACGAGATCTCCAATGGAGCTGTCTAGTTCCCCTGGTACAGCATCTGTCTGAGATGATGCATTGCCGACCTCTTTCCTTTTGAAAATGGGAGAGTTTGCTTGCTCTCTGATGACAGGTTTGACTTGGACTGAGTTGTCTGCAACAAACAGTTTTTCATATTGAGAGGTGTTATGCACTAGTGTTGCATAATCACACTGTGAGCCCTCATTCTTTTTGGGAAGGAACGTTTGGGTTTCAAATGCTCGAACGTTGGGTCTTGTTGTTGTAGATTGATCATGGGATTCGGGCTTAATAGCAGCATGAGTCAGCTCGGATTTGGTGTTTGGTTTAGACTGTATACCAACATCCGATTTCAATAAGATGGTCTGTGTTGAAGACTGGGATGTATCATACTGAGCTGATGTTCCTTTGTCATTTGTTTGTGGGACAACTCTTGGAGAGGATGGCCTTTTGTCTGTCGGTGCTATGTACTGTACTGATACCTCGGTTCTCTGTAATGGAACTGTTGATGTTCCTTCATCTACAGTCAGAGGATGGATTTGTGTGAAGGCGTCTACTGGCTTGAACACCATATCATGCTGCACTGCTGTTTCATGGGTTATGACTGAGGGGTTTCCTATGTCCACCTGAATTTCAACCTGAGAATGCTTAGTGATTTCTGTTGTTGTGGCTTGATCGATGGTCAGAGGCTGTGACTGGTTTGCAGAGTCGATTCCAGTTGACACGGTCTCAGTTGTTGAGTCCTCGGTAACTGGGTTGTACTGCATCTGAGCATCTTGGTACTGCACTGTTGGCAGTGGAGCCACATGCTGTTCTTCAGTGAAAACTTGGGCACTGATGAAATCTTCCTTAACTGACTCCATTCGGAACGATTCCTCACTAAAGTAGGACATAACAGCCTGGACTTCAGCTGTTGAGGTTTCTTGGGATGTAGTCTGAAATCCCATGTCACAGGTATCTGCTTGTGTCTGGGAAGAGCCATCATTGTAGACAGGACCAACTGGAGAGGATGCCCTCTCTGCGACGTCAATACTGGTCTGCACAGTCTGACTGTCGTACGAAGGTTGATGTTGGATGGACCTGTCTGTTGTCATGGTTTCAGGGAATGGAATAGGAGCGTGCTGTATCTTAGTGACCACGGAATGAACAAATTCATCAATTTCTGGGGGTAAATCGGCTTGGTTTCCCTTGTCTTTTGTGTCAAATTCAGTCCACACCCCTGCTTCAGTTGAAATTGGCTTAACCTGTGCTATTTTGTCTTGTGTGTCCTTTTCCTCTGCATGTTGAGTGGAGACATCAATTGTTGATGGTTTTGTACCATCTAAGTTGACTTGAATTGGCTGATCAATTTGTCTTGATTGTGTTGTTTCCGATATGTCATCCACCATCACTGGCTTGATTTGCAGACCCTTGTCTGCCAAGTCTGGTAGATCATCATGTTGGACGCATGCATCGTAGCATTTCATCTCCGCTTGAGTGGTGATGTTTCTTGAGTGCTTGGGTATAGTTAGGGTAGCTCTTGCTTGTGTCTGTGGTTTGATGGCAACTTGAACCATAGCTTGCTTCATATTCATAGGTTCAGTGTTACTGTGAGAGCTTACTGTCCTAGCCTTGCTTGTCCAAGTAGTCTGATCAATCTTTAGAGGCCTGAACTGCATTCCTACATCCATCATCTGTGGTTTTTCTTCACGGATGACAACCGTTTGAATACCAGTTGTCATTACGCTCACTTCCTCTACTGTCTTAGCTTGTACTCCAGCATCTTTTTTCTCTGTTGTTGCTTGTGAGCTTTCCTGTCGGACATCAATGGAGGTGTATGTACTGTGTTCTTTTTGATGGGTGAAAGTCTGGTTAATAGCATTTTGTACATAAATCTCATGCTGTGCAGCAGTGTCTTCTGTCTTGAGTTCTGTCTGGGTCCATGCTGGAAGTGGTTCTAGTGGCATCATAGTCAGCATTCCGTGATCACTCACTGTTGGACGAGCTTGTGTGCCTGTATCAAGTAGCATCGGTCCAAGTTCCAAATAGGATGGCCCTTCAAATTGTGGGTCAGTGGCGGACATGCCATGATCAGTCGTCCTCGGTTCTACTTGTGTGCCAGTATCCATCAAAATTGGCCCCAAGTCAAGGAAAGGTGTTTGCTGCACAGGAACCTGACTAACCCTGATGATTTCTTCCATTGGTTCCTCTGCAAAGTCTGTTTGCACCTCAGTGCTAGTCAAGATTGCCTCCTCGGTAGCTGTTGAGCAGTCATCGTGACCTGGCTGCACCTGGACTGGTACGTTGTTTACCTGTGGTTTGACTTGAGTAGGTGTGTCAACAAAATGCTTGTTGGTCAACTTTTCTTCCTCAGGGTATGCAGTTGATTCCAGATGACTGATAAAGTGTTTCTTTTGTGGCATCATCGAATATTCACTTCGCACTGTCGGGGTCACTTCTCCCTTCACCACTCTTGTAGAATAGATGTTAAACTGTGTGGCTTCGCTGTCATGCTGCATTGACCTGTCATCAGTCTTCACATCAGCCTGGATGGAGGCATCAAGTAGCTTTGGTTTGTATTCAGGCAGAGTGAGTGGGGCGTGCACTGGTTGCAGATGGATCGGAGAGATGTGTTCATCCACAACACGAACAGGAATGCCATCTGTTTGCACAGACATGCTCATGGACTTCATTGGTTCGGTGACAGTTCCCTCATTCCAAGTGTTCTTTCTCAGTGTTTGGGTTGTTCCAACTTTCAATCTTTTTACAGGTGCATCAGTGCCACTCTGCATGATGTCTGGACCCTCAGTTTGAGCACCAACACTGATAACATCATCAATTGTCTGTGCAAAGGCTTCTACAGCTTCAGGAGATGGAGTGATAAATTGGATTTCCTCAACTTCATCAGTTTGTGTTTCTCCATGCTGTAGTTCAGTCTCCTCAGTCTGGGAGTATCCCATAAGAACCACTGCAACATGCTGCATTGACCTGTCAACGATCTCAGGCTTGGTTTCCAAGAAAGTCTGAAGACAAACATCTTGTGAGATCGTCTGATCGGTGGCTGTACTCATGTTGACAGTGACTGTACTTTCTGTCTGAGTTTTCTTCGGTGCTGCATTTGACTCATACTGAGTATCTCTCGTCCGGCGGACTGGAGTAACAGTCTGTGACTCGGCCACAGCATAACTGATTCCTGGTGAAGAGGGTCTGTCTGTTGTGAAGACTCTAGTTGTCTGTGAGTCTTCATGTATTACTTCCGCACTTGCTTGTACACCAGTATCTGTGACTTCTGCTTCAGGAGCTGAGAATACCATTTGTGAATCAACTGGTTGGAGATTGGCAACATGAATAATCTCTGGCTCAATCACTGGCATTTCATCAGTTTGTGTTGTTGAAGTCTTAACCTGGCTTTCTAACGCACGTGTCCCTTGTTCCTTAGTCAGTTTAACAGGTGTTTGAGTGTAAATGTCTTCGTTGGTCAAGTATGGAACTGGTTCAAACTGGAATCCCTTGTTTTCGGTCTTTGTAGGGAAAGTTTGAGAAGAGATGGGTCTGACAGTTCGGGTAGTTGTAACAGTACCAGCATAAGATACTTGCTTTGGCTCTGTCTGAACTGTTTTTGCAATCAGATGCTGGAAAGTTTGTGAAGGTGTGTCATTTACCTCCTTCCTGCTCTCAACTTGGATATCGGCATCAATCATGTCGACTGGACATGTCTGACTGTCTTCATCCATCAACTCTATCTCGGAATCAAAGTCAGAGAGAATTGTAACCGGATCTGTTTGAACGTCAGTGTCAATTCCACTGTCAAGCCATGATTCCTTTTCATCGTCAGGTTCGGCAGATTTAATGATGACAGGATCAGTTTGTATTTCAGCTGTATTTGTTTCTTTGAATGATCTCATCTCTAGTCTGACTTCCCTCTTCTCTATTGGCTTCAGCAAGGCTTGGATTTCTTCTTTTATGATGTACTCCGTTTGAGACGTGGCATCATCAAGAACTGGTCTGACCTGGATAGGAACATCCGCCCAGAGGATTTCTCTCTGAGTCCACCTGGAGATGGTTTCAGGGCCTGATGTCTGAGTGCCTCTTTTGTCGTACTGCTGCAATACTGGAGTTGTTCCTTTGTCCATACTCTTGGGACATGCTTGCATTGTTTTCGATGCAAGTGAAATGGACCAGGTATTTGTGGAATTGTGCTGGTATTCTGTCTGGTCTGTAATTGACCCTGCGTCGTTGACTTCAGGAGTAAACTGTGTAGGTTTGTCTTTGCCGTAGAGGGAAGCGTACTGAATCGCGGCATCGTGAACGTTGACTACAAAAGTTTCCATTTCTTTATCAATTACATCAGGTTTCACTTGCACGCCCAAATCCTTCAGCTCTGCTTCATACTGAGTAATTACATGCTTCACTTCCTGGAGAATGGGGGATGTGCTTCTTTGGATTGTTTCCAGGAAGGTTTGTATGCCAGATTCCTCAGTATCAACTAGGAAGCTAAGTGGTGATTCTACAGGATTGACTTTGTCAGGAATGATGATCTCCTGCACGGTGGGTTTTTCTTCCAGTTTCTTCTTGAGAGTTGCTAGCATTTCTTCTAGGTCCTCTATAGTCAGTTCTGATTGGCAGTCAGACTCTTGCATCTCAAAAGCAGTAAATGAAGCTTGTTCTCGTGTATCGGGAGATGTCTGTGATTCAAAATTGTTAGATTCCATAATGTGCTGTGTTCCAGCCTCAATCATTTCCTGGAAGACTAAGTCGGAGGAGGTTGAGGCATCATGGGATTGTGGAGCTGCCTGTGATGACACATGCACAAAGGCAGTTTCATACTGGGAAGCTTGATGAGTGATGTCTGGATTCTCCGTCAATGTAGTTCCCTCTTTGACATCAGGTGAAGTTTGCATCACTTGAGACAGTGTCTCAGGTTCATTTTGTACAGCGATTTGAGCATACAGCTTTACGGGTGTCATTGTGTCAGTATCCTGCATTCGTGGACCAACTTGAGCATAGGCACTAAATACCTTTGGTAGCTGCATGGAAGTACTTTGATCAGTTAGTACCACATTGTCAGTTTGAGATTCGGCTACCTGCGTCTCAGGAAGCAGTGGAGGTGGAGCAAAGAGAACTGGCTCAGTCCTCATTGGTGCAATAAGCGGTTCTGGTTCTGGCATAGGATTGGTTTGTGAGGCATTATCCTTGCCATGATGAGCTACAGTCTGGCTTGATGAAGGTTGTACCCTGATGATAGGTGTGGTTGTTTCTTGGGTTCTGTTTTGTACAACGGCACTTACGTGCTGATGCATTGTAGGTATTTCAACCTGTGTGGATGTACTGTAGAAGTACATGGGCTCATACTGCACAAAAGAATCTTTAAGGACTGGAACAAAGTCAATGATTGTTACTGGGTTTGTCTGGACTTCCATATCAGAGACTTCAACTGTCTCCTCTGTCTGGAAACCTGTTGCTGTCTGCTCAAGACCAGTGTACTGTGAACTGGTGTTTGCCGTAGAAATTGAAGCTTGCATAGTCTTGTGTTCAGCCCTGAGTGGTCCACGTGGTTGTATACCCACCAAGTCACCCGCATGCTCAATAGGCTTGTAGTTCTTCTCTTTCAGAGGGACATAGCTTCTGCTTGTGACCAGATACTGTTGAGTCTGAATTCCGGAATTTTTCATACGAACCTTTTCCTCTACATCCGTTTGAGATGAGATTGTTGCATGTCTAACAGTTGCTTGTGCATAGGCAGTTGCATGGTGTACTGACATCTGAGATGTAACTTCACGTGTTTCAGGGAGAACAAGGATGCCTCGCTCTGCTGTTTCTTTAAGAGCTTCTATCGCAACACTTGATATTTTGGGCTCAACTTGGACATCCGCATTTTGTGTTTCAACAGGCAGCTGTGGTGTGCTTTCAACCACAGAATCTATCTGAGGAGCAATAATTTCTTTAACAGGCTCATCATCTGTCATGCTCCAGTGATCTCTGACCGTGGGCTCCATCATCTGGCTAAATGACATTGTTGAAGGTTGGGCTTGTGTTGGTTTTGTTGTTAAGTGAATCTTCAAAGTGGTGGTGCCTTGGGACACCAGTTGTGGTCGATGCATCGTCATCTGCTGACCGACAGATGCCATTTTAGGAACATTCTGGACATAAGCTTGAGTATACTTCCTAACAAGAGTGGTGGTTGTTTTCTCCTGCTGATCTGGTCTTGTGAGGATAGCTTGATCAGTCATAATTGGTTCAGCTTGCGTCTCTGAATCAACAAGCTCCACTGAAGAGAATTCAGGCATAAATTCAATAACTGGGGCTTGTTCGACAGTAATGAATTCGTCAAGTTGGATGGGTTCTTCATGTTCTTCTGTCTGCATGCTACTGTCTTTTGTGACTGCCATCTGATACTGTGTTGATGATGCCTTCACATCAGCTTTCTCAGGTGACACTCCAATTGTTTTCAGGGATAGCTTTTCTGTTGAAGATGCTGTGTGACGTGTTGGAATAGATGTTTGGGATGACACAGCTGTCCTGAAGCGTTCAGGCTCATACTGAACTACAGATTCTTTAAGCTGTGGTCCCAATGTTGACGTAAATTTGGACTCGAGCTTCAGCTGTGTAGTTTGAACATCTGAGGTTTTCATAACCTTCTGCTTCTCTGGCTCTGTAAGGATTGCTCGATCAGTTGTAATAAGTTCAGCTTGTGTTTCGGCATTAACCAGCTCAACAGGAATGGATGCAGGCATGATTTCCACAACTGGGGCTTGCTCAACAGTAATGAATTCTTCAATCTGAATAGATTCTTCTTCTTCTTCCGTCTGCATGCTGTTGTCTTTTGTGACTGCCATCTGATATTGTGTTGATGAAGCCTTTACATCAGCTTTCTCAGGTGACACGCCAGTTGTTTTCAGGGATAGCTTTTCTGTTGAAGATGATGTGTGACGTGTTGGAATAGATGTTTGGGATGACACAGCTGTCCTGAAGCGTTCAGGCTCATACTGAACTACAGATTCTTTAAGCTGTGGTCCCAATGTTGACGTAAATTTGGACTCGAGCTTCAGCTGTGTAGTTTGAACGTCTGAAGTTTTCATAACCTTCTGCTTCTCTGGCTCTGTAAGGATTGCTCGATCAGTTGTAACAAGTTCGGCTTGTGTTTCAGCATCAACCAGCTCAACAGGAATGGATACAGGCATGATTTCCACAACTGGGGCTTGCTCAACAGTAATGAATTCTTCAAACTTAATAGATTCTTCTTGTTCTTCTGTCTGCATGCTGTTGTCTTTTGTGACTGCCATCTGATATTGTGTTGATGAAGCCTTTACGTCAGTTTTATCAGGCGACACTCCAGTTGTCTTCAGAGTTGCCTTTTCTGTGGAGGATCCTGTTGTACTGGTTGGAATTGATGTTTGGGATGCAACAGCTGTCCTGAAGCGTTCGGGCTCATATTGGACTATCGACTCCTGTACCTGCGGCCCAGTTGTTGATGTTGATTTGGACTCGAGTTTGACGTGGATAGTTTGAACAACAGATGTTTTAATGTTGGGTTCATGTTGAGAAGCAACATCACTCATTATTGGCTGTACTTCATTTTCAGTTTGTGTCTCTGTATTTGACATTTCCATCTCGGGGAGTACAGGAGCAGACTCGAGTACTTCGATCTCTTCCACTGTCACTATTTCCTCCCCAAACACTTTCGGTTGCTCCTGTTCTTCAGTCTGGATGCTGTGGTCTTGAAGAACAGTCTTCTGATATTGAGTTGATGAAGTCCTGACATTTGCTTTCTCTGGAGAAATGCCAGTCGATTTCAACACGATCTGTTCGGGAGAGAATCCTGTGCTGCTCGTATGAACAGCTGTTTGATTTGAAACAGACGATCGAAACAGGTCTGGTTCATACTGAGCAAACGACGTCTTGAACTGGGTAACATCAGTTGATAGACTAACAGTCTCCCTCTTGACAGGTAGTGTTTGGACTGTAGTGTCAATTACAAGGAACTCCATCTGAGTACTGCTGTTTGTGACATCAAGTTGAACATCTGTCTGAGTTGACAAGTCATCATTATTAATATCATACTGAGTAGCAGTTTGAGTCTGAGATATCTCTGTCGATGAGAACGCATCCCTTTGGCTGGGTGAAAGCATCTGCGTTGTTTTATCCAGAAGTTCTGCTTTTAGGATGGGGATGGAAGCCACAACTGGTTCTTCTACTTGTGGAATGATAAGCTCGATGACATTTTTCTCTAGTGTTTTATCTGTCATGCTCCACTGCTCCCTGACTTCTGGTTTGGATGTCTGACCCTGTGTGCTAGTTGCTGGTGATGCCTGGACTGACATGGCTTTGACTGCAGTCTGGTCGGTCAGTGTACCTTCTGATGTAAGGTTGGATGCAGGTTGGATTTGGGCAAAAGCATCTTTACAAGGAGGTTTCACATAAGGCTTTGGGAACAGGTTTGCCATGCTACTTCGTTCGTTGGACCCACGTATCACTGTTGTCATTCCACGGTCTGTAGTTTGGGGCTTAACTTGGGCAGCATGCACACTGTAAGCTGTTGTAACTGCCAAAGTACCAGTCGATGTCACAAGTGGATCAGCCTGGACACTGCTGTCTCTGAGATTTGTCAATTCAACATGCTGCACCACTGCATCAGAAGTCTTCATGCCCTCTGGGGATGTTCCTTGGTGTTTGGTCTCTTCTGGTACAGTTTGTGTATCCACATTGGATGTTTGAACATTCCGATTCATCAGTGCAACGGATTCTTCAGGAGCTCGTAACACTTCTTGGATAATTGCTGGCTCAACTGTGATTTCGCAATCTGCCTGAGTGCCAACGTCAAGTTGAAGTTTGATTTCCATTGCTGTACCATCTTCAATCATCTCAGGCTCCACACTGACTCCAATTTCATTGCTTTCAATGATGTACTGCATCCCTATGTCAATACAATAGGCTTTAGATTCTGAATATTCTGTTGCTTTGTCTACAGTGCGTGGACGAACTTGAACTGGAACCGTCTTACTCAAAATATCCAGAGGTTGTGTGAAAGAATCTGTGCTATTTTGAGAAACCTGCAGCCCAAAGTTGCTTCCATCTATTTTCTTTTCTGTGAATTTTTCCAGTGTTTGAGGCTTAACTTGACCTGAGAACTCCACTGTTTGTGGTGCAGTCTGCATGGCAGAATCTGTTACATCAGGAGGTGTAGACAACGATGGCATTGAGTACTGTTCGCCTTGTACCACTGCTTTGACAATAGCTGGCTCTGTCTCAATTTCCATAGTGACCTGAACTGACACTTCTTGCTTAGCAACAGAAACAGACTGAGTCGACGTCTCGGTCGTTGGGAGCTCTTTTCCTGTTGAAGCATCTGTTAGCAGAGCATGTGCCTGGACTTGGCGGCTTAACGTTGACATGGCCACCTGTGAACTGTTGTCTGCGTAGTTTACCACCGGAGTACCAGTACCAACATCAGCCACATGAGCATTAACTTGAATAAACTTGTCACCCTGTTCGACTGTGAGAGGTGTCAGTTGAGTGAAGGCATCAGTCAGCTTTGGGGTATCCATGCTTGTGAATGTTACATTGATGCTTGGTACGGCTTGAACAGAAGATTCATCAGTCTCAGCCTGTTCTTGGGTCGGTTCATCAACCTGAGCGAATGCATCCAAGAATTTCTTCACGTTAGTAGCAGCAACCCTGTTTTTAACATCCGGTTTGACTAGGATGGCGAAGTCCCGTACTTCCTTCACATTGGTAGTTTCTGTTGACTTGTCCGTTGATTTCACTTGCCGGTTATCTGTTCCGGCATCTTTCATTCTGATCACTACGGATGAGTGACCATCTGTGACATCTGGCTGTACCTGGGCACCGAAGGTTTCTTGGTTTGGCTGTGGACTACCAACCTGCACAAAGGTTTCCACATACTTTTTGGTCTCAGTACTTGAGGCCTTGCTGTTCTTTTCTGGCACGACTTGAACAGTAACGTCGATCTTCTCCAGCTCTGGCTCTTTGAATGTTATGGGTGCATGAACTGGTTGTACAATTGTCGGTGCAATGTGAGGAATCTCGTGAAGTGGTTTAACTTGTACGCCAAAGTCGGAGGCTGGCGATGGGTCTGTGAGTATATCACGATCCTTAGTTGAAGGACAAGTTTGGATACCGGCTTCTTGCAGAGAAGATTTCTGGGGTGTTGTTGCTGTTGTGGTTTTTGATGGTGAAGCTTGGGTTTCCTGTGAGGATAATTCTGGCTTGAAAATTTGGAAGAAATCGGAAGACTCGGTGGCTTCTGTAACAGTGTATTTTATTGCCGTTGTGGGTTCAACTTGGACGTCTTCATTAACACTAGGTCTAAGGTCACATGATGTGCTCTGTTCAGTAACTTGCGGTTGAATATTGGCTTCAGTGGACACTGAGGAACTCCGAACAACTGCACTTTGGGAGGCCTTTGAGGAAGTTGTGGCTTGAGAAGCTTGAGTCATCGTATCAGCTGTAGCAGGCTTTTTCTGTAGTGCCATCTCTACTATTTGTTGGGTCTGTTGAACAATTTCGGGCTCCACGGCAATCGGCTTTACTGCCTTCAATGACAGTCTCCTCTCCACATTTTCTTCAATGTCACTCAGCAGCGTCAACCAAGGCTTTGTCGGTTCAGTGAACGTGTCGTGAACAACTGGTTTCTTCACCTTCATCTGCTTGGGTCCCTTCAGCTTGAAGATTCCCAAACGAGTTGGGCCCTTAGGCCCCTCTTTGGGTCTTTCAGCCAGTTGAGATTCAAGCTCTCTGATTGTGACTCGGTACTCGTTTTCAACAGAACTGCGAATATCTTTCACGACCTGTCCCCATGGTCTTTCTGGTACAGTTCCCTGTTCTCCAGTGTGAGGTGCGTCAATTTGTGTGTACATACTGACTGTTTGCACTTTGGGTATTTCAGGGGTACTGAGCTTGAAATAGGCCATTGTTTTCCCAGAGTCTGTTTCATCTCTTCCATTTAACTGGTCTTCCAGCTCTCGGATTGTACGTCTGTATTCATTCTCAAGAATTTTCCTCACATCAGTGAGGATGCTCGTCCAGGGCCTGTCTGGTGCAGTTTCTTGCTCAGCTGTGTGTGGTGCAGCTTGTGTCTTCTCACTCACCATTGTTGGCTTTTCGGGCTCTGGTTGTACATCCGGTCCCTTCAGTTTAAAGACGGCAACAGTCGGAACGACTGCCTCAGCAGCAGGCTCATCTTTAGGTGACGACATCAATCGAGTTTCCAGCTCAGTGATGGTGCGTCTGTACTCATTTTCCAAAATCCTGCGTACATTGTGTAGAACATCAGACCAAGGTCGGGTTGGTTCCGTTACCTGATCAGTCATGAGAGGTTTTGGCTTGATCAAATCGCACTGTGTAATGTTATCCCACTTCTCTGGTGCAGGCATGGTCTTAGGGCCTTTGAGTTTGATGACGCTTACTGAAGGAGCTTGTGTTGTGGGGACTTGCTGAACAACTTCCTTTGGTTGGAATCGTCGCATGTGCTTCTTGTATTCCTCAATGGCCTCGTCTTCTATCTCTTCCTTGAGCTCCCGCCACGGAAGATCAGGTTGAACTCCACGGTTTATTACTGTCGGTTTCTGAGCCTCGGGACCCTTCTTAAGCTTGATCACACTGACGGCTTGCACTGGTTCTGACACTTCTTGAAAAACCGCGGGGCGATTTAACAGGCTCAATGTTCTCTTGAACTCTCTGAGAGCTTCCTCCTCTATTTCTTCTCTGATTTCCTCGAATGTCTTGACTGGTCCGGTACTTTTCTCGTACATGTGTGGCCCAGATATCTGAGTGACAGAATCTCGCACCAGCTTCTCTTGTGCGGGTTCTTTCTTGAGCTTGATTACACTGACAGAGCGAACTGGCTCGTGCAAATCCTGTTGTTCAGCTGGTCGGTCCAGTTGTTTCAGAGTTCTCTTGAATTTCTGAACAGCCTCTTCTTCTACTTCTTCAACGAGTTCTTGGAAGCTCCATGCAGGCCCCGTGCTCTTCTCGTAGGTATGTGGGCCTGAAATCTGGGTGAAACTGTCCCTGATGATCTTTTCTGGGGCTGCTTTCAACTGGATAATTCCAAGTTTCTGGACAGACTTGGAAACCTCGAAGTTATCTTTTGGAGTAGGGGCTGACATTCGCTTGTACCGACTTTCAATCTGGTCTTCCACTTCGTGGATCAAGTGAGACCAAGTGAAGGTTGGCATTGTTTCCTCATCTCTCATCTCGGCACTACTCTGAGTTGAGCGATCCATCTGACTAAATGGGACTTGATGTTGTACTTGTTCTTCCTCGCGCTTCAGTTTGATAATGCTGATTGTGCGAGGTAGAGCATCAGTTTCATCAGTTGATTGGTCATGCTGCTGTTTCCTACTGGTCTTTCGCAGGATTTCACTCTCAACCATACTGTGCATCTCACGTAGCAACTGGGCCCATGTATTAGCAGGTTGAGTTCCTCTATCTACTACTGACACAGGGATCCTTGTGGTGGGCTCCCGCCTTGAATTTGGCTTCAATAATTTGATGATCCCGATAGTTGGCATGTCAGAAACAGGGGTATCTCTGGGGGTTGCTACTTGCTGAGTTGTTTCTTCTGTAGTTTCAAAGTACTCTTCCGTTCTTGAACCTGTCATTGGTCTGACATCACTAACTGTTGATCTGGGACGCACCAACCTCACAACTCCAATAGTTGGTATGTTATCAGTGTCCTGATCGAATCGACTTTGAGACTGCCGAGATGAAGCTCTTTCGTGGACACTTTCTTGAAGGATCTGCTGAGCCAAGCGCACAATAGGAACCTCATGCTGTGTCCACTTGTCAGTCTTCTGTCCTCTTGGTCTGTCTTCTGGTGCCGAGTCTTCGCCACTTGCAATCTCACTTTCCACGCCTGATGATTCTGAGGCAGTGTCTTGACGAACAAGCCGAATAACTCCGATCGTGGGGACTTCTTTAAAAGGATGCCTGTCGTCCTCTGGGATATGTGCATGCTCACTTCTAGCTGGGGCTGATCGTGCGCGGCGAGGTCTTGGGGAGCTACGATCAGTTGACCGGCTTGTTGAGCGGTAGGTGACATCTTCGAGAGAAGCCGAGGTGAGATCCTCTTCACTGAAAGTTATGGTTGAAGACTCAGTTTGGTCCTCCCTGATTCTTACATGCTTAGATGACTTGGGATGCATCAATCGGATAACACCTGTAAACCAATTCATAAAAAACATACCTTCAATATCACGCTAATGCTTAGTAGTGTATTTTCTCACTTATAACGTCTTATAATCATGTGCGCATTATTAAATATTTTGTGCAATTAATCAGGTTGTTGAAATAGAAAAGTTTGAGTTCACGTTCAAATATTTACAATAGAACGGCAAACGGACCATTTTCCTGACTTTTGAAATACGTAATTGCTACAAAACAAGGTTGTTAAAATCAACGAAATCGGATTGTGTTTTTGATTTAAATCATTTTTAAAAATTTACATCAATTTTTAATTGTATCTTCGTACGAGTGTCAAAAATGTTTGGTCTTCAATTTAAATGCACAATTTCAAATCTCGTCTCATCATGGACCACTGACGTGAGAAAAAGACCCAATATGGAACCTTTTTTTCATTTTTTTTCGCAAAGAGCTTCTTTTTAGTTGTATGACCCTCTGTTGTCTATTCCCTAAAGGTCTTTCCCACAAGTCTTGCACATTGCCTAACATCCATTTGCCCTGGCACATTTATTTTCATCCCAAAGTGTCACCAAATCGAATTTCTTTTTCGGGGACACTTCTTTTACAAATTTAAGGCAAACTCTTACTGTACACACCTGTGTGCACCGGCTTTTTCAGCCACCGTTTTGAAGACCATTAACAACATACAAACTATGACAGCCCTTGGAGATACTGAAATGTCCACTCTGATGCATGTCAAAATACACTGTTATCTCATAGGCCTTATTCTTAAATTAGCCATTTTAATCGAAATTGGGGCGATCCCTGTCTAAATTTTCCAACTTTGATTAGTATCCTTGTGCTCCAATGGGTAATTGAAAAAGTCGTGTCACCTTTATATACCAAATAAAATATAAAGTAAGACAAGAAGACAAGAACTTCATGAAATGAGCCTGGTATAATACTTTCAAACTCACCGATAGTAGGAATATCATCCACGGTGTTCATCTCGAGGTTGTAAGATGTTCTATCTTTCAAGATACTCGTCCTCTCCTGAGTCACTCCTGGTTGAGAAATGCCTGGCCTGTCACCTTTAGGGCTCATTCCACACTGCAATCCAGCGTCTGCAACCTCGATGTATGTCTCGCGACGATGCCTGATGTAAGAATCTTGCGAGAATCCTCCTGGAGCATGAGTCTGAATTGTGATCGGTTGTCCGGTGGAATTAACTGGATACAGTCGTACTGTGTTTGGACTGTCAGGATCCCTTGTGGGCATGACTCGGTATTCTTGTCCCTCACTACTGCCATCTGTATCAGAGTCAGGTTTGACAAGCTTGATGTAACCAATGACTGGTGTCTTGTCGTCTTGATCTTCTGTCGGCCCTTCTTCATGGAGGATTTGTTCGCGGGCATGGGCTGCAGCAGCTGCACGCATGGCAATCAGTTTGGCTTTGTTGAGTCCGGTGCTATAACGGTACCTGCTGTTGAAGAGTTCAGTCGGAGTTTCTTCTTCTGAAGAGCCATGGTCTAGAGGGATACCACCGACGGTTGCTCGGAATGTTCCGTGACCGATTTTGCCAGGTTCTGAGTGCTTCTGCATGTTCTGGAAATGCTGCTGTCCCTCGATGCTGTCTCCGTAGTCATAAAGGTCATCATCACTGCTGTCTGAGCGAGATGTGGAGGGTGTGGCACGAAGGATGAAGTTGCCCGAGGGATCATAACTGGTTCCTGGGGAGTCACTGTGGATTTCTGCTTCAGTGTATTGTTGCCGTTTGGTTGAGGTTGGTTTGCCGATTGTAAAATTGTCATCGATACTGATTCGTGTTTCAGGCTTGGCTTCCTCCTCATCCATATCCAAAACCACCTCATCAGGGGCTCGCAGCTTTCGCCAGGTCACCCTATCTCCTTTAATCTCCATCTCATCTCCAGGGTCTGTTGTTACAGTAGCAACCTCACGCCGTACTTTGCCCCCAAAACCAGTTGTATAGGTGTAGGTTGTTACTTCCCCATCGTCCTCGTGGATGTCGATGCTCTTCCGACCAAAGCCATCCCTGTACTTTGACGATGTAAAGTTCACGTGGCCAACTCCCTGCGGAGTTTGCAGGATTGGATATTCATCAGCATCCATATACAGGGACTCGAGGCTGTTTGTGTTGCCCTTGCCACTGAGGATGTTTGGAACACGAGACCCCCATCCAGCATTATAGGTGAACATGCTGTCCACGCCATAGTCTGGCTCGTAGTCATGGTAACCGTTCATGATGGCATTACCAGTGTCCCGATCTTTGGTGATTGGGTTGCGGTAGAGTGCAGGCACATACAGCATGTTGTCTTTAGTTTCGCTGATGCTGAATATAGATGCCCTCTTTTTCTCCTTTGCTTCCCTAAGTGATCGCTCTTGAGCATCGGAATCGCTCTCATAGGCAAGATTCTCCTTCACGACCAGTTCCTCATCGGGTGAGACCATGAAGCGATGGGCAACCTTCTGCGGCTTTTCTCGGTCTCGGCAGTATTTCCGGTAGCATAAGATAGCAAGAGCTTCGATGATTAAAGTCCCCACGAGAACGGCCACGCAGGCACCAATGAGAACTCCAACACTGACTGTGTTTTGGGAGCAATCACAGGGTGGGCACCCGTCTCCTTGCTGTGCCGCTGGTGGTACAACAAGAGCAAGAAGGAGAACCACCACACATACCAGTGGCGTGGCATTGCCGATTGACGTCATCTTGGAAGTCGATTATTACAACCACGTGAAGTTGAAGCGTCACTGGTTTGGAGATGAAGTCATATTACCGTAGCAGATACAAGGAGCAGCTGACAATCTTTTTACCATTGATGGGGATCTGGGAAGCAGAATAAGGAAAACTACATAAATTACATGTACATGCATTGAGAAGTTGACGACATGACAAGCACTGAATCTTGAAGAATAAAAGGACTCCAAAGAAGTACAATTTGTGGTACAATATATAATTTTTACTGAGATTTTGTCCTACAGAAATATACATGTAAACAATAATAGTCAACCAACACATTTGTTCCCCAAAGGTTACACATGTGCACGTTGCGCATTTCAGTTACACAGGCTTTCATAAGTGTTTGCGGAGCCGCATTGTTGGAGAAGTTCTTGATGGTTTAATATGTCAGGTCCACTTTTAGGTTTGCAACACTTAAACTGGCATTCTAGTAGAGGCAGTACAGATGGTGAGTTCTTAATACATGAAAATGATTCCAAAAGGTTTATGTAGCTGAGTACATTAGCTCGAGTACAAACATCCGTCACAGGTCTTTTTAACAAAGTCTTAATCTAGTTCCCTGGTACATTTTTCATTTTGATTTGAAAAAAAAATAATCTCGATGGTTGGCATTATCTAACATTCACCTTGATCTTGACAGTTGGATATAATCTTGTTTAAGTTATTCTTCAAAAATGGATGAATGTATCGACAAACTTTTTGAAGGCGTTTTCCAAGGGTGGTAGCCTTTTCTCATGGGGTAGTGCTTACTTGATTCACTCGTAAACACGTTTGTTGTTTTGATGTTGGAGGCCATTCTTCATTCTTGTCACGTTTTAGGCATACATGGAAGTGCTTTCGAACAGAATTTTTCTCATTCAAATATAAGGCCCAGAGTTTAGCCCGAGGGCGAAAATTTGTTATTGTTGTACTAGTTGTTGGCGAGCTAATTCAACCGAGTGTGGTTTCTCCTGTGAAAGTTTGTTGTGCCTTGGTAGGCTCATAAAGAACGGGCGTGAAACCAAATACACGTCGCCATGAAAAAGAACGATTGAGGTATTGTTAGTGTCTGCTTCAAAACGGTCAGACACTTGTTTGAATTTAAGGAACAAGGGCAGAGTTTAATTTTATCTGCTTCCTGTTCACAAAAGGCTTCTTGCTCTTTGAAAATTCATAGACGGTTTAGATTCATCTCAGCCCAATCTTTGTTGCGGTACTATAAATGCAAGATCGGTATAGCATGGTGTCTAAATGCACCTGTTGAAACAGAATCTTGGCGTACATGTACATGTATCAGGTCATTTATCAGAACTTCTTTCTTTTGTAAGCCCCTATGTATCAACAGGAACGGATCGCTTTAAATTTCAATGTATGACATAATTTTTTTCTATCTTCCACACGATGTATTATGGACTACTCATTTTCAGTCGTTTTATTGAAAATGAAAAGGGGATGCGCTGGAAACCGGACATACTTCTTGTCTTAAGCTTGCATCAAAGAAATTGAAAAAAGTACGAAACTTTACAATAACGGTCCATAGCGACTTCAACATTCCACACAAATCAAGTCCAATGAATGTAAAATGACAAAGTAGCCAATGTGAAATTCACCAAAATTGACCCGCGGACTTGCCCTTCTTAAATGCGGCCACACCTCTTGTGGAAGAATAATTGAATTCTGACGAATCATTTTACAATATCGAATCAGATTGGCACAACACTCAATTGCACAATCCGCTTGGAAAATTTGCGCCCCTGGTGTTCCGCGTTTTCGCTGAGACCTTTAGTAAAGTGACCATAGAGTCGACCTCATTAAATCGCTCAGGCAGCAAATAATTCAAAGGACGGTAGCCATCAACAACAAATGAATTGGCCAAGGGCCGGTTGGGGTTTCCAGTTCTGCGAGAAGAGCAGCTATTAAGTCACGATGCATTAATACCTCAGGTGAGTGGACTACTGGCAAAAGGACCACTGACTAAATACACTTTGGCTAGTGCAACAAATAATTCAACGCTTAGGCAACAAAATTCAAAGCATTGGAGTCACCAACAACAATATCGGTCGAGGGCTGGTTGGAGTTTTATAAGAGCTTATTACACACAGCATATTATACATCTGGTGAACGTGGTGGGGGGGCACTGACCAAATGTACTTTTGGGGTTTCGGTACTTGTCTACCTAACTACATGTGATGCTGGCTTGAATCAATACTTAACGGTAGGGATATACTTTTAGTGAAAGAGAAAGGTTAATATGCATTCTTAAAACTATATAAACTTAATCCAAACACAAATCATCTTTTACATATGAAACTTGCCGTAAGGCTCACGTAAGAAACTGTGTTGTATGACCCCGAATTTTCAAGAAAATCTTAACTTTCCGAGGGAAACATGTTGGACTTTGAAAGATCGGCTTTACGTGATATTTAAAGACTCAACATAACACACTGATAATGAAAATAAACTGCTTTGAAACAAACTATAATTTACCAGACGAGTTTTAATATTTCATGAAGATTTTGGTTATGGATCGCTAGTCACGTACATGTACATGTATTTAGTGCATGTTGGAGCCCCTGTCGAATCGTAAACTTTGCTCACTGAAAAAGCAGCGTTTCCACGTACATGTACACTAAAGTTTAAAAGGCTAAAGAGACCTGTACGTTTTCCATATTTTAGTTCGGTACAGCTTTTATGGCAGGTTTTATATTTTTACCTTACGGGGGCCCCAGTGACATGGTAAAGAAGAGGGACAGCTAGTGAATTCTTTTGATCCGCAAACTGTCAAGAGAGTTAACGTTGCGTGAAAGATAAATGCAAGGATTTCTCCAGTTGGAATGCCGATGTCTTTTTGTCATTGAAAAAGGCCAAGGGGCCTGGAACCGTACAGAAGTAAGAAATGTTGACCACTGAAGCGTATTCACCTTTTGGTATTTGAATTCGATCCATAGTTTACAAGTTTATTGTCGCGGAAATGGTGACAGGTTTTATGTATGTTTGCACCTCACCACAATGGGTGATGGGGCTAACTTGACAAGAGGCCAATTGGAGATGGGGCCGAGGCCTGTGGTCTTCTAATGGCGCTGAGGATCTAGTGCCGGAAACGTGAATAGTTTGTCATTTAATTCCACAATCAAAATTGGAAGTTGCGTTATCTCTTATGGGAGTGCCAAGCACATGTGAAAACCATCACTTCTTTATTCCAGCGCATATGAATATTGCATTTTGGCTTCATAATTTCAACTGGAACTAGTCAAGAAATAGTTATGGAATAACTCATTGTGAAAAAATATAAAGCTTGTACATGTAGAGAACTTGTACGATTTTAGGTTTGAAACTTTCACAAGGCAAACCAAAATGCTTGTCTACGTGTACACGAGTGACGTTTGGATACATACACCCGTTCGTACCTACTGCAGGTACTGTGATTTTGATGACTGAAATTTACTACTTGATGCTAGCTTAATGGAATTGTTTTTACCGTAACTGACTTCGCTTACATCGTTGGGGCAGTTGCGTATCCATGTCTTCGGTCGATGGGAAAGGCTGAATGGATTTTTCCCACGTGAGGATTTTTCATCCTCAAAATAACCTTTAAGCCCTCCCAAAGAAAGATAGTAGTACCGTTTTATGACTGCTGGTGCTTTGAATTAAAATAAAAGTGGCAACATATTTCCATGTGGAAATTTATCCCCCTCCGACTCGATACGCCACTGCCTCGGGCAAAATGAAAGTATCATTATCAAGAATTAAATGCCAATAAGAAATGCACAACACATCGGCCCGTTTATGCCAGGTTCACACAAATCCCGATTTTTACGCCCAATCGTTTAGAATGGCGATTTTTTTTTTTTTTTAGTAAAGTGGGAATAGTTCTTATGTGCTTTTAGCAGTTCAGTTAAAGATCGGGAAGTGCCCCAATAATTTTTTCATACTCAAAGTTGTCGTAATGAAATTGGCATAATTCTAAGTCATTCAATATTCTTGACATAATAGCTCCATACTCTAAATCGCAATCGATTGGCTTGATTCGTTCCAAGTCCGATTTCGTTCTTGATTATTTTTGTTTTATTCTTAAGTTTTATAAACAGTGAATTAGGGCTGGTGCCCTTGCATGAATTTCACTTGAAATAGTATCGTCCCTCAGTCAGAGGAGTTAAGTTTTCACTCTAGAATTTAAAGAGTAGACTATTCAAGTCTTGTGAGAGGTTTTGTGAGGGCTAAGATCGGATATGCAACCACACGAAAAAGTGTGCATTTATGTGTGCTATGGTGTGTACCATCCGATACATTGATGACTTAGGTTTTGGGCAAGAAAAGGGCAGGTTGTAAAAGTTCTTCTCATCGGTGCATCTGTGATGCAGTTGCGGATCAAGAGCAACTTTAAATCTGTTAAACATGTATACCTTAGAATAACTAGGGAGAATACATCAAAGAACACACCAATACACTTTCTGGACTCAGTTGTGGCTGTTCGTCATGCATTGTTACTGTTTAATATTTGTCTCTGGCCTAATGAATTTTAGGAGTACGTGATGTGCAACAAGAAATACACCGATAGTGGAAAGCCACGTTTGTCTAGAAACGGAAGCAGATAACAGAAAATCCGTTTAACCTGCTTATCGAAATTTAGAAAGCTGACTAAAAGTCGGAGCCTGGCGTTTCGATCGAAAGAATCTGTTACAAGTTGCCATGACATTTGAGTTCATTTCTGAATGAAATCTCAAAAGGGAAGGATTCTGCTGGGATCGGAGCAGCACGTCGGCAAGCCTTTGTCTATCCCTGTCAACTTCATGATCAGAAAATGAACGTGGATTAAATTACTCGACAACAGTTATCATAGAGCCTAACAACCACAATATCGGAAACTGTGGTGCATTTGAAAAGCTGTGGGGATGGATTATATCGCTTATAAGTTCCGGGCGTAACAAGCAACATGATAACTTACCGGAACAGCAACTAGTGTCCGCTAGAGAAACAACTAATCTGGAAGTATATTATCCGTAAAGGTTAATAGACACCATATCATCCACGACTTTGCTAATGCTAGGTCGAATTGCCGGATCCATGCAACACTGGCACCAGTAAAGCAAGCAAACATGTCCACGGTCTCTGCTGTGCCGAACCCACCTAACGTTGGAGCTCGAAAGCCTCAGTTCTTTAAAACCGGTATGCACATAATTATAGCTCATACGTTGCACACTAACTACCAACAAGAGACCTCAGCACAAGCAGTTACGGACCAGTGGAGAGGCACAATGGTCCCTTCGATCCGACTACCAATGAATTCTTTCGATTCTTTTCTTTTTCTTCCACAGTAAAATCTCCTGTGAGGTATTTACGTCTGGGTAAATTTACAACAATAATGGAATTTAAATCCGCACTCTATCACCAGCCGTGTACACAGCGTAGGCCTACATGTAAATGTCATGAGCGAGAACACTTGGAATTGCGTAATATAATGCATAAATCACACACTGGCTTCAAAGTTATATAAACTCGTGGAAGTTAGAAAACGTAAATTGCTTTCATCACCTTCTTAATTCAGTAGCAAATATTGACAAACTAACAAGTAAACAGAGGGTAGCTGTTACAGTCTATAATGACCGAACGGGCTTTGAGATGTACGATTTTGAGGTTATGTATATAACAATTATTAAGGGAAGGCCGTGCTTACGGAACAAACTGCGCGTTTTATTTTTTTGTGTTTTACTTTGCCGCATCTTCATTGCACAGTATGCAATGAACGACTTTAAAAAACTTTAATTGACATGAATGAATTACTTATATATACAATATATAATATATATACAATATTACAAAAGAGTGAAAAAATCTAAAGACCTGGATTTTTAAACTGCTAACTTTGATCGTCAGCTGATAATCGACAGAATTCTCAAGAAAATTTAGCATGATGTTTGCTCACATCATAATGTTTGAATATAGGAGCCCATGGCATTGTCATTTCATGCCATTCTTGTTTTGTTTTGTTTTGTTTCGTTTGTTTGTAAACTTTCGACCATGTTTAGTTTGAATCAACATACAAATGGGGTACTTGTGCGCGTGAAAATTGAACTGTAGGTTAAACAATCACGCCTGAGTATTCATCGAGGCATAATTTTGTCAACAGCAAAGAATTTCACAAATTTCATCCTGAGTTTCTCCAACCTCGGAAGGAGACGACGCGCAGAAGTTAAACTGTACAATGAAAACAAGACTATTATACGTATAAATCAAAGGTGTTTACGGACAGCAAATTAGGCACTCGATAAAACTCCCAGCCAATGAAAATAAAGTTTTATGCATGTTTTCCATTCAGTCAACCAAGAAACAAACTATCGTCTGTTCCCCGACTCTTATGATAACGCTTCGCATATTTCTCCAAACAACTCCGGCTCCTGCTAAATAAACCACAAAAGACCTCCAAACTTCACGATGGTTACCATGACGAAACGGGAACGTGGTCGCAGAAATTTATTGTTCGCTCACTCAAAGACCCGCCCAGGATTAGTTCCACGTTGACGGTCATGGGAACAAAACATTGCAAAGTGAAATGAAACCCTCAGCATAATACGCCTTCAGAATACAAGGCCAAGAACAATCCACAGTAAACGCTCAGGTGTCAAAGGAGTCAGAGAGTCGCTTACAAGTCCGAAGGCTACAGGAATATCGAGTGAATCATAAACTCCAACACTGTGGGAAAATTTTCTCTTTAGACAAAAGGACAACTTTCATGTTGACATATCTCACTTACAAGTCAACTTGGAATGTAACTTTTCTGTTTTTGTGTCAACATTTTGCGAACGCACAACGATTGCAAAATTACTGAACACTGATCATTGTACATGCATTCAAATTAAGAACATATATTCAAAATAAGGTTAGGGAGTGGCTAAAGGGGGTTATGCTTTTTTCATAACGTACTGTGTTCTCAAGTTAACTGGTGAATCTAATCATTTTAACCGATGAGTCGGAATAATTTAACATATGAGACGGGTTTGTATAATTATTGGGGTTTGTCGGTTTAAATGAAGCGCAATGTTGGAGAGCATCTTAACTAATCTTACATCAAAGACCGTAAAATTATAGCACTGTAGCTGAATTTACACAGGGAAAACTGCTTTGTTTGTTACTTGTGTTAATTTTTGAAGGTCATTGCCCATCTTCCAAAAATTCAAGGTAAATCGTTTCTCGCTTCAGATATCCCCTAAGAGAAACTGAGAAAGACAGACGCTTGCATGCCCGGAAAATAATCAGTTTTGGTTTCAAGGCTATCCCGCTTCTAACAATTTCCCAATGAGGCCTCTTTAACTTGTACTTCAATTGAACATCGAACAATGAAGTGCCCTACCTCTTTCCACGCATGCCAAGTATTCACTTGATATGGACAATAATACACTCTCTTGTTGCCTTGTAAATACCACCAACTTATACAGTAGTTTTCAAAGTTTTTCAGCAATTCGTGATCAATCACGTCATGCTGTCTGTGTGGGCTTACTCTCAGCTTTGCAGTTGGAGAACTTTATCCTGTCAAATAAGAAGCAATCTCAATCGCTTTCTGTGCAAGTTTGCGTGGTTCTGGTCCAACCCTCCACTTTCCATTCTTCACAAAATTTGGATACACAAGTGATTATTCTCTCCTAGTGATGTAGGTCTCGAGGCAGGTCTCGGTGTCGAGATCCGTCGGTCTATCTCTCTCTCTCTCTTCCCCTCCCACCCAGTCTTTTGAAATGCAAATCTTACTTTTAAATAAAGCAAGTAGAAAAATCAGAAGAAGGCCTTTACTTCATACCTAACAGGTTACTTTGGATCTTGATCAAAGTTTTAAGACCAATGCACCACCCAATGGTTTTAGTGGTTTTACACCTGTAGAATGTTCTTGTAATTGATTCAATCCCGCTCGTCAAGCACGCTAAAGTGATCAATACAGTTTTTGCTCGCTCCGATATTACCAAGTTGACCCCGTAATCTTTCCTCAAAACTTTTATAGCTCAATGTATGCGATCCTTTTCAATTCGAACTGCGTCACAGACTGCAATGAAAATCAGTCTTTATTTTCAAAGAGGTAGACCATTGCGTTTGTATTAAAGGGAACTTTAGGCATACCATAAGTGTAGCCTGTATGTAACATAGAGAAACATGAGATATAGACATTTTTAATTGCCTCTTTAAGAGCAAGAATGAATTTGACGAAAAAATGGAATGAAGAAAAAAATGGAGATTTAGTTAAGCGGAAGATACACGGAAACGAAGCTGCTGTGTTTGTCTTTTAGATCGCAATATTGACCTTCAGCTAAATTGTGTGCTTTAATTCTCAGTAAAGGAAAATAACGTTCCTTGTCAGCTTTTGTAATGCATAAAGTTTGGCTACATCAATCTGCAGGATGAACTTCATATGCTTGTGTTTTTTTCTTTGGCGTGAATTTTGCGGAATCGACACTGGCTGCCTGAAACTGCAGTCTGTTTTACTGTTGGCCGGTCAGGACTTGCCATCATATTTTTTGGAGGTGGGGGGGTCTGTAAATAATGGCAGACGTGGGAGTCAATCTTTTTAGCACTTGGTCTCAAAAGTAGCTTTATTTCTGTCAAACAGCAATAGTACTTACCTATAACGTCGCTTGTAATTACTGACGACAGTTCCAAAAGAGAGATTCGGGAGTGACTTTCTCGCCAATCAGCGCAGGATACTGATGCCCAAGCCTCCACAAGACGGTCGGGTCGGCTGGAGAAAATGTTCAGATGTCCATCGCTGGCTTGAGCGTCCAAGCTGCTCACCGGTGACGGCCAGCTACCCGAATTGGTTCCTGGATAGCGATTGGAAGGCCTTGGTTCACTGGCTGTTGCACCAGCCGCTCCACTAGCTGACTTGCCCGACACTGTTTTACTAACGCCCTCGTCGCGTGGTAATATTTGACAGGGAAAGGACAAACATTGGTACAATACCTGGCTTGATAAAAGAAACATAATCAACTCAGTCGAGTGAAATCGCTGTGATCACTATCGGCAGGAATGGATTTCGAACCCATCACAAGCATAGATATGTCGAGCTCATGTACGTAAAGTGAACGAGTAAAATACAAATTTCTTACACGTAGACGACTCGATCAGCCGTAAAACTGCATTGCGAGGGGACATCCCTTAGAAGGGGGGAGGACTTCGTTGACTGAACGCAGCACTGGCCATGGATTCAACAGAAAACTAGGCAACATTTTGTTCTCATTGGGTCCCCGGTATAAAGATTTAATTGCTAATTTAGTATGCAGGGGTAAAAGGAGTTATCGCTATTGACGCAATGCACGATGCGAAAATCACATCAATCAGTGATATCAATCATTGATATACGGCAATTATTGTCAGCCTACTATGAGTTGAGCTGTGACGTGTTTCCTTGTGAATTGCACCAACCAGCCATGGAACCAGAACGGAGGCGTTTCTATTGTAGTCATAATATAAATATGTGCTACAGATGCTTCAGGGACTTTGCATTCATCCATGTGTAAACACGAATGCAAAGGAATGCAATTTTCAGTATTGGTATCTCTTTTGAGGCCGTACCAAATGTGGATTTCCCAAAAAAATGTCAGAAATCGTTTTGGAGCAACGCAAGGTCGCCCCGGCTTATAGTTCCTGACTTGAAAAGGGGCCTTTCAAATAAAAATCTCGGTTTTTTGTGAAAATTGTACATCGAATGATCAATCCAGCCACAGAATCTCGACTGGACCTGTGACTTTTCATCGCACCAAGCACTTGTGCTTGCAGTACTGTTTTAACTTTTGTTTGTGTGCGGGGGGGGGCACGAGGGGGATGCCACTTTGCTGGCCGAGGCATTCTTTGTTAGAGGGCAATAAGTAATGCGATGTGGTTAGCCGCTTCTAAATACAAGAGATTTAAAACAGTAATACCTCTGCGAAACACATTTTCATAAACCGTTGCTGGTTTTGTTCTTTCAAAATGTGCGGAAAACTGAAGTGAACTTGTCAGTGCACTACAGGGTCTACACAGCGGCTGGCTGGCCCGCTCAGGAAACTAAGTGCAGCATCGAAGAATACCTTATCAAAAACGACCTTCACTTTTATAATGTCGCGTTAGATCATTTGTGACGGTTGCAATTGATAGAGTGGGGCTTTTTTCTGTGTTTACCAAAGTATCGGTAGTCCTTGTTGAAATTTGCTGTATGCGGAACTTTATGATCATGCACATATTCGAGCGCCAACCTTTTAAAACAGCTACTATTTGCTTGCTCATTAATGGGAAAACGAATGCAATACCCAGATAACCCCCTCCTTCAAAAGTTAAATAGTTTAATACACAAGATCACATAGTTTTACACATAAATCCATTTCAACAAGGAATTGAAATACTCATGGAGGTCAGCTCCGTCTGTGACTCGACTGAAACACTGTACTAATAGCAAAACAGCCGTCGGTTGTTTCCCATGATTCTCAGGTACATTGCCAACATGGCGGGGTTACAAACCGACGTGAACGTAAACGGATAACAAATGACATTGACCATAACGAAAGCTACACGGAAAAAATCAATATGGATTCTGTAGTTGGTGATGACCCTACATTACCAGTAGACTTTGAGGAGAGGTAAGTCACATTTACGGTTATTTATCATTCTATAAGCAGATGGTTTTTCTGTATTTTCTGAGCGTTAAATGTGACGTTGGGGGTCTGAAGGCATCAGACTATTTCGTTTGCAAAGGTGTACTTCAATGTATGTGTGAATTAAGTCTGACACCCTGAGCGTCATCTGTGTGCGAGACGTTCCTAAAATTTAATTCATTAGGTAGACCTGGCCCTAGGCCTACATCATGTAGGTACGGTGTCCAGCACTTTTCAGGTTTTTTGTTTGACCGCTACAAATTTAGTACCATTTCAAAGTGAATTCTGAAAGAAATTGAATGGTATGAAATTTACCGGTAGCTCAGTGGGTCTAGCTCTTCTTCTTAGTGGGGCTTAGTGAAGTTTGGATAAAACGTAGGCCCTGTGCTTTTTTGTTATTAAAAATAGGGCTAGGTGTAATTACTCTATCAGTACTTTTTGGGGGTGGACAAAAATTTTATTTTCATCAATGTATTTGAGCCACATGGAGCCTTGTTCCTCGTTAGTTCCACTTCCAGACATGCCAGATTTGAACAAAGCTCTGTAATTAAGTCACGGAGGAAGTGGAAAATAGGCAACATCTTTATGGAGAACTTTATCAATACTAAACATACAAGATACATACAGGAACAGAACAGTTGAGTTGGGCTCAAAAGTTTTTGTGATGTGTGAAAGATCACTGAAGCATACATGTAGTTTTGATGTGGTATTTTTTCATCAATATGGCCGCACACAATGTTTTGACGTACATTATGCAGTGTTAAGTGGCTCTGATCTTATATTATTTTCATCTTACTTTACGCCCAAAACTCAACATAAACAGACATAATAAATGGTACTAACACAAATTTCGGTTCTTCGACAATACAACTGCTTTTTAAAGTACAGAATTTGGTGCACAAAAAGGGCAGAAATTGTTGATTGAAAACAAACACTTTTACACGCTTTCAGATATAAAATTGAAGGTGCAATTTCACTGGACTCTCTAGCTTAGGCCCCAGGCCTACAGTATTTATGAAGTAGAAAACTGGACATCTTCCCAATTCCCTTAATTTTTTAAGGAGCTGCTATAAGCAATTTGACAGTAGGCTTTGTTGCACAGAATAACAGAATGGGCCTGAGTAGGCTTACATGTATGTTGGAAATGACAATCATTCATGACAACATGGACAATGAATGATGACCACCCAACCATGCCCACCATTGTTTTTTAATTTAATGTTCATTTGAATAAAATGACATGCACAACAAGGTACGTCGTGTCATGTTTATGGTTAGAAAATACAGGATTTTATTGAAAATGAGAAGAAAACACACACACATTTCAATTCCGTGTCTCCTTTCAGCACAGCTTGCATGAAGCTACAATGTACACGTACAGTACAATACCACAACCACAGAATTTGGAAGTCACATTAAATATAGCCGCACTGTTACGTGCAATGAAACTAATATTGTACTGTAAACTTTGCACCGTAATGATAAGTGTCAGTATTAGGCCTACTGACTGACCTGAATGATTGTAAAGTCTAGTGGTAAGCATGGGGGGTTTCCTTGTGACAGTTTTTCCTGATCCTAGTTCTTTCCCCTAAAATTTCCAATGTTATCCTTTCTAAAAATAAAATTCTACTTGTAGTACAGGAAATTGCAGGGTATTTCATGATTCATTGCTCGGGAGAATTTTGTGTAAATAAAGGAAATACCATGTTGGTCTAAAATCTTAAATGTGTGTTTAAGCACGACATGTAACGGTCTAAAAGTGTGTAACTGTAAGCTTGTAACCAGACACAGATTGGTTTTGGTTAAAGGTTTCATGTCCCCAAAAGTACTGGTACTCATTGTGAATGTTCAGGGAATTGTGCAAGTCCAATTGCCCGGGACAAGTAATCTCTTCTTTCCGGCAAGTAAAAATTAGGGACAAATGGACAGTTACAGGTACCTCTTTTCTTGAAATATAAGTGTCCATTTTGTGTAGCCAAAACAGCAGTCAGTAAATATACCTTGATTTGTTTTTTCCTCTTCACAAAAGCTTAAAAAAAGTGGTACAAAGGTAAACAGCTACGTGATGTACAATGACTTTTTGCATTGTTAGGTAATCGCATGTATAAAGCATGCTGTACATTAGCGGGGCACCTTTCCGTGCACGGAAATTGCGTACACAAATGAACTGTAAAATACCCTTTTCTTGGTAACAAACTTCATTGGTTAATGTACGTGCGGCACATTGGAACTTTGACAGCTGGAAGCTTGAAGACTGTATTGCATGTAGCTGTGACTTCAACATTAGTGAATAAGTGAATTTTGCCTGGTACGTGTGTGTGTACCAGGCAAAATCGTCGAGAGGTTAAGAAATAGCCATTGCTTGAACTTGTATGAATGATGCATCAGAGTCCTGGGCACTCTCTGCATACATGTGCTTAGTTGGGGGAGTGATTCATGTCATAGTTTTGGCATAGCAATTTCATCAATGGTGATTTGTTAAAAGAAGTAACTTACTGTCCCGGGGAAGAAATAAGCAACTTTTTGCACAAGTAAAATCTTACCTGGGACAAGTCAATTTTCAGTGCTACTTGCCCAATGGATCCACTGTCATTTGAATGTACAGAATTTATCAGTAGTTTATGCTCACTCTTGACATCTTGTCAATGGGCAATATATTGTACAATGTTGTTGGGTCATGGTGGAGGATGCACGCCACATGTACATTGTATATGTATATGTTAGTTGTATTTTAAAATGTTGAAGAAAGCTCAAGAGTTCATTCTGCCCTTTCATGTTAATTTCTTACCTGGTATTGGATGGTTCAAAAGTTTGAAAGTTAAATTTTTCTTGTCTTATAGGAAGAAGACCCTTGTAATTCCCCAAATAGGACGCTGAGCACAGAGTTTGGACATGATCACTCCCCATGTACATGTACAACAATAATTGCTACATAGAAGTATGTGCCCGAAATCAGACCCATGTGACTTTGTCGCAAAGGCGGACACGCCATGATTTGCACGCTCCCATTGGACGATCGCTGAAGTTGCGCGTTAACTTCTGCTTCCATGGTTCCATGTAAACAGGGATCAATGCATGTAATTCTATGCAGTGCATTTGCTGTGGGCGTAGTTTAAACTGAAGTGACGTCACACTTACGAACCAGATATTTATGTACTGCCATTGATGTAGGACATGATCCATGTACATATATACGTGTATGGTTGACTGTATCACCAACGTGTATACTGATGTGCATGTGCAGTAATCAATAAAACTACTCATGGTATTATAGAACAAACCTTTGAGGCATTTACTTTATTGATTGGTCAGTAGGACAATTTCTGCAGCGTGAACAAGTTATACTGAATGATGATTAACATCAAGCTCTCTCATATCTGTGGTAAATAGAGGGTACACATGTACATGTATGTATGGTAAATGTACAGTACATGTATGTTTTGGGCAATCCCTGTCATATGACACATGATGTTGTAAATTTGGAACACGTTCTTTAATTTTCAAGAGTGAATAAGTAACGCAGATTACCTACCAAATAAATAAAAATACATGTACATGTACATTTACTTTGAAGTCAACTTTGAAGAAGTTTCCATGTCAAATTACACAGTGAAGGTGTAACAGAGACACAGAATGACACATGTACATGTACATAAATGTGTAACAGTACCTGCACCAACACTTTGCACAAATTCATATACCGTATGTATTTGTGTTTTACATAAACTTTTTTCCCTCCTTTGGCCCATTGATGATAATTTTGTATACAGTGTATGTAGTTAATGTATTGGAGCAATCTAACACAGATAGATGCATGTAGCTACCCTACCATCTCACTTGTGCCTACAACAGCAAATTAAGAGGCCTACAACCCTCAGCAAATTAAGAGGCGTTTGGTTCATTTAACAGCCTTGACCTCTCTGCTGCAACCATTGGCCTTTTGTTGTACTCGACTTCTTTTCCCCATGTTCAGATATAGTTGGCCGACCAGTTGTAACCATCGGGACTGCAGTTTCTTTTCTATTTTTCATGGTTCCAGTAGCTCTCTCATTGTAATCCAGTAGTTGACACCAATATTCATTAGTTTGTTTTTCTGTTTACAGTGCCAACATGGCTGGCTTGCCAGACGTAACCACTGGTCCAGATATTACTACTGCTAATTTCAGTGAGCACTTCCCTGATGGTAACATGCCAGGTATGCATTGGACGTGACTATCAACTCGTAATCTCATTTGAGGGTCATTCCAGAAATTGGGGGTCCAGTTTTTTGGTGTCCCTGTCACACCTGACCTATGATTTTGTAAGTTCAGAACACATTTTCTGATGCCCAAGAGTGATAAAATAATGCAAATTACAGGGATGTAGGATTTCTGGAAATTTCCAGATTTCTGGAAATGACATGAAAAGTTACCATTCTCTGGAAATGACAAAACGTTTGTTTTCCAATTTGATAATGTACAGTTATACGTACATGATCCATGCGGGCACGCGCAGGCAGCCTGCGTTTCGATCTTCACAAACACAGCAGGTCAGGTATTAGCGCATGCACGGCCTATGCTATTCACCAACTAGCACGTGCCCAGGCTACACCTTCATATGCACTTATCACATGTACATGTATTATTCCGAGTTCATACTGCTGACACGTACTGTTCATCATTGTAGGAACAAGGTTAGTGCAACCTTTGACCTTTCCTTGGTTTAATGGTTGATCCCATCACTGGTAATGGAGTTGCCAATGCGATACCACCGGGAACCGCTGATTAATCGGGTGTCGAGTCAATGGCAACGTATTTTCCATACGTGTGTTGTGAATTGTGCGAACGATCATGTGCGAAGTTTTCAATGACAAGTGACCGCGTGTTTGGATTGCATTTTTTGATCAACATGGAAGTTGACCATAAAGCGGATAGCAAAGATATTTACAAGGGAATGAAAAATAAATTCAAGTGGGCATGGCTCGAGGAAAAGGACCAGGATGGATATTTGCGTCAGACTACGTGCCCAAGCTTAATAATAAGTAACGGTGTCAAGCCAAATGCATCATCCTTAACTACATGTATGTAGTACATAATTAACTATTCGTCAATGGGAAAGAAGGCAGTAATTGGACATGGTAACTCTGAAACCCACCTGTGATGGAGGAAGGACAGAGATTCAAACCAAACATTACCAAGTATGTTCAAGTCCCAGCTAGAAATCATTGTTATTACATGTATATCCATGACACGTCACATCCTCATTAAGGTACCTGTTTGATTTTATGTCAAGTGCGGTAGGTATCCCAAACTCTTCATTTGTATCTGTTAAAACCCTAAAACTGAAGGGTGTTTGGACCCCTGCCATTAGTCTCTTGGTCGCACAAGCCCTCCCTCACAGTTTCACACAATTTATTGGCTTTTCAGTGATTTTCAGGAAATGACTTCGTTGGTCACTTACATCCCTGAAATTACCTGCCATAGAAATAGTAATAGTTTAAAGTCAATTCCGGTGATATTTCCATGTCGAATCGCAAAGGTCAGATGTAACAGGGACACAAAAATGTACCACTTTTGGACCCCTGAGGCCTGTAATTATCCTTGACGCGGTCAAAAATAGCACAGATTTTATAGTGCACCACAGTCATGACAGTACTTAGAAGTAGCAGGTGTGAATTCAATTTAATTTCATGCTTGTTCAATCTAAAATAATTTAAATTACATTTAAATTTGTCAGCATTATTTTATGAATGTCTAATCTGTTGTGATTCTTTTCTGCAGCAATACAAAAAATCAGCAGTGGCAGAATGTCTCCCATTAGAGCCCACACTATGAAGGATTATGAACAGGTTAGTGATCAGATCAGACTGGTTTGAACTAGATCTTACCAGAGCTGACTAAATCCAGTCATAACACTCTCCATGAAGGATCATGGGAAGGTTAATAACTGCATGTACATGCAGATCAGACTACTTTTGAATCTTTGGCATAGATCCAGCCAGATCTGGCTAGATTTTCGTACATGAAAATCCTTCATTGAAATAAAAGCATTTTTATATATATCCCCGGAATCTTGATTTATTTTTTGTTTGTTTCAATAGCAAATCTCAGAGCTGAAGAAGGAAAATTTCAGTTTGAAGTTAAGAATCTACTTTATGGAAGAGAGAATTGAGCAGAATTTTGATGATGACACTAAGACGGTGAGCCAGCATAAACTTATATTTCTCCTTTTTGTGCATTTCTAAATTGCCTCATTTTTCTCAGGAAATCAAATAAATTGAATTTTCAGAAGCACAACTTCAAAAGACACTTTTGACATTGTGTACATTGCTTTTTTTTTAGAACATTGAGCTTAAAGTAGAGATCGAAAGTTTGAAGAAAGACCTGATGGAGAAACAGCAGCTTCTCATCAAAGCATCGTAAGTGTTAAATTTGTTTTGGGTTCAAGTTGTCAACAAGAATCATCTTTATAGGAGTAAATATTGGGAGCTACAGGTAAAAACCTGTTCAACCTGTTAATTGGTGTTGACATCACTTGAGATATCAGATACAAAACATCACTGAAATGGTTCTTTTTAAAATATGTAAAAATTGATATAAATTCTGCTGTGATTGACAGAATTGTTTCTACCTTTTGTGGACAGGAATGCAGTGGAGAGTCTTGCACATGAGAAGGAGGCACTGAACAACAGGCTGAGACAAGAAAACAACCAGGCATTAACTCATCAAAGGGAACGCTTGGAGCTGGCATTAAAACAATCACAACAGGTCAGTAGATACCCTTAGATAGGGATTTTGTAGGCCATATTAATTAAAAAAATGTCCATTGTGAGAATTTTTTTTAACTGGTTTGTTTAGCCGTATTTGTTGGACTATGACATTGTTTACTGGCAGGTTAAAGAATTCTGTCTGATAGTAGGGAAACTTTGATAAATGAGGCATGTTTGGACCTTGATGTGTTGCAGGAGTGTGAGTCCGTGAAGCGAGCCAATGAAATCCTTCAGAAGCGTCTGGCAGAGACCAAGCAGCAGCCAAGTCAAGAAGATAAAGGCCAAGATGATAGTGCAATGCAGGCCACACATCAGCAGGCCACTCATCAGCAGGCCATGGAGGGGAAGGAGAGGTACACTCACTAATTATAACTGGTAGTTAATGGTATTACATTTGGGCCCTCTATGCCTGAGTAGTGACGGCAGTGTGATATCTAACTCATTCATTGCAGTCTGATATTAACGTGTTGTCGGCTGCCCACTTTGAAACTGATACAGCTTCTGAAACCACAGTAATTTACAATTGCTCATGTCAGAAGTCAGAAGACTTCCCATTTGATGTCATAGATTTTTAAGTGTGTTCATATTTGATGCCCTAGGCAAATTGATGATCTGAATGGTGCTCTGAAGATGAAAGAAGCGCTGATCACGCAGCTTGAGGCGGAGAAAGAGTATGCAGTTGATGAGAAGATAGAGCCACTACAACAAGAGGTCCAACAGCTGAAGAGGGCACTAGACCATAAGAATAATCAAGTACAGGTTAGGAAAGAATGTGAATAGAATAGTTGGAACAGCTGTTTGCATGTCACATGAGACCCCAGTGTGGGAAGAATGAAACTTGTAAAAGTGGTGGGGACACATCAATCAGTTGACAGCATACATTTGTAATTTTGGGGGGTTTTATGACAGTGTAAGTGTTTTTATGATTCCGTCATGCTGCAGGCCGTCAAAGAAGAGTTGGATAAAGAAAAAGTGGAAGGAAGAAACAGGGATAGACAGTATGAGGTGAGGAGACTGTTTGCTTTCAAGATGGAAGCTTCCTACATGCACCTGTTTTTAGATGGGGAACTGCATGCCAATGTTCCAAACCTGGAGAGAGTTTGTGTAGTGTCGTAAGTAGTTTTTGTGTGTGTTTGCAGGAAGCATTCAAGGAACAGGAACGGCGACTGAAGGACCTTGAAACTTCCTCAGAAAATATGCAACAAGAGCTCAAGAACAAAGACAAAGAGATCAAGGTAGGGTGTCAAAGGATCTCCTTGAAATTATCATCAGGGAAGTTTTATTTCTGTTTTTTAAAATTGTTAAGTACATGTAATTGACCCTGTATCACATGTAGTTCTTATGTGTTTTTAGTTTAATTTCAGCTTGTGTTACGTGCCAAGTTAATGGGCCAAACTCTCACATTTTATTATTATTATTATTATTATTTTGACCATCACAAGGACAAACAAAGCATAATTGAACCAAAAGTATATAAAAAACAACAAAAGCACACAAGTAAATATAAGCAGTAGCAGGGACCAGGGACGAAAATCCAAATACATAACAAGACAAATAACAGATATGTGGGTCAGGGACTGCAACAGTAAAATAAACTACCATTACCCTCAGGTATGCAGCCCTGCACATAAAATTAACAAGACAAATTATACAGAACAAAGAAAACAACAGTTCCCAGACAGGTGATCAAAATGACAGCCAGAAAAAAAAAGAATAGGTTGAATTATGTGTCCTATAAGAAAGCCTGCTTGAGGGCCCTAAGGAATCGAGGAAGGGAGTCAGAAACAGCTGAGTCTTTACTATTTATGTGGATGAATACTTAGATTTGGTAGGATTGTACTGTTCATAAATTGTTGGGCTGGTGTGTTTCAAGGGTCACTATTTGTTTGTTGCAGGATTTGCATAATACTCTCAAGAAAGCTGAGAAAGAAAAAAAGGTAAAAATTTCAGTTTTTAAAAAATATGATTTTTACAGAATTTTAAACGTTCCAGGTCTGTCTGTGCTACTGTTTTGTAGCTTGAACAAATTTAAAAATATTTAGTGTGAAAATGGCTGAAAGTCAAATCAGTAAATTTTCTAGCAAAACCGTAACACTTCCCATGATAACTGCTAAAGTTAAAAGGTCTTTTGTCTTGACTTGTTTGATTGTCGAGAAGTCAAAGAAATAAAATCAAGGAAGTATTGAATAAATGGATTAGAATCTCAGAGGACTAGGCCTTGTCTGCCCAGAAATGGGAATAATTCATCATGTGGTTTGTATACTATTGGTGCCATTTGTTTTTCCTCCAGGACTTGGAACAAGATTTTGATGAGAAGAACAAGGAAGTGAAAACCTTAGAGAGTAACACAGTAAAGCGTGACAAAGCAATCCAGGGTCTTGCTGAAACCATCAGGGCAAAGGATAAAGAGGTTTGTTTCATGATCACCATTGTATGTCTTAACATTGGTTTATTTTGTCAGGACTGAACTTAAATTCGGCCACTGTCCTTTCTTTTATTGAAATGGTAGTTATTTCTGTGGGGTAGGCCTGTTCCATGAAATTTGTATTGAAGTTTTTGTTTCAGCACTAACCTTATAAAGTTGGATCTGGAAATATCGGATGTCTGTTTTTAATACCAGAAATTAAGATTTCCTTTACTCTACACTTTTCAGTCTGAGGAAGCCCTTCCCCTTGAAAAAGGGCTGCTGGTAGCTTAATGGATTCTTTTACAGCAGTTTGGAAATCCAGAATAAGTCAGTGCAAAAGTGACAAACTTGTCACATGTTACTGTAACGTTTTTACATGTAGTTTGTGCTGTGTATTGTAGATTCGTTTACTGTGTGATCAAGCTGACGAACGCGAGAATGCCCTCACTCAGGCACGCGAGGCCATGCACAAAGCACAAAGGAACAAATATGAGGTGGGTAGATTCAGACAAACTACTAGTAAAAAAGAAATCAACTTGTGAAATTTGAGCATCGCTGAATTGAACCATGCTAGATCTTTCTGGGATGTGCAAAACACGGTCTTCTAGAATGACACAAAATAAATATGTTGTCCTTTTTCAAATGACATTACCACTGATACTTTTTTGTCATCTTCATTGAAAAGTCTTTGAATTTTCTTTTCATCAAAGAGCACTTGATTTACTGTCCTTTCACGAACGAACAATGTGGATTTTTAGTTCTAACAATAAATTCCATAAAACCCAATGTGCTCTTTTTATTATATTTTATATTTTGTCATTCAGTCTTTTCGTTAGATACTTCACTCAGAATACTTCCTCTGCATGTGATATTTTTGTTTAACAACATCATTGTAGTGGGTGGCTGTGGAAGTTTTTGTTTTACTCTGTTAGGGTATGGAGCAGTACCAGGCTTCCATGGTTGATATGGAAGGGAAGTTGGCTGAACAGAAAGCAAATCTGCATAGCAAGCAATTAGAAAATGAGGTAATGTCATTGTGATCTCCTGGCTAAGCTTTTTTTGGCCAAGACACTGTTCTCTAAACTAGGCATGGCGTAGTATCATGCTGTATTCAGAATGGACAGGGTTATTGCAGTCATTTGCAAAAGTTTAAGACCACCTGGAATTTTATTGGTATTTCTGTCACTGGGCCTGCATTACATTGTCGCATTGAATGATTACTTCACATATTTTACAGTGGTGCATAACATCAGTGTAGTGCTATATGCCCATTTGAATGAAAATTTTGCAAAAGCTGGTCTTGTATGACATTTTGTCTGCAAGGCAGCACGGGTAAAAAACCAGTCTAAGTAATCAGAAATATAGGAGGGCACTAAATATTAGCATTTCAAATCATGGAAATGTAGTCAAATAGCCGTTTAACCAAGACACGAAGGTTACACACTGAAAATAAACATATAAGTTGCCATGATTGATTATTTTAAGTTTGGTCTTTCTTCACGTTAATGCATTTTTGTATGGGTGGTCCTAAACTTTTGCAAATGCCTGTTCTAGCATGGGGTGACTTTCAACAGTAAGCATTCAGGAGCATACCACAGTGCTTCATCATATCAATTCTGTAATTCAGATCTTGATACATGTACATTATACACTACCACGTTAGAAATCACTTTTGAAGGATTCAAAAACTTCTGCCTGCTAAAACCTAGTCATAGGGACAAGTTCTGAAAGCAGGTACCGATAGTGATTGATTGTTACCCCTGTGACAAACATTAATTTAAATGAAAATATGCCACTACCTAGGCTTGAATTTGCATCATTTGTTAGAGTTGCCCACGTCCTCAATGAGTTACACCCTTGTTGTATCTTGAGTTTTGACATTAGTTTCACACCCATAAGTGCGTATTGTCTCTATCAAAGTTATGTTATTTGGGTTTTTTCGTAGCGACTGCAAAAATCCCTTGCAAGGAAGCAACAGGAGCTAGAAAGACTGAGGCATGATGGGAATGAAGCAGAGCAACATTTGAATGACCTGTTGGAGCAACGAGAACTGACCGTCAGGGTATGTATATTGCGTGAATGCAACTTTTCCTCGGAGCAGCTGACTTCCTCCTTTTTTCACTTTACACTCATGACATTTGAAACTGACAACGCTTTACAAAGTCTTGCAAAGATTGAAATTTCTTCTTTTTTGGTCAAATTCCAAGTTGCATGCCTGACATTGAGATGGCACTTCACGCGCTAAGAATTTCCAAAGGCAACAGGAATCACTCTATTGAAATTTACGAAGCAGATATATTACTGGCCTTTGATCCCTTGACCTTTGACCTTCTGTCAGGAGTTGAAAGGTCAGCTGCAGGATGCTAAGCTGAACACTGATGAAAAAGTAGATGCCATAGAGCAGCATTACCAGGTGAGTCTGTCTGATCAAATAGACCAGCATTGTTTCTAATTAGGAGGCAGTCATTTAGACCTTTTAGCGACCTTTCAGGAGTTTGTCTTGTCTGATATTTTTGTCCATTCACTCAATACTCAACTCAACATGGATTGTTATTCTTTGTCAGTTTTCTTTTCATTGTTTGGCTGTGAGTTAGCATGATATCTAAACCTTGATAAAAAGCACCGAGACACTCGAGAAATCCATATATTGTTAGTGTCGAATACAATCAGCTAATCTTTCTAATTAACCAGTTTCCAAATTTAAAACAAATCAGGCAGAATCTTTGCAGAAGTACACAGAAGTAATATTTGTGTAAGAATCATTTATAGTGGCTGAATAAATCTGAAGAGCTAATTGTGAATTTGTGATTGATGTGACTGTGACTGGCTGGCAGGGATTGTTAGAAGATGCCCAACAACAGCTTCAGAATAAAGACAAGATCATCCAACGATTGACCAAAGGAATCCAGGACAAAGATAGACTGGTCAAGGTTGGTACCATCTCAGACATAGAACTCTTGGTTTTAACTCCTGAATGGTTATAATCTTCCTTAATTTCTTAAACCTTACTTCTTCCTGCTCTTATGCACTGAGAATGTAACATTCCCCATGACGCTATCACCAGTAATGTCTGGAACCTGTCTTTTTTATTTTACTCTTTGCAATGCTTGTCCCAAGCTTCCCCCCCCATATGCCAATCCCAATTAAAAAATTTCACCACATCTTGTAGTACTTGCTTGCTAATGAATAGCTCTTGAAGACTTTTGATATGTATTTCAAAGCCATTGCATTATACTGTTGAGTTTGAATGGCTTTTTCTGTACAGTCAAATGTTGCTCAACATTTTTATAACATCTATGACTGACTTTGATTTGTCTAACACTGCATGTTTGCATTATGCTAACCAAATGATATCTGCATATTGACAGGAATATATGGAACTATCCCGAGATGCTAACAAACCAACTCATGTAAGTGTGTCATGTGACCAGTGTCATGTGATCAGAGTTAGCCCTAATCTAAGATTTCCAGAAAATGTTCAAACATCCAATTGCCTCTCTTAGATGCAGTGCGATGACCTATCTTGCTATTAAAAGAAGCATATCGTATACATTACTTTCCATTGTCTTTAGTAGTCATCCACCACATCCCTTCCTACTCCACCCTACCCCCCCTTGCTTTCCATTTTGTGGCTTTAAAACCCAAGAAACTTTAGGACAGAGCACTCAAGCATGGGGCCCAGTCATGGATGATTATAAGTTAGGAGTAGCACTGTAGAGTTTGAATTGTTCTGGTTTGTTTGTGCTGCATGTTCTTTATTCTTGCATATGCGAGTCTGGTACCACAGGACACTAAAAACATTTGAATAAATGTGTTTTCAGAATTTGTTTCCCTTTTGTATCACAGAGTACAGTTTGTTAATTCAATGAACAGATTTCTTATTGGATAAAAGCAAACATTTTTAAAAGTTGATACAACTCCTGTTTTTGTATGTGTAAATAGCCTTTCTGTTTAAAAGTGAAATGTTCTGGTGTTGTCATACAGTCTGTGTACAGTGCATATTTAACTGAATAGTTTATGATTTTTAAGTTTCTAAAACCTTGCTGCTTTTCGTGTAAATTGAATATTTGATACAATATTCTTTTATTTAGGATGACAATGGTGGAAACAGCGCTTTGATTCAGACATTGCGAGAGCGACTGAAACAACGAGATAAAGCTGTGGAGGTAATTTGAATGAATTCTCATTGAAGTTTGTATTATATTTGTATTTGAATTTTGAATTTTTCACTGTCCAGAAATGTCAGTGTTTCATTTATTTCTCTTTTTTAATGTCCAAAATAGCACCATTTCAAAAAGAATCTTTCCGACCTTCATCCTTTGACCTTTAACCTTGCTGCAGGAAGCACTGGAAGAGAAGTTACAAGCTGTAGAAGCTAAGGAGGGTGAGATACGTCAGCTGAGGGCATCACTACGAGACAGAGATAGGGAATTGGAGAGAGCAAATAATGACAGCTTAGCCAACCAAGATAAAATCAATGTAAGATCTTCAGTAGAGACATAATATGATTGTCATAAATGGGTCATACCTTGGTCAATTAACAGGTTCTCATCTTTCTAATGATTGTACTGTACTGTGTTTTCTTAGAGTTGCTTTCTTTGTCCATCTGATTGCAGCAACTGCAGAGCAATTTGAAAGAGAAAGAAGCAAAGGCTAGACAACTAGAAGAAGCTGTGGATGCACAGAAGCAAGCTACCAGGGTGAGGAAACAGAGACTAGGGGCAAGTCCGGGCACAAACTATAGTTTGACCAGCAGTCAGAACCTTTTTAACAATGCACATGCACAGTTTAGTAACACTCAAGCGACCTTAGTCAGCCTATTTTTAAAATGTCATGGTTACTCATATTTCACCATTTGCTGCAAATGTCGCAGCGTATACATGGGCATTGAAATCTCGTACCATTATTTTCATGTGAATGGTTCCCTCTGTAATGATAAATGAAATCAGTTATTGATAACCAGCGTTGCGACCATGCCCTTGGGCCTAGTTCCAAATGGTTGATGAAACTATCCATCGTTCGGGCAGTGCTAGTCAAACTATAGTTAACTGTAGTCGTCATTCAAACTTGCCCTAGTCAGATAGGACGGAATGTGAGTCAGAATGCTCAGATGAAGAAGCATTACTTCTCACATATTGGCTTCAGTTTTCTCTTGCATTTTGGACCGTTCCTCTGGGAAAGCAACAGACAAGTTTCCTAAACAGATTTTCATTAAAATGGTGGAGATTTGAATGATGACTTGACATCTGGACATTATCTACTTCTTGCTAGGATTCTGAAGATAACCAACGCCGTGCCAATTCTGAGAGGGACAGCATCATCAAGAAACTGAGACAGTCTCTGGATGCCAAAGAGACTATGCTGAATGAGATGCAGGTTGCTAAGCAACACAAAGATGGAGAGGCTGCTAAGGAGAGAGATGATGTCATGGAACAACTTAAGATGAGACTCCGAGACAAGGATAAAATGTTAGAGGTGTGTTGGTAGAATAACTAGTCAGTTTTTACTAATTGAAGTTTCAACTTTTCAAACACATTCACATTTGTAACTGTTGGACAACAAGTTTTTCCAGGTAGACATATTTGTTGTCTTTGAGAAGAGCAATTTTATTTTACTCTCACATCTGCAAAAACAAGGATTTGTATTTTGTGTGTCCCAGGATTTCTGAATTGAACTGTCTGTCTATTTGGGGTGTGTAGGAGGTCCTAGCAGAGAGGTCACAGGTGGCTTCAGCCAATGAGAGAGCAGCTCAGGATCTGCTGGATACCATCAAGGATAAGGACAACCAAATCAAGGTAGAAAACAAATAGACAGTACCCTCCTGAAGGATGGTAAGAATTTTCGGGAAGATTTAGGAAGGTTCAGCTTAGTTTCTAGATTAACCTTGGTACTGCTGAGTTTTGGGGTTTAGATTTATCTTGTACACATTTCAAGTCATTAATTTTTTAATTGTAATTAGGAACTTCATGACAGGCAGAACCGTCTAACTGCCAACAAGAACAACGTCATCAAGGAACTGCAGAAAGAACTGAATGATAAGGAATACACTGTACAGGTCAGTATCTGACATTTTTATGTGAGTCTATTCATATGAGATTTACATGCACTTCTTCAAACTGTCTAGAATAACGAATGTACAACTTCTAGCTTGAATACTCACTTAAAAAGACTGATATCGATGGACTGTTCTCTATGTTGAATGTAGCATTTGTCCTCATGTTTTTTCTCTTTAGGCAGCAGAAGAGACTTTGTGTCGAGCTGAACAAGAGCAAGCCGTGTTACTCAATAAGATGAGGGCAGCCATGGCGGATAAAGACAAAACTATCCAGGTACACATTGTAACATTTTACTCGCAGTAAGGCCACATCACACTTTCAGTTAGTAATCCACTTGGTTTCTTTGGCAAGACTGCCACCACTGGAAACTGGCTGAATACACCAGAGGTTCCTAACTAGGAACATTGTTGTATTTGTTTTCAAGCTGGCATAGTTGGAACATACTAGCAATAAGGAACATGCTAGAACTTGACTTTTTTATCCATAAAACATGTCATGTTCCAAAGAGAGCATTTAGATTGCAATATGTAGTAAGCTTTGTCTGAATGTTGTGCCTGTGACTGGCAGTAAGGCATGTGGCTGTGGAAGTTGTTTGTTAGAGGCTACGGCTACATAATTCCCATTTCCATGTGTGTTGCCTCTATCCATAGCCATTTGATTTATACAAAGTCTGACTAGGCTTCAAGGAATAGACAGCGCAAACACCTGCTTATGGGATCACTGTCTGTACTGCAGGCAACATCTAAGGGTAATCCTTTGTTCTCAGAAACTGATTGAGAGTGGTCGTGAGAAGGATCGTTTGTTCCATGAGGTTCAGCAGTCGTCTGCCAGACAGAGTCCTAGCCCAACCATGATGGCTGAACTGGCAGCTCTCAGAGATAAGAATAACGAGCTCAAGAAAACACTCCGAGAAAAAGAAGGTACAACAACATCTGATATCGCCCAGCTGTATCAACCTTTGACTTTCTTATCTGTATCTGTGAGGTTTGGTACATATCTGCGGATTCTGCACTCAAAAGATTTTGAAGAACATGTGTGAAGTGTTATGCCACTTAGATCTGTGGCTTAATTCAGTTTGTTATCATGTACATTCTTGTTTTATCCACTTGATTTTCCAAGGAAAAGAATAAAGAAATCCTCCGGATTTTTGCTGAGTTATATTGACCATCTTGACAATCGTGAAGCAGCTTAATATTCTTAGAATTATTGGCACTCTTAAAATAGTTGTTAAACATATAATTTTGAGGATTCAATGACATTCTTTATTCTTCCCTCTTTTGGTAGTTGCATTGCATGAATTACAGACTGATCAACCTGATGGTGGATTTGTGGACTCACTCAGGTCAGAACTGGACAAGAAGAACAAACTCCTGGCTAAGGCAAAGTAAGAACCCATGTATGAACTGTACAGAGAGATTGGCATCAGATCAACTGGCTGTGGCTTGGAGTTGTGTATGTGTCTATGGGAAATGGTTGCAGCGGCTAGCCAGTGGCTTTCACAAGCTCTAGTGTTATTATCACCCTCAGCCGTAACTTTTGAGCACAGCTTCACAAGCGCCATAGAAGGGAACATCAGGTTGGAACCCTGGCTGCCAGAGAATTGTGTCTTAGTCTCGGAATGACATGCTGTGACATACACAAGCCGCTAATCAGTTTCCACATCAACCATATCTGCTCATTTTTCAAAATAGCCACACCATAGGGAAAACTGCCCGAACCATCTTATAGCATAAGAAGTAGTGACTTTGGCAGGTGTGGATAGGTTGATCTGAATTCTGTTGATTTCATTTCAGAGACACCATTGATGCTCTGCAGAGGGATCAAGAAGCAGGGAAACAAATCAAACAAGATATGGTACGCATTATGCTATGTCTGAATTATTTGGCTGCGGCTTGGAAATTATACACGACTCTATGTGGAGTGGCTACAGCCATTACCATAGACTCGTGCATAGTTTCAAGCTGAAGCCAAGTTATTCAGACATAGCCTTTAACTGGTTCCTAAGCAGGTAACAATCTGATTCAAAATGATGTATAGATATGTAATTTTGTCATTCCAAAAGCTTTTGAAATCTGCAGGCTTTTAGGTTTAATAGTCCAATGCCTTGTAAAGCTACCATGAAATAAATATGGTGTGGGTATTTCTCTTGTTAGAATCGAAGAATAGCGAACGCAGGTCATTACAACATGAGCATTGCAGTTGGCTGATTGAGTGCAACAATCGACTTCTGTGATTTTTGTTCTCAGAGCAAGCTGCGTCGTCAGATTATTGAGCTGGAGAGTGAATTACAGGCCAAGCAAGATCACATTGATGCATTGATACACGCAGGCAAAGTCAAGGACAACATAATAAAGGTAATGTAGAATCGCCACACTGTACCAGCTTCTAATAATTTAGCTGAAATTTGCTGTTTTCCCCCAACTTTATGAAAAAGCCCTCCAACTGAAATGGCTGAAAAGGAGAGTAACTTTATTTTTTATTTTAGGAAATTCGTTTGGAGCAAGCCAGTGTTCCTGTCAGAACTGCAGCCATGGGTGGTGAAAACAGTGACAATCAAGTGAGTTGTCTTCAAAGCTATTAACTATTACCTACCACCATAAAGAGGCCGGAGCAGATTATCTTGATTTTGAAATTTTGCTCTATCAAAAAGTTGTGTTTGAGTGCTAGAACTAACCTAGGGAACATTTTTGGCATGGCAAAATTTGGCAGTTGTATGCCACAATGTAACCCTTAATAACTTAGTTCGCTTTATTATTAACTTAGGCTTATTTGAGGATCGGCAGTCACATGTCGCATTGTTAGTTTTAACAATAAACGCATATGTTGCCTTGTCTGACAGTGATTTGGGTACCATGTTCCAAATATAATTGTATCCACCTTTGACCACAGCCAGTGCAATTCCTTTTTACTTATCAGCTTCAGCAGATCCTGCAGGATCAGATGCGTGAGCTGGGCAGACTAAGTGATGCCCTTCGTGCCGAGAGGCAACTCTACGTCAACATCACTCAGAGTGGTAGCGGGGATCGAGAGGAAAGTCCTAGACATCGCTCAGCTGATAGTCTGACTATTGAGTTAGCCGCTGTGCAGGCTCTACGGAGACAACTTGAAGATGGGATCAAGAGAAATGATGCTATGAGGGAACAGTTGGAGAAGCAAATGAAACAAGCTGACCAGAGAGGTAAGAGTAACATGATAAAAGATGGCAGCATCGTGGCTCAGTTCCACTCAGTCATTATCTTTCCCTGAATCCTCTCTGTCATTGCCTTCTAAATTTTGTTGTCTTGTAGTTCTTGGCTACTAAAGATTTTTAAAATGAAAACTGCATAACTGATTTGACTGTTTAAAATTTCCAGAGGAGCTTACTTTACTCAATATAATGCCATTCTCAAGAGAAAACAAGCCCAATTGTAATCTTTTTCAGTTTTCGAATCTGAAGGTCTGGAGTATGATTTGATGAACATAGAGGTTATCATTTTTTGTCTTGCAGATATGTCTCCTAGTACTGCAGCTCAGCAATCAAAAGAGATGCAGACACTTCGTCATCAATTAGAAGACAGTAGCCGATGGAATGCATCCTTACAGTCACGTTTAGATGAGATGAGACAGAGGGTTGGAGGGGTTGGTCGGGACTTGGAGCCTGATCAGGCCTCAGGTAATGATGATCAGACGTCTTCCTTGTCACAGACAAGTGATTCAGGACAGTTCTCCAGACAGACAGTCCCTGAGCTCCAGCGGGAGGTTGCAAGGTTGAAGACGCAGCTTCAAGGAGCTGAGGAGCGAAGAAGGTCTCTTGAGGATGCCCTGGATCAGCAGGATGTTGAGAGCCTCCGAAGCATCCCTGGTCAAGAGGAGGACTCACCGACGGTAGCTCAAACTAACGCCTACCAGAAACGAATCCAGGAGTTGGAGAGGAAACTAGCCGAGAGTGAGCAGCTCAAGCAAGCAGCTAAGCAGCAGTTGGAAGCATCGTTACTGAATCAATCCAGAGGAGATGAAGAGGAAGGGCCAGTGATTGCCATCTTGAAGCAGCAACTGGACCAAGCCAAGACCCTCCTTAGAGAGAAGGACCAGCAACTCCAGCAGAAGGAGCAACAGAATCAAACTCTGAGACATCATCTTGGTATTGGCCCTGACTCTCCTATCCATCCAGGCCGGAGCATGCTGGCTACGCTGCATCAAGAGAACTCCAGGCTGCAACAGGAAGGGCAGGACCTGATAGAGAAGAATCAAACATTAGCTCGTCAGCTACAGTCATTGCAAGCACATTTCAACAAACTCCAACAAGTCAATTCTGCATTACAGCAACAGTTAGAAAATACCCCAGATGTTAGGTCTACGCAGGAAGACCATTTGGTTCCTGTCCTCAAAAACCAGCTTGATCAAGCAAAGGCTCTGATTCAAGAGAAGGATCGGCAGAACCAAATCCTGAGAGAGATTCTGAGAATCAGTCCTGACACGCCTGTCGAGGAAGGCAAAGATTTCATTGAGAAGTTGCAAAAACGGAACCAGCACTTGAAGTCCAAGTTGAACCAGGCCCTGCAAGGAATTGAAGATATGAAAGCCGAACTGGATTCAGTTAACAAGGAGCTTGAGCATTTGAAGCAAGCCACTCCTAGGAGTATCAATCCAGAGATTGGCAGACTCCAGAAGCAGCTGAGAAATGCACAGAATCTGAACGAACTCTTGAAGAAGCATATTGACTTGAATAGTTCTCAGGATGCAGATCAGCCCCGCTTCAATCCAGAGCTGATAGTAGACATGGCAAAGGAGATTGAACGTCTCCAGGATCAGCTCAGTGAAGCCCAAGACAAGCTTCGAGTTGTTGGACCTCAGACAGGACAGACACAAGTAGACAGCAGGAGGAGTCCATTAAAGGTTTCTTCAGGTGATGTCAGTGCTCTCACAGCCTTGCGACAGGAGCTTCACCGGTCACAGGCAGAACTTGATGACCTGAAACGTAAATACCGAACACTTCAAGTTAAACTCCAGGCTACTGAGGGAACAGTACATCACCAAGCTGCCCGCATTAACCGTTATCGTAGAGAGATGCATAACGCTGGTTTGGCTCCCCCGTCAACTCCAAAGAGAGTTCACAGCGACTCAAATTTATTACACAGCAGTACTTCCTTGGGTGGTCCACGTGGATTGTCAGGTATTACCCTTGGAATGTTTGAAGAAGGTGACAGCTCTGCATCCAGTCCCTGTCCATCAGAGAGAGGTCTGGATGAGGAGTCATTTAGTGAATTCGGAAATACTAACAATGTGGAGGACCTGAAAGAGCAAATAACGTTGCTGAAAAACCAAGTTGACCGATACAAGCGCATCATCAGACACCTCCAGAGACGTCTTCGGAGTGAGGAGCGGTCGCGGAGTCCCAACAGAGCTCCAAGTCCCATGAGTGAAAGCAGCTCAAGTGGATGGTTTGAACTTACAGCCAATCAAGATGCCTTTGAGCGGCTCAAGCAGGAGGTTGAAAACTTGCAGGCACAGCTTCAGGAAACAAATGATGTCAATGCAACCCTCAAGACGATGAACAGTCAGCTGCAAGAACAGCTCCAGGTTGTTGATGCTGCTGCAGCCTCCAGGGGGCGCTGCATCAGCGATGAAATGCTGAAAGCTCAAGGAGAGGAGACAGAGCTGCTTAAAAAGCAGTTGCATGAATCTCAAGGAGTGTGTGAGATGCTGAAGTCCATGCTGAATGAGGCCATGACAGCAATGGAGGAAGTGATGGAGAAACATGGAAAAGATTCTGAGAAGGGAAGTAACATCTCACCGAGCAAGATCAGCCATGTGCAGTATAAGATGCAGAAGAGCAGAGACCTGGCAGAGAAACTCAATCAAGTTCTAGAAGGTCAGTTTGTATGGTTTTATTGTTTGAAAGGTGTGATTGGGAAAGTTAAGGCACATTGGGATACAAGTATTGCAAATCAGAAACATTTATTTCAAAGAAAAAATACAGTAGAAAAATGAGGGGAAAGATATTTGGTTATGTCACTGAAACTCAAATATTTACCAGATGCTTTGTCCTGTGTTTGTCATTAATTTCAGAGCCTGTACACCCTGCAAAAACTAAATTTGTCGATGTTAGTACCAGACCACTTTACTCTGACAGGTAATTTCCCAGTTTTTATTTTGTTCCATCCAAATGAGATGATAGCATGGTTTTGCTCAAATTAAATGATTTTTTATGTGTTAAAAAAATAATGGGGAATAAAATCCCAAAGTTGAGACAAACAATGCCACATTTTCCTGTCTCTGTTAGTTAGTTTTTTTTTTTTTTTTTTGTTAAACAGCCTTGAAGCTAAAGACAAAGAGATCACGCGATTGAAGAAGGAACTGAAGGACCGGAAGCAGTTGAACCACAAACTAAGAGATTTAGTGACAGACAACCAAAGAGTTGCAGAGGAGACGAGACAAGACCTGCACAGGTAGCAATTCCATTCATTCATCATTATTGTTAGATAAGACTTTTTCTTCAGCTAACTTCAGTCATGAAGCATATCTGATTCAATGGTAAATTGGCATATATGCCATTAAAATTTGAACTTCCTGAGAATGGCAAAATACATTATCAGCATGACTTGATTTTACAGAAATATTGTTGAGGTCTTTTTGTTTTGTCAGGTTGTCCAAAGAGGTTGAAGAGAAAAATGAAAAAATCTCTGAGCTTCACAGTCAGCTGCGAGAATCCATGAGGGCCTCTGCTAGAAGGGCTCCCTCTAGTGATGCACAGCATTCCACAGAGACATTAGACCCAAGATGCAGTGGACCTAGACAGGGATTGTTTGAGTTTGATGATGGTGATGTTGACTTCCCTGATTTCGGACAGCTGAGTGGTCCAAGGGAACATGAGACACGGGGATCAGCAGCAGGCCAATCAGAACCTTTCACATCCACTCAGAGAACCCCTGCAATATCCAAGACCAAAACGGTGTCGACTCAAACTATGCCTTATCAACCAGTCACCTATCAGGACACAACATCAGAGCTAACACAAATGCGATCAAAATTGCTAGATGTTAACAGACTCAACTCAGCTCTGCGAGCTGAGCTGGAAATTTACAAGTCAGCCATTGGGGATGGAGAGATTGTGAAAAGTACCGGACAAGGAGATGGTAAGCAGGATCCTAATGATGTCTTGAAGGAACATCTTGAGGAGCTGAGACAGCTCAGGAAGAAACTAGAAGAATCCATTAGGGTGAATGATCGACTGAGAGAGCAGTTAGAAGCCAAGTTGGCTGGCATGGGACAGCAACAAGGTAGGTCACTCCTCTCACTCAAGCAAAGAATTCATCAAATCAGTTCTTCAACTTGATGCACTGGTTTCCCTGAACACTTCAGTGGACTACATTAAGCTCTCCTTGTTTGTGAAAGCTGTTGGAAGTGCATTCAGAAATTTATACATAGTAGACCACAGGCTAGTCTTGTTCAAATTGGAATGCTCTTTCTGGAACTTGGGGTATACCACTAGGAATATGATGTATCTAAATGCATTTCAAAATACAATTGGTCTTTGGGATTTGAATAGTCCTGATGAAAATTCCTGTTTTATGGGATGTCAATAAATCACATTTTACCTGGATATTTGATTTTGCCAGTGCTTGTTGAACTTATGCTTTGGTTTATTTACTGTGAATTGATTCTTTGTCAGAGGGAGCCACTATCATTCATCTGGAACAAACAAACATAGAACTGACAGAACACAACAGCTCACTGAAGATGAAGCTAGCTGAGAAGGAACATACCGTTAAGGAATTGAGGGGTGAGCTACAGAAGACAGCTTCACTCAGGATAGAACTTAATGAGAAGGATCGTACTATTCAGGACTTGAGGAGTGACCTTCAGCATGTCAACTCACTAAAGACTGAAATCACAGAGAAGGATCGTACCATTTTTGAACTGAGGGATGAATTGCGACAGACTGGCTTGCTAAAGGTGGAGCTGTCAGAGAAGGATCGTACCATTGAGGACTTAAGGGAGGAACTTTATCAGATTCGTTCATCAAGAGTCAAAGATCTTGAGAAAGACAGTACCATTACAGACCTGAGGAGTGACCTTAGGTTAGCCAAGAGAGAAGCAGAAAGGTGACAGTAAACATCAGTGACTTTTTCATTTGTTCTAGTTTGGTTTAAATTGTGTCCCTATCAGACGATTGTTTTACATATTTCAAAATAAATTATCACTTGCCTAGTTTATTGACATCACAAGTTTGTGAGATGCCTCTTGATGCCTGACTTGTGCTATTTTAAAACTGAATTGATTCACTTTTCATAGATACCAAGCTGAGAATCAAAGGCTGAAGGATCAGATTGAAGAGAATACTCATCTAGCTGAGTCACTGAGATTTGAGTTGAGTGTCTATGAGCACCTGCATACCAAAGGTTAGAATTTACCAGCTGTGGATTTTTCTTTATCTGCTGAGATTGAAAGAATCTAAAAGAATTTGTCCTTGGTTGAACTTTTTGTTGAGGTCATTTAGGATAAATGAATTTATACTTTTAAAGTGAACCTTGTGTTCAAAAGAGTCTTTTAAATATCTGACTTTCACCAGATGATTCAACCAAGACAAGTCTTGGAGGGACAAGCCCCAGACTACACATGATGACAGACCGGACCACAGGACTTGATCTGTCTGAGCTCCTGAAAGAGATGAGACATCTACGCATTCAGCTAGAATGCAGCATCAGCACTAATAATGCTTTGAGATTGAGACTAGAAGAGATGATGAAGACCACATCACCAAAAGATACTCAAAAGACATCGCTAACGACTGTTACCATGACAACCACATCAAACAGAGATTCTTGGACATCAGTGGATGGGGTTGGCAGGATGCAGACTGGAAGGACATTTACTCCTAGACAGCTCTTTAAAGGTTTGTTGCATTTTGTGTCAACTGAAATACCTTACATTTTCCTGTCTGGTCTTTAAGCAAGAAATGCAAAACACTTTACCCTTTGCTTACAGTTGTACAGCCATCTTGATAACATCATTCAACTTATGATTTTCGACATGGCCTTAATTAAAGAGTGACCTGTGACAGATTAATATTATCAAGTAAGGATAGAAGCATTCTTTGTCTTCCTACTAACAAAACTTGAGAAATACATTTACAAATTCTGTCCTTGCATCCATCGCAGGTGATGTTTTAAAACATCATGTAGCCTGTCAGACATCAAGTCAAGCTACCTCCTACCTCTGTCTGAGTGATGGTATGCTACAAGATGAAGAGTATTACTCAATACCAGGTTGGTGTTTGAAAACATTGTTTGTGAGAAGCAGCACTTTGCAAGTATGATTATGTATGGGGGTCAGTTTTATGGCAGTTTGCACAGTTCAACAGAAATTAAATTTTGTAGACTGAAACTAGTCAGTGCAGAGCAACTGACTGAAGAGCAAAAGGCAAAGAGATTCTGATTTGTTCCCATTTGCAGGTGTGACACCCTTACGTAATGCCACCGGCATACAGAATGGTGATAAGGCCCATCCTGCTGAGGGTAGTGAGGGCGATATTCATGCTATTGGTACTTTGCCAACTTACGAGGCACTACGAGAGAACCTCCACAGAGGAAGAATCCTTGTCAACCTGATTGATACACGACTAACGGAACTGATCAGGTTGCATCCAGAGGTAAATCTATTAGCTCCGTGCACAACCTAATGAGGGCAGTGTATCATCAACTCATGCAAATCATCTAAGAGAACACTGCAGTACATGATAATTGGAAAAGTGAATGCACAGTCATTCTTGGGGGTTACTTTATGTTTACTCCTAGCCCTAACCTCACTGAAACCTACAAAATACTACCTCGTAGTAAAATGTAGCATACAGCGCTGTGGCTTGTATGAGTACATGACCTTGTTCTTTGAAGCCATAAATTACTAACAATGTTCCATACAGTACTGTGGTACGTTGAATACGTGACATTGTTCTGTGTACAAGTACCAATGGAAGTGCCCAGCCGAAGTGGTCATTTATAGAGCTAGGTCCTTCAGCCTCATGGTACTATGCACTATTTTGTAGTACTGAGTACAGGGGGGGCTAGCCAGAGCGATATATTAAGAGGAGAATGCACTGCAAAAGCACTGGCTACTGTTTGTGTTCCAAATGGGAATGCTTCATATTTCGTTTGGTACTCAGATTAGAATGTCTAACTGAATTCTGATCCAGTCCTTTTGTCTGTTTCTGTCAATGTTGTGTTACTTCTATTCGCTCTCCTGCAGTCCTCCAAGGACCTGAAAGATCTAGCCAAGGAAGTCCATAGCCTCAAATCTCATCTGGATCAGTGTAACAATCAGCTGGCCAGGTTTTGGAAGGGTCGTCTACCTCAGGGTGATCAGGTAGCTAGGCTGAGGCGACGACTCAGGGCACAGGATGATTTGATGAAGGAGGCCCTCCAGAGGCTGTCGACATCCAATCGACTCAAGGAGGACATGGAACTGGCTCTCATTCAGCAATGTAAGTGCTGATTGCTGCAATGACATCGAACATTATTCCATCCTCTCCTGTCCTCATGAAAGCTCTACATGTTATTGTCACCAAATTTCAGAGGCAGAATTTTCAAAGGCCATTACACATTAACTGTATTACACATCTCCTTTACAGGGTTTTGTTAGCTTAGGTAGAGCTGTGTCTAGTGAGTATGGTTAAAAATAGACAAGCCTGCCTGCTGGTTAGCATGTAACACATGCCACTAGTACTTTCTAGTATAGACATGCAGTGTTTTGGCATGTGGTCTTACTCTGTGGAAAATTGATCAGAAAAACTGGTTAAATTATTGTAACACAAGAACACTTGGTCAAATGTGCTTTTTTGAAAATTCCAGAGTGGCAGTAGCTTAGTGATCTTGTCGCCCATGTTTAATGCTGTGTAAATAAACTGATTTTTCCCAATTCTGTAGTGTCCCAGACACATGATGTGTTGCGGCAAGCAAGAGGAAATCTTGAGGTGAGCATGTTTCCTTCTCTGAAAAGCAAATAATATATTTGCCCACCAGAGAACCTGTGAACAATGCGAGAGATATAGTGTTACATTCCTGCAAGCTGTTCCCCATTATACATGTAGATGTACAGAGTACATGCTATTTCTATCATGCAGCACACACTCTGCCCACAGCGAGTGTGCAGTGACCACCATCGATATCACATGCATTGTACATACAGTGCATTGCATACCACGTGCGAGGCGGTCGCACTGTTCTGTGACATGCCCTTGAACCGCTACTCTGTAGCACATTTCCAACTTATTCATTTTGCCCCAAATCTTCCCCGGAGTCGATACTAGTTTCAGTCACAAAGGTTAATACCTGTACATTTGACCCACACAGACCCCCACATCATAGCATATGTGTCCCACTGAACCTAATGCCGAAAGCCTGTGTCCGGTTATGGTACAGCAAGGTCAATTACCTTCGCTCACACTCAGCAATCCAGAGAAAGTGTTGTACACAACTCAATGTACTGAGAAAGGCTCACCCCTTCCCTTCCCTCATTGACCACGTCCCCTGTAGTGCGCCCATGAGCAGTCTTTCACCATCCCGCTCCCAAACTTTTGATCACGGCTCCCTACCCTCAAAGAGAGATGTTACAATGTACATACATGGTTTTAAATTGCAAAACTCTATGTCCCACGTTGTAGAACTATAACTAATGACATGAATCAATACATGAAGTTTCCCGTCTCACCTACAGGCTCATTCAACCACTAGTTCCTCCACACTGCCTTAATGAAGCATTGAAAGGTCTGCACCAGACAACACTTAACAACGTCATAGACAACTGATGAACCTGCGGTCTCCCTGACTTAAAGTCTCTCCTTGTCTCCAGAGTAGTGAAACCTGGTTGTTACTTGTGTCGTGTTTTTTAATTGTCCATATGAAGAAAGTTGTTTTCTGTTGTAAGCAGGAGACTGTTCAGAATGATTTTTTTTCAAAAGTGCACCTGATATTCAGTAGAGTAATCTTGCCACAGGTGGTTTTTTTAATTAGCTTAGATTTTAGGATACCTTTTGAGGCATTGCAGTTGTAGTGATTAGTTTTTGATAAACCACTCAAGTCTGGTCATAATGTACTCACTTCTGGCAGAATGATTTATTGAAGGTGTACCCCAGAATCAAAGTTTGCTTCACCTTTGTATACACAGAGTTATTCACAACTATGGATGTTCATGTTCTGTGTTTGGTTGTATATGTCATGTGGGACAGGACTGGTTTTCCTCATTTTCACCTACATGTATAATCAATTCCATACCAATATCTTCAATGTACATGTACTTTATAGTATTAGTTTTTGCTGATTGCATTCAAATTCTTAAATCACTCCTTAATCAAATTGTACCCAATGTTTTCAGCCTTTAATTGAAATTGCAATAGCGGTAAACAGGTGTTATGTTCCTAAGTACATGTATACAGTACCATTGGTCAGTGCAGATTCTTTTCCTGTGTATACAGTGCCATTGGTCAGTGCAAATTCTTTTCCTGTGTGTACAGTGCCATTGGTCAGTGCAAATGCTTTTCCTGTGTATACAGTGCCATTGGTCAGTGCAAATTCTTTAATTACTTAATACATGTAGTTCAGTTTGCTTTTTTCAAAGCTGACATGTACAACTATGGTGTTACACAGTGTGCTTGCTGTAAGGTAAAGTTGGTTGATAGGAATATTCCCTCTTTTTTGTGAACTCAAATCTGATTATTTATGGTACTTTTAAAATGAAAATAGCTTGTGCAATAAAAAAAATTTAATAATGGAAAAATTGAAGGAAAATTACTGAAAAAGTACACCTGCTCACTAGTGCTTAGAAAACTTTTGGCCCATATGAAAAAAAAAAGAAATATGTTCTCATATCCATTACTAAGCTAAAATAAAATTGTAGATTATCACATGCTTTTTTTCAATACGTTTGTGATTTTTTTTGGGGGGCTCTTTTATAAAACGTACATGTACTTATTACACTTTTGTCTGCATATGGAACTTTTTGTGTGTTATGCTGTCATCTAGTGATATATGAAGGGTTGTAGAGATGCTTTGGAGAATTCAATTTGTGACCTCACCGTAAATGTTACATGAACCAGTTTTAGAAGCAGTTGATTTTGGGATGTGACCAGTTTGTGACTACAACAAATTATTGTAGTAGGACACCATAGAAAAGGCATAGCTTCACATTTGTGAGGGTGGAGGCCACTGCAGGTGTGTAGGGTTCTGGTGTGTAGTGCCACTGCAGTTTTTAACCAATAGTGCTCCAGTTTGTCGTTAGTGGTTTTTCTGCCACAGCCTGAACTAAGATCAGTGCACCTGATTGGGACATGGAAGAAAAACAAGTGTGCAGCCCACAATGTAACCTTAAATTTTTTTTTTTTCTGTTCCCTTTCTTTTTCAGTTTATGGTTACTGGAAATTTTTTTTTTTCAATTTTTGTTTCCCGGAACCCTTTGTTATGTAAAAATGAGTTAGAATTGATGGTGTCCTGAGAACTAATTTTTCTAGCTGCAGTGCCTTAGGTAATTCCTCAAATGATTTACATTAATTTCTAGGAAATGGTACTGAACACCGTTTAGCGATATACTTAAATTAGAGAGCCTGATTCTAAGCTGTATATTTGTGAAAACAAAATCTCTGGAACTGGCTGATGTATTTGATTCTGAAATTGAAAATACATACATGGAAAAGAATTAGCAGCAACTATGCACATTCATGCCTGTTTTATTTAACTGTGTATAGTCCATAAAAGATATGCGGTATCTTAAGTGCTGTGCAAGCCTGCATGCCTTAGTTTCAAACTTTAAATAACCACCACCAATTCAGGATCCTGATACATTGATCAAATATCTCAAGTTCATTGCTGTATATTGACATGAGTCATCTGTAGGGAATGTTGCTCTTTTAATCTTGATAAAACACAGCTCTGAAAAAGTGTATTTGCTGGCCATGCAATGAAATTCTGTCCCTTATTGCAGCTTTAAAAGAGTTTCAGGGGCAAGAGTGTTTCTCCTCAGGACAAGATATGGGATGGGAATTTTTAATATTGTCCTGTATGTGATGTTACTGCTGGAATTTTCACCACAAAGTTTTACAAGATAAATACTCCCACTCTAGCAATTTTTGCTACATGTACAATGTACAGTAATTAGCAAAATATAAGATTCTTTTCATGAAGAACATGTATAAGCTTAACCACTGGTTTAAAGAGGTAACAGGTCAACACTTCATCACTGTCCACCAAACATCTTGCTCATTGCTTTGGCGTACTTAGCATCCAGAGATCTCATTCGTTCCTGAAGGATTTGTCTCTGTTGCCTAAGAGGTTTGCTTGTTGGTTCAAGGTGCATTGCTTCGTCAAAATCAGCTTTTGCCAACTCATAGTCTTGTAATTCCATGTAGGCGATTCCTCTACGAAAATAGCCCTTAGGGTTACTGCTGTCAATTGCCAAGGCCTTGGTACAGTGAGATACAACATGCTCATAGGATTTGTACTTCAGCTTGCAGGCAGCTAGATTTAATAAGCAAGCACTCTTCACTGTATTGAAAACTTCTTTTGTTGCATCAGTTTCATCAGTGATTTCCAGAGGATCGACCGTTAGGAGGTATTTCAAAGCCCTGATGTAAAATGCCTCAGCTTTCTGTAGTTTTCCACAACTGAAGCAGCTGCTTCCTTTACTCTTGAATTTGGAAGCACGGTCCACTCTCTCTGTAACTGTCATCTCATAAATATCTTTGTCCCTTCTGAGTGACTTGAGTTCTATTTGGAACACTACAGGTTTCTGTAAGAGTGTTTTGCAGTCAATTTTCAAGTTGTTTTGCCTCATCTGTATGACTTCCTGTATCATTTCCATGGCAACCTGCATTCTGCATGTCTCTCCTGGCAACATCATCTCCACGCAGGTGTCAATAATATGAGACATTGCACCTTCTCCATCCCCAAGGCAGATTCTCGTCTCCTGATTAAGTGAGTATCCAATCAGGGCCTCATCAAGCTGTGTTGAACCTCCTAGCTGGATGATCTGTACTGTACATGTTGATCCTTCATTAGGTCTAGCTAATCCTGATCCAGGAGAGATGATCCTCTTGGTGAAAGATCTGCAAGGTGATAACTGTTCTACATTTTGGCTTTTCATCAGTGATGCCGTATTTTCTGTCCCACTCATGGTTGAAAATCCTTCAAGTTCTACCATTCTGAGGCCATCACTGCAAATAATGAAATACTTTAGAAATAACAACTTGAACGACAATTACTGCTGTTTAGCTAGCTGAGTACATTTTCCCCCAGAGTTCAGACTCAACTTCAAAAGATCCCACAAGTTCCTATAAATTCGAAGCCCTTGACCCTGATCCCCCTAGGCTACATAAAACCTTGATCCTTCCTGGCCTTGTGATGCACAGCCACAGTGTCAGACAGTCATCCGTACATTTAAGGCTCCAGTTAATTTTGTTATGGATCATTCGAACAGTGCTGAAGACAATGCCTTGGTTTGAAACTAAAATTCAATATGAAGAACTTCATTAATTTGAGGATTTCGATAATTTTTCTTTACCTTGTCAACTTCGCTGAATCAATATTGTGACGGATACCGGTACGAGGCACGGTGCACAATGTGCGCAAAACCAGTATGCGAGTAGTACATGCAGCTGCTACATTGCAGGCACTAGACAGTGATTGTATATTTCCCAGACTACAATAAGGTTTTAGACACCATTTTGAGCCCTGTCGTTAAGGGATGCAGACTATGACAGAACCAGCCTAATAAGAGGTCAATTGAGGTCAACTCACAACAGGAAAGGGAACGGGACGTGATACGTACGTCTGCATCTACAAGCCACGTATTCCTTCCAGACGCGAGCTGCAAATCGGTGTTTTGAAAGGTAAAGAAAAGACGCGAAGGTGGCAGTTTATTTCAGGAGATTGAGAACAAAAGATAAACACTTTTAATTGATGAAATAACATGTTCGTTATCATGAAATGTGCTAGTACTACACCGAGGGAGGCTAATAATTTTTTTAATTAGGGGCCTAGGCTATTGACAGTATTGTAGCCTAGGCCAACTGTTTTTTGTTTTATTTTTGAAGTTATCGTGAAGAGGATGTCATAAGAAATATTTAGATATAAATTTGGATTCCTCGGGGCTCTAGCAAAACAGAAAAATCGATTTGAAGCGGGGATATTTGAGATTTTTTGTACAATAATGCAGAGCAAACTGTGATTAGGCCTATGCGGCTGCCTATTTTGGTTTCGAGTCAACTCGGACCCAAACCAACTCAGACCCACGACCAACTCGGACCCATGCAAACTGGGACCCAATACTAACCCGGACCCACGAACAACTCGGACCCAATACTAACTCGGACCTAAGACCAACTCAGACCCACCCTGAGTCAACTCGGACCCAACACAAATCAAATCATTTAAAAATAAAAATGTGGAATATTTCCTATTGTCTTAAACTTGGAGACGATTTTGAAGCATCGTGTGTCTGCTCACGAGCTCATTATTAATATTTTGTGATCCAACCTTTTTTTTTACAATAAGAGGAGCCATAATCTTGAGGGATCATAGAATTGTTTATATAAATCCCGAATTTGTGATTGATAGTTTCCTGTTCAGAGTAGTTCTTTCACAAAAAGCCCCACATCGCAGGCCTTTTTTGGATAGACGCGGACGGCTACATTCGGAGCTGAACGCATAGTTTTACTACTATTAGGGGGGGTATCTTCGGGAAAAGGAAGATTAAAAAAGTTCATAAAATTGAAATGAAAAGTGATCGATCTGGCCATAATCTTGAATTTCCAGCAAAGGAAAATGAAGCCTCTTCGCGAGGTTCAAGAGCCGGTGCTATTTCGGTCTACGGGTGCGTATTTGGTGTGGATGTCAGACAACTCGACCATTTGCCAACTCGACTTCTGACAACTCGACCGTTGAGACAACTCGACCAACATTATCAACAAATCATGCACTAAGATTGACTAATCATACAAAGCCAGTGATTTCGCGTATCAACCAATGACGTTCAATGGCTTCATTTACCCAACATGCCCAAACAGTTCTTTATTAAATTTACCTAGACTGCATTCATTGACTGTTCCGGTTTATGAAATGGAAAGATTGCATCATTCGACACCCTATGCACTAGCCCCATGACACTGGTGTGAAAGTGTTTTGTTCTGTAAATGCGTCAAGATTTTCCTTTATAAGTTTGGTATTTTAGGACATGATACTGTATCACTTTTTGATGGCTGATGAGCTACTGCAGGGGAACATTTGTGATATCCATAGATAGAGTACTGAACTCTTTTCCATGAAAGTTTGTTTTGCCATATCAGCACTGCTATTTACATGTAATACACCAATTCACTACCGATCAAAAAGTTGCAATTTTATCTTTGCATTGTTTTAACGTGAATCCCAAGTGAAATTGTAGTGAGATTCATTTTTCATTTATGAACCCTGGCTCTGGTACAATTTTGTAACGGAAAGAAAGTTAGAAATTGCAATAGGTCTGAATTGCACATGAATATGAATTCACAATGACAATGAAAGCATGGATCCAGATTCATAGATTTGTCCAAGTACATGTACATGTACCACATAACACTGTACATACACCATTTGCAGTGCAGGTACAATACAAGAGCAAAAACCTAGTTCCAGTTCACAACCAAGTATCCACTGCTTAAAATAAATATCAAATGACAGGAAAAGATCATGTATGATGAAGCCCTATTTTTCTTGTTTTCTGTAGGCCCCTAGGTTGTTCACAGGTGTAAATATCAGTCATCATGTTTGCCAAATTGAAGAAGAAGATCGTTGAAGAGGAGGGAGTCGATGAGGGTGAGTTGACTAAAAAGTACGTCCCTGGGGCAGCAGTACCGCAACGACCCTCAAATGGATCACCAGTATCCAGAGGACATAGAGGCTCAGCTGGTAGTCTGTCATCTCACGGGAGCTCATCAAGTTTGAACACTCAGGCTGAGACTAAAAAGGTAAGTTGGCATTTAACTGGTTTCATCTGACTTTCAGAACGTAATTTTTCTTGGGTCTCTATTAAGCAGTTAACTAATGATTGAGGGCTTCCAAAACTTTTGGTTTCACTTTGTAAATTCCAAATTATGAGTTTAACCCTAACCCCCCTCAGCAATTTTTCCAGAAGTCTACTCAACCTGTTAAATTGCAACACCCTTTCACTGCTGGGTAGGGTATAGGTACTCAACCCACCAGATTCCAACAGTCCACTTGCTGTATCAGTACACAGCCCAACAAACTCCAACAGGCAGTTAACTGTTGGGCTTTGGCTGAGTGGGGATACTTGGTCATATGCTACATGTATGTGGGTAATTCCAGAAATTAGGGGTCCATTTTTTATGTGTGTGTCCCTATCACATCTGACGTGATTTTGTAAGTTCAGAGTACATTTTATAATTTCCAAAAGTGATGAATTAATGCAAATTACCTGCCAAACAAATAGTAATAGATTGAAATCAATTCCGGTGATATTTCCATGTCAAATAACAAAGGTCCGATGTAACAGGGACACAAAAATCTCACACTTGGACCCCTAATTTCTGGAATTACCCATGTATAAAGAGTGATAACACAATGTACCCATCCCTTCAAGATCCAACAGCTGCAGGGCTATACAAAATTATATTTCTTTTTCGGGGGGGGTTCAGATTTTTTTGTTTTATCTTTGACTTCTCTCTAAAAGCAAGGTCACCCAACACACTAGAGCAATTTATTCTACTTCTTAAGTACAGGTACATGACCAAATGACCACCATTGTTTACTGGCACACACATTCCAGCAGCATTATTCATCAAATATCCAGCAGCAAGTAGTGGGCAATACAGACCATATCCACTCAGTCAAAACCCATCACTGTTACTGCATCCGTACAGTGCTCATCCCGTCATAACCCAACACTTTATGTAGTAAGCTTCATATGTACACAGAACTCAACCCATCAAATTTCCACAAACTCTGCTGTTGTAAAGTGGGATGGGGAACGTTAGGGTTGAACATCCTTCTTATGAACTCTTGAAAACAGTCCAAGGGCTTTATTAGTTATACTTTGGCCTGATTCTCTGTAGTCAGCTTTATTGATTGGCTTTTTTAATTTAGGGGCCTGAGGCAAATACAGAAAGTCTCCAAGCAGAGCTTACTCAGAGAAGTGATCAAATACGTCGTCTGGAAAACAAGCTAGATGAGTACTCAGCAATGCTGAAGGAAGCAGTCAAGGCTAAGGAGAAATTGGAGGTAGCCCTGGAGAAACAAGAAGAAGGTTAGCAAGAATTCCACGGTAATTTGTAATGTTAAGTTTTGAATCTGTGCTCGCATTTGCAGAAAAGGTGCGAACAGGTAAGCATTATTTACTCATGGGGCAGTAGCACAGAATTAGAGTCAGACTTCTGTTGGTGACTGTCTTTGTAGCCAACACCAAACGGATCCAAGAGTTGAACGAAGAGTTTCAGTTGAGACGCTCCAAGATGGCCGACAAGCTAGCCACAGCTGTAAGGAAGAAAGAAGATGAGATGAATGAACAGATACAAGCACTGGAGAAAGTAAGTAGCCAGCCAGCAGACAGTGGCATGTACAGCAAGACACATTATTGTGATGGCTATTTGTAATGGTCAAATCTGTCAACGCTAGCAGGGAATAGTTCTATCATAGGTGTTTGATGTGTACAGTAAAATGACTAAATATTTTATGTACATTTCTATTCCTAAAGAGCCAAAAACCAATTTGTTGTTCACTCATACCCAGATTCTAAAGGGTGCCAGATGCAACCCCCTCAAGGAATGTTCTATTTTCCTTACCAATCCTCTGTGTAGGAGAAAACAGATCTTCAGGATCAGCTCCAGCGATTGTCAATGGATAAATTCAAGAAGCAAGAAGAGAGTGAGGAACTTCAAGGATTCCAAGTCCAAGAACTTGCCAAAGTCAAACATATGGTCAGTGCTGACAAATGCAGAAATTCAACAGGATATAATAAAGGGGCACAGAAATTTGTTTGTATGTTTATGATGAAGCATACATGTAGATTTGAGTAAGAAAGTAAATGTTAGGGATGCTGTGTAGCTTGAAATGGATTGTTGGAGTTGTCAATTAAAACTGGCTTCTCTTTTTCAGTTCCCCTTCAGTCTTTCGTTTCATTAATCATGAAAAGTAATTTCAATGTTGTTGTTTGAAGCAATGGCTTTAGTGCCAGTTCAGTTATCCGAATTATGTATTAATCTATTATCTTCTCTTGAACTTTGCTAACAAACCTCATTTGTGTTATATGTTTGCGTTAGTTTGTTAACAGTCAGGAGGAGCTGCATAAATGTAAGGCAGATTTAGCCCATCTCCAGGAGAAACTTGATGAAAGTAATCAACAAGCGGAAAAGCTAGGAATGGAGCTGAGCAAAACTAGAGACAGCCTGACCAAACTCAGACATGCCAGGTAGTGACTGGCGTGAAAGCCACTGTGTAAAGAAATACAAACTTTCCTCGGCCTTCAAAATGCCTTCAAATTCGACATTATTTGAAAACCATGTTGCATGTAGTACAGAAAGTGTCACCATATTTAGACAAACATTGAACTAAATTGTCAACTAAAATAGTTGAATTTAGAAACTAAATCTAGTTTAGATGTCAAATGAAGATGATTCCTTATTTGTTTGTTTGTTGGATTGTTTGTTTGTTTGTTCATTGTCATCTCTCGTTTGACTGAATTACAGGGACGATGACATCAAGCAAAAGACAGCAGCTGAGGAGCATGGTACACAACAGGAACGATTGAAGAAACTGCTGGAGGAAAGACTACAGAGTGTTACAACAGAAAGCCAGGAGGTAATGGATGCGTTCCTAAGTCAGTTAGTTATCAACTGGCTCTGGCTGTGAGTACTTCATACTGTACATCCATGGCAAGCTGCCACAGCCATTAGTCAGTGGCTTCCAGAGGCATATGTTAGTTCTAGCTGCAGCCATAGGGTTGAATGAAGCAATTGTGGCAAGGACATTGTTCAAGGACTGAGAATCATTTTCTCCTGCTTGGTTCAAATTCACAGTTGGAAAACTTTGTCTCAGCATGCAAGTCTTTAAGCCATCACCTGAAAATCACAAGGCTTCAGCTGTGTGCGTACTATATGTTAGTGTTCTTGCCTACTCTATGTATTTTCTGTAGTTGATTTCAATTATTGTATTCGCAGAAGAGTAAGAGGTTGGTAGCACTGGAGGAGAGGTTGACACAGACTCAGGAGGAACTGGAAGCATTACGTCATGACAGCGAGGTTCATAAAACACAGGTAGATGGGTCATTCCATGAGGTTGGGGCACAGGTAGATATCAAACACATAAATTTGGAGTACCAGGAACAATGATGGTGTGTTTGAATACATTTTATGGTTTGCTTAAATAGTGGAGCATTTTCCAACATACTCAAAATGAGGTTGGTTATACTATTTCAAGGCTGCAGCTCAGCAACGAGAGAGTGAAAGCACCAACAAACATCTGGAGGAGAAGGTTAGAATGCTTGAGCAGAGACTATCAGATCACAGTCTGAGTGATGATGAGCAGATGAAAGCTATCATGGCTGAGGTACTAAGTAGATGATGCTACATTCTCCTATAGCTGCTTCTTTGCTTTAGATTTGTTTCTTAACCACTTGCTGCCAGGGGGAAGTTATCAATGTTGATGATGCTGGTCCGGGATAATCATCATTTTTTTCTGTTTTCAAAATTCTTTAAAAACACGTGAAAGACTGTCTGGTGTCCACTCTAGCCTGACAGACAAAATCTATTCACACCTTAGTATTTCAGCCAGGCCTGCAGCTTGTGAAAAGAGCCCAGATTGTGCGGTGTTATATAAGTTTGTTTTGTTCACGAACCTGGCTCAGTGCACTGCTGACCTCTTTTCAATAGGGGCCAGGTTAGCATGCAGCGGTGCTGTGTGGCTCATCACTGAGGTGGTGGAGCACTTTTATTCCCCAGTGGTAATCCGCTCGCTCTAAATGCCCCAAACCGGGGTATACTGTTTCAAAACAAGGCAGGATTATCTCCACTTTTGAGAGTGAGAAAATGTCGGCAATGCCCAACAGCCTGGTCTTTTGTTCTGAGTATGGTATTTTGTTACAAGGCCCTGTTCCCTTTGTCCGAGTTCGGAGACCCCGGCCACACATGTAAAGCATACGTGTCCGGATCCGGAATCCCCGGCAGGAAGTGCTTAATTGGCCTATTTCCTTTAAATAAAAGCACATTTATAAAAGTACGTGTAATCTCATTCTGCAAAATCTGTTCAAAAACTAATGCCTTTAATAATGATTTTCAATAAGGTTACTAAGTGGGCAAAATTAGTTTACATTTGGAGTGATTTGTTGTACGTTCATTTTTTAGAGAGATACCCTAGAAGAAAAGCTGGAGGTTTCCCGTCGCGAACTCATTGATGTCAAAAGTTCATCAGCTGACAAGATATCAAGTCTAGAACAGCAGGTAAAATCTAACTCACTTTAAATCCAGGATTAAAAAATATCAGAAACCATTTGAGCCCTTTGGGGTTCCATGTGTTTGTAGAAGTTCTGATGAGCTGTCTGTTGGTCAGTCTGTTGGCGTAACATAAAAAGGATTATTACATTGGGTTTGTGCACTCCATCTGTATAGTAAATCAGAGAACCAATTCATGTTAACCCATATCTGAACAAACCCATGACCTCTTTTCTCAGATTATCAGGATTTGTTCCTAAAATGCTGGCTTGACACGATATAGCATGGTGAGCTGATTTTTCCCATTCTGTCTGTGGTTACATGCCAGATCTCTCACCTGAACACTAAGATGGCTGAGGACAGAGAAGATGCAATTCAGAGGCAACAGATTCTGGATGCTATGAGCAGAAGACATGCTGAGGAACTTGGCCAACTTCAAGCTAAGCTACAGGACACAGAACAACAGGTGCAGACTCATATTGAATTGGTCAAACAGAGAGACACTCAGATTGCTGTACAGGTGGGTAGATATCAATGTGAGTTATCTGACAATACATGTCTGTTACCTTTAATTATCTCTGAAAGCGAATGAGGACAAGAATGTTTAATTAAACGTAATACCAAATCATGTTAGATGTAAGAATGTTTGTACTAAAAATTCAATTTGTAGCATTCTTGGAGAGGCAGTGATTGTCGAGTTTTATCTTTACCAGTTGGTCTTTGAATTAAAAATTGGCTGTGTTTGCTAAAATGCTGTGATATATGGTATTTGCAAATGCAGAAATCTCTGAGTGATACAGAAATACAAGCAATACAGGAGCAACTTGATGTCACCAAGAAACAGTCTTTGGAAATGAAGAAACAATTACAAGATAAGATAGCTACATTGGAATCTAAGATTACTGGGCTCAGTACAGCTACTGACTTTGAGAAGAGTGCAACGGAACACAAAATTGTAAGTTACTCTACATGCATTTTTATTTTTGTTTTGGTTTTTTTTTTTTGGGGGGGGGCATTTAATGGTTTCAATTCTACAGGGAGCTTCTGGTTTCTGTGAAGTATATGTTTTTACTGTATAGCTTTTTAAACCTTTCCGTTCCTGAAATCAACAAATTCAGCTGAGCTAAAGACAAAGACCTGTACAGAATCCTCTTTTGGAAATCTTAACTTGTGTATTTCAGTTTCTGCTAGTGCTAGAATTTGGATAATGGCTGTTATTGTGTTGAATTTTTTTACACTTGAATGAGAACACTTTTAATTTTGTTATCACTTGAGAATGGTTTTGTGAGGGGTCAGCTTTGATTGTGGTAAAATTCTGCTGCCATTGACAGACACGTCTAGAGAGTCAGAATGAGGAGTATTTGGAGCGTGAGATTGAGCATGAGAAACACATCACTCAGTTGGAAGAGGCAAAAGAATCTCTTTCGGTGAGTCTCCATATGTATAGAGAAGAATGCCTCCAATGTTGAATTTTTTTTATCGTTCTGTTTTCTACCATATAACCTGCTTCATCCTTGACTGGTTCACGTATGTCTTGAATGAAAGACAGGTGCCCGTAACCCACTTTTGTGGCTAGGGAAGACAGTGCCCTCAAGTCTGTTTGCATTTATCTAATAGTATGTGATCTTTGCAGGCATCTCTGACAACAAAATCCAAGGAGTGTGAGAGACTAACAAGAGAAGTGGAGGAGATAAGGGAACGAGCAGAGGATTTATCCAAACAGGTATGCAGTCATTCAAGAAGACCGTTTCATGTGCTCCAGTCTCCAATAATTATCAGTGATACTTTATGGGAACCTCTAAATGCAAACGTTGAAGTTGTGTACAATGTCCATCACAACAACATGGTATGGTCTAGCCACACTGATATGATGTGTAGACTGTACTTACCATACCCTGCATGTCATTGCTCAATAAGCTATGAGTGTAGAAAGCTATGAATACCGTAAAACACAAAGATAATGAAATGAAGCAAAACTCCTTGGCCATCTGACATGGTTGCTTATTGTCTCCAAGCAGAAGCCGTGAAATCACAATACTGTAATTATACTTTTAAACATTGTTCATAAAGGCCTCAGCCAACTTGATTTTACATCCCCAGAATTGTGGAAGTTTAACTTACCCTTAATGCAATTCAAGCATTTTTCTGTTTAATCTAACTTTTGACCATTCTCTCCAGGTTCTGACAGCAAGTTCTTCTGTCATGGATGCTCACAAAGAGGTGGACAGGTTACGAAAACTTGTGGAAGTTAAAGATACAACCATCAACAAGTCAGACCAAGGTTTGCAGGTTACCAACCAGTGTCGTATGTGAAGCATACCACCAGTGACTGGTTCCCAATAGACTATTGCTCTTCACGTTTTCCAGCTTAACAGCTTCATAAAGTTTTTACTTCAGTAGTTTTAGTTCACCCAAACTGCTTCTCATTAAGCAGAGAAATAAGCAATAAGCAATGATAGTAAGCAGTTTCAATCTTAGAAACAGGAAGTGTTGCATCAGAATAAACTATCATTAAATGTATACTGTGTAGAACAAATATGGATGACAAGTCATCCAGCCCATAGGAATAACCAAACTACACTGTGGTTTATTTTGACTGAGCAGAAAATGAGGAGTTGAAACGACAAAACTTGGAACTGGCAAACAGTCTGGCTCAGCAGGAGCAAGAGATGCAAACTTGCCATGATGAGGCACAGAGGGCGCTGTTTGAGAAGAATGAAAGCATCAGCGTCTTGAAACAGAGTCTATCTGAGAAGGAAGAGGAGATTGGAATGGGTCAATCCAAGGTTCGTAATGTGTTTAGATAAAAATCTTGCCAAAGATATTTATGTGTGGACTAAAACTCACGTGAGAAACCTGGTAACTCGTTTCCTGTGCTTAGCAGATTTCTGTCCTTGACTGTTCCATGGAATTTGTTGGGAGCAAGAATTCTGCCTGAGCATACTCTGTCTTTATCAAATAAACCACAAAAGATATTGATTGATGCATTTCACCCTTATGAAAAAGTGGAGGAAGAAAGCAAAACCCAGCAGCATTAGAATCTCCAACCCATAGCCTTCTAATACTGTGGTTCAAATGTCAAAGGTCTTAACCTTACAGCAACCAGATACTTTGTTCAACCAAATGCTACTCTTGCTGAACAGTTCACAGAGTTACCCTTTAAAGGGCCAGTTATCTCAGAGCTTCTGGATTCCATTCCAAGAACTCAGTAAGTCAATTGAAAAATTATGGACTTTTGCAGACCCGTTGCTCAAAAATGCGTGTTGCAGGAAAATGGCAGGTCTGATTTTCACAAAATTTTAAGAAGAGTACCTCAAGATAATGTTAGGAAAAAGTCTGTTAGACTCAGCGCAGGAAAAATATGCACTGCAATGATTACTCAACTCTTTTAGAATTAAGAAACACACAAAAAAGAACCTTAAATTAATGGCAGTAATAATGGCAACATGGGTTGCTTGGGATAATATGAGTGATTTTTTTTCTGGCAGATAAAGGAGCTGGAGGAGAGTCTAGCTGCTTCTCAAGCTGACACCAATGGAGTCGATGATGGAGAGGTCAGAGTTCATGCTTAAGTGTCATATTATATCCAGGCATTACCCTCACACCAATTAAGATTCATAAAACACCGTAGGAACCTAATAATAATGTCCAGCAATTCAATTGGGTAACTTGACTGTCGGATAATTTTGCATGTAGAAATAAATGTTCATGTTACTCCACAGGATGTTGAGAAGTTGAAGCAAACTCTTGAAGAACAGGAGCAGCAGTTAAATGAAAAAAATAAGACAATAAAGATGCAACAACAGAGGTTAGCAGACTTGAAGAAGACACTACAGAGAGAACTGGTGAGATGTTAGATGACCACGATGGGTGCATGTGCTTATGGGTACTTTTCTACAGTTTACAGTGCAATGGCCCAGTGTCACTAGCCTAATTAATTCATGTAGTGTAACAAATTTGGTTTCAATTGAAGTGAAATGTCCTTCTGGTATTGCTGTATTTGGTGCTGAATTAAGTGAATTCTAGTTTAATTGTAACTCTATAATAATCTATAATATATAATATTTTTCACAATTTGAGTAGAGTTGTCAGCTATGTGCTCAAATGAATATTGATCTTAATCAAACTGACAGGAGTTCTTCTGGTGACTCATTAATTATGTGGTAATGCCATCAAAATTGCTGAAGTGTGTTTGATGACAACTTTTACCCCAATCCTGTATTGTTTACAGAAAGTCCAGAATTCCTCCGGCTATGACTCGCCAGAGGAATTTTCCAAAGACAGAGGTCAAAGTTCAAGCTCTACAGGGACAAGTAAAAGTTCTAGTTTAGGAGGGTTGAGTAACAGCAACGTCCTCCAGTCATCAGGGTATAGCTTTGCTTCAGGGTCCAGTGAGTCATCGAGCATTAGAGGGATGGCCTCATTAAGTCCAAACGCAGCAGGCCTGGATCGACAGGACTTGAGAGAAATCAACTTCCAATATCTGAGACATGTCGTGTTCAAGTTCATGAGTAGTACAGATCAAGAGGTAAATTGTGCTTTACAGTGTTTCAGGCCTCCTTTCACTGGCCAAGTACAGCCTGTGTAATAGCTCATTGTGAAAGTTATCACTTATGTTCATAAATTACGTGAAGTATGAGTTGGTAACCTCGTAAACACGTGAAATGCAAGGTAGTTGGCACAGGGCATGAGTTTTTCTATGATGAGAGTAACAGGATACTGATTTGGCTGAAGAGAGATGCAAGAAAAGCACTTCTGCATTTGGTAAAGCTCATGCTTTCTTACCACCAGTATCAGGTATCCTATTCCTGCCGGACGGAATTTGCATATGCAGAGTGAGTTTTTGGGTGATTTTTAAGATTTTCCGTTTTCAAAATTCTTCAAAATTCATAACTTCATTCCTGGACACTTACACCCACACGAATGACTGTCTGGTGGCTACTCTAATCTGTCAGGCAAACCTCCATTGACGCCCGGGTATTGCAGCCAGGCCTGCTGCCCAGTAAAGAAAGCCCAAAATTATGCGGGGTTGCGTAATTCCTTTGTTCCCGAAATTGGCTCTGTGCATTGCTGAATGGCAATGGTGTCTTTTCAGATGCAGCCAATTGGCATGCAGCGGTATTGTAGCGCTCATCACCGGAGTGCTGGAGCAGTTTTGTCCCTGTCGATAATCCATGGGCATGGATGCCGCAAACAATAGTATACTGTTTCAAAACAATGACAGATTACCTCCGCTAATGCCAACACTCTGTGCTGAAAAATGTCGGCAATTCCCAGCAGCTCCTTTTTTGGTTCCGAGTACAGTCTTTTGTTACTAGGCCCAGCTCCTTTGTCCGATTTCGGGCACCCTAGCTGTGCATACAAACCTAAGGTCTCTGGTACCGGGAACCCCGGCACCCATGAGCATTGATGTCAAGTGTCCAGGATTTTGGCCGTATTTGTAGTACTTTCTTCTGTATGTCCTCTGTCACACAGAGTCTGATAATAAAGTTGATTGTTGTTGGTCTTTTCCTACCAGCTGATTGAAAGGAGCCGTAGGCTCTTTTGAATGTCAGTCCTACAGTTCTTTGGTTAGCCTATGGTACAGCCCCATTGCATTTTCTTCCAGAGAGATGCCACGGCCCCAGCAAATCAAATATCTCCAACTCAAGAGAATGATTGTCTTTCTCTTGACAGGCCAAGCAGTTACTGAAAGCAGTGTCTACTGTGCTGGAGTTTACTCCACATGAGGAGTCATTGATCACTAAGACTCTGGAATGGAAGGTTAGAGTCATGTCAAAACATATCAATGATTGATTTTTCTGTTTCCCAAAAGACTGCTGATAAGTTACATTTCATGTTACTTAGCCCCCGTGGATCTGAAATTAATGTTATTATACGACATGGAATATCTTTGCTACCTTTGGATCCATTGTGTAATTTTGCCCTTAATTGTATGAAACTATGAAATGTTGTTGATGTATCATAGATGGATATCACATTAGCGCTGTCTGTGCATATCCGCATCAAAACCGAGGCTCTCTGTGTTGAATTTAGTCGCGCGCGCGCCCGCTGAGTCAACACAGTACATGCAGTATCCGTTTCGTAAGTGTGACGTCACTTCAGTTTAAACCACACCCACTGCACAAGATAAACGACCATCGCAGGTATGAGTTCGCGGTAAATTGCCATTATTTTTTCTTTTGATTTCACGCGTCGAGTCATCCTGAAAGACTCGTCCACAAAAATTTGCAGCCTGAAAAGTCTGAATTTAACATACCTTTATGTATTTTGTGTCTTGACTCCTTACTTTCAATTGTCTGATCATATTAAGAATTGAAGCTGACACATACAGCCTCGTTTCCAAATGTGGAATTGCGCAGATCGACGCTAAAAGCGTCGTATTGGGATCCCTCTATTGGTTGACACTTAATCTTGCACCCACATTCAGATGCGTTACTTTTGCAGTGTTCTATGTACACTCAGTGAAAAGATTATTGGCAGACGCTGTGTGCTATTTGCATATGGGAACTATCGCATTCACATGATATGTCAAAATATTGCCATATGGTCTTACAAATGAATTCCCCTTCAGAGATTGTGACTTCGCATTCATCATTTTGTTCTACTTTGTTTTCTTCTCAGACATCTTGGTTTGGGGTCCGCCCATCTCCGAAGAAAACCATTCAAGTGTCATCTCTTGCCTATAGGTGATACACATCTAACCATGTTGTATCCTGACCTCAGTAATGTGGCATTGAATTTGGCCTTACTCATTCTTCAAATAAACTATTGTATTCAAAAGTTGCAGTTGTATGAAGTTGTACAGTAAAGCACTGGGGTAAAATTCACTTAGTGAAAAACATGAGTGTAGATTCTTGTAACAGATCCGAAGATTTTGTCTCTGGAATGTGATTTGGAGTGTAGAGAATCTGTAATGAAGTAATTGTGAATGAAATAATTTAACAGATGAATGATGCAAGGATATCTGCATTGTTGAAGTGATGGGAGTTTAGAGCAGAGCTCTAAAATATAAATATGGCTCTCTTCCTAATTTATGCATGGGACTTGCAAATTATTCACAAGATTTATCTCTTGATGTTTGGTTGTTATAGACTATACACCCACATTCCTAAGCTTCATGCACATGCTTTGGTCAAGTTACAGCATCCTATTGGTTTAAGAGGCATGTAATGTGCTTGCGTACCACCTATCCAGGAGTATGTTGCCACTGCAGTAATGGCTTCTAATGGACCAATTGTGTCTGCTAAGTCATGTGACCTATAGTGGGTATTAAATATCAGCAAACACAGCGTCCACCAAAAGCAAAGCGTTTCACAAGTATCATTTACCAAAAATAAAGCCGATAGAAGGTACCGTACTCGGACTACTTATATGCAGGGCACTATACTGTAACTTGGTTATATTGTTTGTAAACAACTCTCAAAACACATGTTGCTTTATGGGGTTGATACCCACTATAGGTCATGTAGTTTAGCCGGCGCAATCCGTCTGTTCTTGTAACTGACTTACACCATGAGGAACCTCCATCTATATTTATACATGTAATGTTAAACACGTTCCCTTGAGGTTGCAAATTTGTGTAAAAGAATTTTTCTGCACTCCAACAGCATGTAGTATTTTTTGTTTCAAGATAAATATTTCAAATGTCAACCTTAACATGACCACTTGCCCGTGGGACTTGCTGCTTCTTGGACATCCTCTTGTCAGTGAAGGAGGGTGGCAGAAAAAAGCTGCCAAAAAGTTTGTTTTGTTCCTTTGTTCCCCTGTGCAGCACAAACCTGTTGGTATTCTTCCAACTCAGATGCATTTGCTGACTATTCAGTCATTAGTACTGATCCTTTACAAGATTTGCAGAGGTATAAGTTGATTTTGAGAACTTCCTGGATACTTTCCAATCCTTTTGGGTCTTGTCTATGGAGTTCTCATTTTTAGTACTTCCCCACATTGACCTGTGTTCATTTTTAACGTTAAATATCTGTAATGGTACAGTTCCTTTGTTAGGTACAGAGGGGTTGAACAGTATTGTAAATAGAAGTCTGTATATAAAACCCTTGAGATTGTATGAAAAATGACATGGTACTTTTGTAGCGTGGGTAAAATTGTTTAGAGATTGTTTTAAAAAAATATAGCCAAATATAGCACTCTTCCAAATTCATCTTTACCAGAGATATAGATTATTGGGTTCTGTTGCTCTAGAAATATGCAGAGAAAGTATGTTAAATGTATGAAATAAAAGAAACCCGCATAAACTGAATGTCTTTTGTTTTGTTCAGTAGCTCCACAACAATGTCGGCCGGTTCTTTAAAAAAAATGTTCGTATTGATAGAAAAAACAGTTTATTAGTTTTTCCTTAAAAATAAGTCTCTTTTAGATAATGTTATATATTTTCGTATTCTGAATGTACGTTCTGAGTATCTAATATGTAATCGATCTAAGCCGGTGATGTTATTTAACAAGCCGCCCGCCCGAACTAGAGAACGACTGCGCCGATATAAGCTGTAGTGGCGAATTGCTTGTAGGCATGCGCAGAAATAACTCATGATTGTTTCCAGTCATCAGGTTAAAGTGCAACATTTATCGTTTCCTTGGAGATGATTGGCAAGACAAACATCGCTTTTTCCGCTTACAGTCACCGTCGCAGATGGTAAGTACATAAATACCGCATCCTATCAGACCAACGTGAACGGAAATTTGCTAATGTGAGTCCTCCGAACTGCATTTTGTATCCTTATTCCAGCAATTCAAGATAGTCATTTTGTGTTTTAGAAGTTTGACATTTTGTATTAAAATGATTGAAATACTTCTTTCCATTGCTGAATTTTTGAGCGGGATACAAAACTGTTTTTATATGTGAGGGGAAATTTTATTTTTGATGACATCTTTACGTCTATCGGTTTCTATCTATATGATTTTTAAGCTATTTTCCCCCATAAATTTATCTGATGTTGGACAAATTGAGGTAAATGCATATGTCCCTTGTATTACTCGCTTTGGTCCATCGCAAACACATGGCAACACTGGTGTATGTTCAGCTTTATTTATATGATAACCAACAAATTTTGCAGGTATATCAAATGAAGATAACGTGCACGATATGGAGCCGATGGGTAACCCCCCCCCAACGTCCAATCCCTATACACACTCTAGACAATCGTTACCTAACTCATCCCCCCCCTAGAAGTATGTAAAGAATTCCTGAGATTCCGATCAAACAATTACCAACACAAAGGCGGGGTGGTTCTCTCCACCCCATATCTTGCATCATATGCAAATGAATGAGGACACAAAATTGTGATTATTCCTTTCAAGCGGAGAATACTTAATGGCGCATTATGATTCCAGAAACAGGTTCCGGCTTGTTGGGATTGATTTCCATGACAACCGTCATGGCAACGAGGAAGGTCAATGTGTCGTGTGTTGTCAGGTTCTCGTTTCTTCTCCTTGGAGGTAAATGAATGGTCATATATAAGAGTATATACCCTTGAATATGCCACCCAAACGGACGAGCTATTTAATTATTTAAATGAATCATAAACTGAATGAGGGAAAGCCATTTTGGAAATTGTGGAATGTAATAATCACTTGAGTAACTCTATTCAATGTATTTTTTTAGGATGCTGTTAAAAATTCTACTGTTCATTCGACAATTCAAATTGCATGTGCTTGCAAAAAGTTTAAGTTTAACATCACTGTTTTGTGGTTTTTCATTTTCGTACAGCATTCCTTTTGGTTAAATGGTTACAAACAAAGAGTCTTTATTCTAAGCAGCTGGAAGAGATGAATTCGAAGGAGCAAGTGGCGCATTCTGTTAAAGCAAGCAATCAAATTGAATCGGTAGCGAAAAGCTCTTCTCTGCCTTGTACACTTGGCCACGATGGTCGACATGATGGTGTTATCTTGTTAACCACAACGAATGCCGGATTCCAAGACATGACGACAAACATGCTGGAAAGCATCAGAAGGGTCCGGATCTGTCCTAACATCACCATAATCGCCGAAGACGAACAGTCTTACAAATATCTGACTGACAAAGTTGCCTCCCCTGGAGTCCACATTCAGAAAACGGATTCAGGGGTGATGACTTCAGACCGACTGAGGGTTTATGGAAGGGTGTACATTCAATTTGTCAAGAAACGTGCACGTTACATACTGAACTTTCTCAATAAGGGTTACGATGTGCTCTTTACTGATGTCGACACTTTCTGGTTTCAAGATCCCTTTCCGGATTTCCGAGGCAACTTTGATATTGCCATGAGACAGGAGGCTCCGCCATCAAGTCTTACTCCCGTGTTCTGTAATGGCTTTGGTTACTATCGAGCAACAGAAAACACACTGGCTGTGGTTAGGGAGTGGGTACGTTTGATGAGCACCACACATAAGAAAACGATGGATAAGGATGTTTTGAACCTTGTGATAAAGAACAGAAAACCGGCAGTGAGAATGAAGTCACTGGACTCCGTTAAGTATCCAGACGGTCGCGTGTTCCGTGATAAAGGCTGGGTGAAGAAACGGGCAAACACAACAGTTGTGCTACATTTAAGCAGCGTTTTTGGACACAACAGTAAACTGAAGAAATTAAAGGATAATGGATTGTGGCTAATATAAAAGGCGATGGTTCTGTTAATTCAAAAGGTTTTCTGGGTGGTTTAGTAAGAAAAAGATTTGAACTTTCCAAAAAATACAAGGCAAACCCCTTGCGAAATTTTGCATTTGAACTGAGTTCTTTTTTCCTAATATGTGTGGCTACAAAGGTGGAAGAATGCTTATTTTGATTAAAAAGGTATTACTGGGCGCTATAGAGAAAATCTGAATTTCCACCTAATTTCAATAAAAATGCAAGGCCAACCCCTTGCTAAATCATTCGAATATAGCTCTTTTTCTCTTTCTTTTCAATCGTCAAAATTAGGGTTACAAATGTCCAAGTAATGCTTACTTTTCTTCAGAGGGTATTACATTCTTCTGGGTGGTTTTGAGAAAACTAAATTTTGACATAATTTTAATTTAAATGCAAAGCTAACCTTTTGCAGTATTCTTGAATTTGAACTCAATTTTTCCCCCAATAAATCTTATAAATAATATGTGGCTACAAAGGTGGAAGAACTTATTTTGATTCAGAAGGTATTTCTGGGCACTTTCGACAAAATCTAGATTTCCATCTAATTACTATAAAATGCTAGGCTAATCCCTTGCTAAATTATTCAATGTTAGCTCTTTAATCTTTCTAATCAATCTTCAAAAAATGGGGCTATAAGGGCAGAAAGATGCTTATTTTGTTTTGTGGGGGTATTTTAGGGCAGTTTAGAGAAATCCAAATTTTCACTCAATTTGAATAAAAATATAACCTAAATATAATATAGCCTAACCCCTTGCAAATTTCTGGATTTCTAACTTGATTTCATTTGCCAATAAATCTTCAAAACAAGTGGATGAATTAGGTGGAGAAATGCTTATTTTGCATCAGAAGGTATTTTGGGAGTGCTTTAGAGAAAAGTCCAAATTTTCACCCATTTCTATTGAAAATGCAAGACTAACCCCTTGCAAAATTCTTGAATTTTTATCTCAATTTCTTTTTTCCACGAGTCCTCAAATATGTGGCTAAAAAGGTGGAAAGAAGTTTATTTTGCTTCGGAGGCAGGGTATTTTGGGGTGGTTTACAGAAGATACACATTTTCATCCAATTTTAATAAAATGCAAGGCAACCCCTTATAAAATAATTTATCCATTTTTTCAATAAATATTCAACATCAGGGTCTAACAAGTATTGAATACTGCTAATCATAATTACAAAGTCATTTCTAGCTGTTTATAAATTAAGGTCAAATCCAAGATGTTTACCTTGCAGTTTTCATTTTAACTGATTTATTTCAATAAATGTACAAAATCTTGTACTATAAAGTACCTGTGATTGCTTGTGTTTCTCAAGAAGGCATTTCTGGGTCATTTGTAGAATTGTCAATTCTTATAAAAATGCAAAGTGAAGCCCTTAGAATTTGATGGAACGTTTGTTCTTTGTTTGATTCATGTTTAAATATTTGGACATTTATCAAGATATTAGACAAGGCTTATTTTACTTCAGATGACTGTTGGGATGTTTGGAGTAAATTAAATCTGACCCAAACCACAATTCAATTGAAATAAGTGAGAATGAGTTTTTTGTCAAGCCAGATGTATCCTGTAAGACAGAATGATTGGTTCCTTTTTAATCTGATCTATACAAGTGAAATACAGGCACCATTTCAATGAGGTACAATAACCAAGAATGAATTCTGCTTACTCTAACTGCTTACTTCCCTGTGTCACTAGGGGTTGGAATGGCACATCTACACAGAAATCCGCTTTGTTTTTAACACTAACAGGTACGCTCATTAACAATGTAATACCCAATGGCACTGTCATATATACATGTACACCAATATGCCGTCTACACTATGGCATACATGTACTTTCTTTAACCTTTTTCACTTCAAACCATTATTTGCATGGATATCACGAGGAAAAAGATGGGCACTGGCCTCCATTCCACTCCACACACCCCCCCGGAAAAATATAAAGGGAGAGTAAAACAAAAAGAATGAGCATCCCTTCCCCCAGAAAAATGGAAAGGGGATTTTTAAAATGCCAAAATGCTTGAAAATACATTGTAGCTAATTCCCTTCCATTGTTAGAGGATGCTTTGCCCACCCCCCAAAACAGTCATGCCCCCTAGAAAACTTCCTGGCAACGCCCATAGTTTTCACAAACTTTGTCGTCATGAAAGCTTCCAAATTTCTCCACTTCATACTCTTCTTTTCTCAATTATTTTGGGTAACTGATTGTACAATGGACCACTTTTCTACAACATGTGAGGTAGAACATTCTACATTCTGAATATAGAGACATTATTGACTTCAGTGGCTGATACAAAAGTGGAAGATTGGTGTAAAACTCACTCATAAAATCTGAACTTACAAAGTTTACAAGTGCAAAATAGGTAAGGTAACAGTGAGGGATTTCATTGATACAAAAACACAAACATTTCTCTGTTTTAAATCAGTAATATCAAAATTTGCTCTTCAATGAGATACAATGATTACAGAGTAAATACAATTTGAAAAACTTGTCATGAGTTGATTTTCTACACAAGGTAATGACAAGTCCAATAATTTGGTTTGTAAAAGGCTACACTACCATGACCAACTTCCGAAATTTGATACAAAAATCTACAAGAATAAAAGTGAATAGGAATGACCAAAACCCTTGCAGCTGTGGTTTGTATTGACTACATTTCATAAAAATCTAACAAATCATGTGCACTTCATGGAACGCTAGAGGTACAATGTATCAGACAATAGCCTGTGAACAGTACAATTTCAATTTCTTCTGACAAGTGGGAAATTTATGCTATCTTGGTCAGAAAAAGGGTGTTAAAGTTAAGATATTTCAGTAACTACATGTACTTATGTCTTCAATGTGCATAGAGATTTGAATATGGTATCAAGTCTGCAGCAAGGATTATTTTCTATGCGGTGCTCAGTGCTACAGGTGTAATTCTGGGTGTGGTCTGTTTCAACAAGTTTTGGTGCTGCATCACAACTTTAGGAGTAAAACATCCAAAATACGACGAATGTCGGTGTGAGTCCCACTGGGTAAACTTGCATATTTGTCCCTCACAGCAATGATAGAATGCTTAGAAATTTACGTCATGAGGAGGAAACAAATAAATTAAATTAACTTGACCTTATTTCAAGGATGGATTTGCGCCGGGGGAGATGTAAATTCAAATGAAAAGTGGTAACTGGGATATCATTTGGAGGGACATTATAAATGAAAAAAAGTCACAGTAATACTATAGAATAATATACATGTACTGCAGAGATCAATACTGTGAACGGGAATGTTGATGTACATGTAAGATCAATGCACACCTCTATTTATAAAGTTTAAAAAATGCAATTTCAGTATTCTATAAGGTCCTCAAAACAGCACATTAACTGATAAGGCTATGGCAAGAATTTACAGAGGAAATTTGGCAGTGTTGTAGTCGAGACCATCACAAGACCACGCACAAGATCAGTCACAAGCAACAGGGTGAACAATGACAAAGGAATGCTTTTGTTGCGGTTCATTTGAATAGCTTGCCTTGAATTCAGACTGGAGGTCTTGTGTTGGTCTTGTGACGGTCTTCAGTACTCTCAACTACGACACTGAAATTTGGTTTCAATCAAGCTCATCGCCTAAGGAAATTCTCAGGGTTTTCTCCATGTAAGCAGAATTTAAAAGAACTTATCTTTTAAATTCTGGAGAAATGATTTGACGATGAAATTGAAAGAACTAGTAATACATATGCATGATATGTGCGTATGTCTCTAATGAAATTCATGCAATGTTTACATTTCAAATAAACACAAATATTTGTACATTGTGTAAATTACAAAACATGATTAACATTAGCGTAACAAATACTGCATACAAAATCTGTTAAAAGTGCAAAGGTTCTCAACAAAATAACATATTTTAAGGTATTAACCACTTGCTGCTGGTACCGGAACCGTATTCTTTATATGCGTGGCCCGGGTCTCCGAAATCGGACAAAGGGAACTGGGCCTAGTAACAAAAGACTGTACTTGTAACAAAGACCCTGCTGCTGGGCATCACCAACATTTTTTCACTCTCAATAGTGGAGATAATCCAGCCTTGTTTTGAAACAGTATACACTGTACCAAGGTTTGGGGGATTTAGTGCAAGTGCATTACCAAAGGGGACAAAAGTGCTCCACCACTGCAGCGATAAGCCACACAGCACCACCGCACGCTAATCTAGCCCTAAAAGAGGTCAGCAGCACACTGTGCCAGTTTCATGAACAAAAGAAAATTACGAACACTGCAAAATATGCTCTCTTTTTACAAGGCAGCAGGCCTGGCTGAAATACTCCAGCCTCGGTAGATGTTGTGTATCAGATTAGAGTAGAACCCAGACAGTCCTTCGTATGGGCGTAAGTGTCCAGTAAATGAAGGTATGAATTTTTAAAGAATTTTGAAAACAGAAAAAATGATAATTATCCCATCCCAGCATCATCAACATTGATAACTGCCAGCGGCGTGATGTGGTTAAGGATATATTGTAAAATATCTTGGACAAGTCTTGGACAATGTAGACCTCTTACTGGCATGCCAATCTTAATTTGCATTTTCACAATCCCTTACTGTAATATGAAGCTCCAGCAAAACCAGTGGAACCTTAGACAACACTTATTAAATGGTTTCAACACAATATGCATTAACCCTAACAGTCCCAACTCCTCCAATTTCAATACGATTTTACATACACCCTAGGGAGTTTGGGTTAACTGTGGCAGTATACTATTATTTTTTATCGCACAATGCAGACACACTTATACAAAAAAAGTGCAGAAACCATCACAGAGCTCGGTATCAAACTGAGTCACATTACATATGGTTAGCAAGAGTTACAAGATACATTCTGGCCACAGCTCCATGTACATGTATGTTGTGTTTTAAACTCAGATTACAATGGGAGGTAGTTCATAAAAACAATTCCCAATACAGTGCATAATCAAGAGGCCACTTGTCCCAGTGCATCCTGGGAAATCTTTATTTTAAATGGTCTTTGTATAAGCACATTGCAAGTTTTCCACTATTGGACCTGCATAATTCAAGTTAGGATCTTTGTGTGTGAAATATAAGGTCTTTACACAGCTCCAAACTCATTTAAACTCCTGTGAAATTACATATAAAGATATGAATAATGCAGATAATCAGCTGCCTGATCATTGAACAATTTCAACTGAAGCTGAAAAGTTGCTTTGTGAGTGGCTTTTGAGGTATGTACTTGGAAGTGCACCGGAGTGTGATTCAGTCTTATTTCTCACAGTGGTGAATGTATTGAGTTGTCAGTCAGAGCAGCAATATCTATCTCTGATAATATTAAGACAGTTCAAAGGCATGGTGTTTTGAGGTTTGGGCAGCTAGATTATAACAACTACCACCGGGTCTTTGTAGAATTCGGGGGCAAAACAAACTGCCTTGTCTGTATTCTGCATATCACACAACAGTAGTTTGTACTCAATCCTCTCACACTATGAACATCAGACAAAAGAATAGCAATGCAGTAACAATGAACATCCATTGTTATTGCACCATACTTCTTTTGTTAGATGTTCAAAGTGCCATACTGAAAAGCTGCTATCCAGTTTCATTTGTTACAAAGATTTCATAGTATTGAGCAGGAAATGACATGAGAAACCAGAGGCGAAAGTGATTTGTTAAAGTAACAAAATCCTAGATGTTCAATTTCTTTCCAAACCATTTCATTATGACAGAGTTGGCAATGGGATGCATAGTGAAAGCCCAATTTAAGAGAAAGCACTTACAGCACATAGTAGTTCATATTGGTCAGTCATCTACACTCCCTTCATGTTCCATTTTGAGTTTCTCCACCAGGACATCAATGGTTTCTTGGATGTTTTCATAGACTGGTACCCCCCGACGCTTCGCAATATCAGCTAGGTAGCTACGAGCTCGATTATAGTCTCTGATAGCTCGCTCTGTCAGCTGTTAATGACAAATGATAAAAGGAAAAACAAATGGGAGGACATTATAGCAGTTAGTCTTGAACCTAATGGAATGTTTAGTTTAGTAAGCAACTAAAAGGTTCACTTTTAATAAACACCCATTAGGAAGTCTACATCAAAACAGTGAAATTTATTTCCATATATCAAACGGACACAAGTCAATGACACTTTTCAAGTTCTTGACTGAATATATAACACTTGAAGTGTTCTGTTTATCAATTGTCAGGATTTCACATGACATACCGTTTCCCCATAGACACAGACACCATGCTCCATCTGTTGGATGCATAGCACTACCTTCCTTCCTTGACCAATGTAGTGGGCAACCTAGGCAATAGAAATGGCAAAAACAGATAACCCAAAGTTCCCAGTGGACAGATTACAATGGCACCAAGAGGAACAAATCAAGGTGACATCACTGTAAAGATGAAAACATCTGCCCGATAGGGAGAATGTCCAAACCCTTGAGGTTAACTAAGCAATTCAATGTTTAACGAATCTGTCCCACCTCAATCATTGATGCTATGCCACGGGAAGTAGCACTGATGACAAACAACAGGTACAATGATGTATCCTTGGCTCGGGCCTCAATAGCAATGTTAGACATGTTCCAGTTGGACACTTTAGGATTGAAAAAGGTCAGATCATGCCTCCTGAGGACAAACCAAACATTTCTTATGAATATGCAACACGTAAAATAGAATTATCTTCACATTTGTCATACCAAATGTATAGAGGTTTAAACTGTGTTTTTGAAATCCTTCTATTCCTGATAGAGTTGTATCAGGAACTTCTTGTAGTTAAAAAGTGAACAGACTGAGTAACAAAACATCCCAAAATGAATACTGGGCCATTTTCCAACACTCAACTTCAGCTCTATCTCAGACTTCAACTGTTTTTTTTTACTTCCCGTCTTTGAAGTTGCAAGCGCAATAGTAAGTCTGATAATGCCACAAAACATCAAGAAATATACTAGAGAGCCAACCATTACGGTGTGCACTTCAATTTAATTTAAACGCTTCAGGCCTACAATCAGGGAATGGTTTCGGAGATGAAGCCTGAGATGGAGATGAGGCTGAGTATTGGAAAATGGCCCTGGCATGACAGTCATGGGTAGTCATCTGCCATTACATTTTTCAATGCCTGAATACCAAGCTTGTTTGCAACGCAAAGATCACAATTTTCATAACCCATAAATTTTAGGGACACTCTTTCAACTGAAGCTCTCAAATACTGATCTTTATCTGAAAACTCATTCCAAATCCCACAAAATTTGAAGCTTTGATATGATCTCTGGGCCAATCAAAATGGACAAGTCATCTTACGCGAGACATGGGATGGCAATCTCCTCTCTCCATGTTGTGTCCAAACAGGTCCCACCAAGGAAAACATCTGTCTGGACCTCAACGACCTTTCGAGGAATGGATGATGTCTTGAATGTACTCAGCCAACCTAACCATAGAAAAAGGGCAAATCCCAAAGAAAGCTGAAATGTAAGTCTAAAAGAACTTTCAACTTATTTCCTCTGGCAATTCCTGTCATTGTGTTTATGCAGTGTGAATGGTATCCTGGAGCAGTATGGAGGATTTCACAGATAATCTAGACATGAACATATGCATGGCTAAAGCATACACAGCACAAAAAAAAATCAACTGAATTCCCACAGCTACACCAAATGGTCATTGCTCAAATCAACAAAGTCAAACCCAGCCAACGATCAACTGTTCATGACTGGAAGTTGGATGCAAAATAACAACAACAACAAATTCATAAAGACCTTCAGAAAGGCAAGCAACGACAGGGACTCACTAGAGGTCACTGACCTCAATCTCTTTGATGTTTCCAAGCCATCATCATGTATTGATGCCGCAAATATTTCCAGAAAAAATACTTCCACAGCACCATGTTTAGGCTTAAGAACACAGCCTGACCCCTGTGAATGTACTAAGTGCAAGCAGGAAAAAGGAAATGTTTTATCTTTTTATCACAAATAATGAAGGACTCACGATAAATGGAAGACACAAGTCTGGAGAAAGCTCCTTTGCTGGAAGGTGGCGGTTGGTAATGCTTATACTCTGTAACCAGGCAACAAAACTCATTGAAGTCCAAGTCAGTCTTGTCTCCTGTCTCTGCACAGCTGGCTACAATTTGGTTATATGCAGGGAAGGCAAGATCTTTACCAGTCACAGCCCGAATGGCAAGAAATGCCTAAATTGAAAGGAAAATCCATCTACAGTGTTTCATTACAGTTTGTAAAAGGTCAAATTGAAGAAATTACGACCACCAATTCATACAAAAAAATGGTAACCCTTTTTCTCTTATAAAACATAAAGTTTTAATGTTTTGCTGCAATTGAAATATCCATATACATTTTGACTTTGTTTCCAACAACTACTATTTGACTTTGTTTCCAATAACTACTATTTAAAAAGATAAATTCATCTTACAGGAGTTTTCTGAAAATAAAATGTGGCACTTCTAGAACTTCACAAGAACTATGTAAGTGTAAAATATCTATCTTTGACAAAAAAGAACTCACATTAGAAAGTGATATTCTACTGCGATTATCTCGATCAAACTCATCAAAGACTTCACGGATGTGTCTGGAATGCAGCACAGATGAGGAACGTGATCACAAAATTGTGCTGAGCACAGAAAAAAAGGCTAATACTAAATATAAGTGAATTACAACAAAGGAAATGCTACACATAAATTCAAGTGCCTGGCAAACCCTAGCTGAGAACCAGGGATGATCAATACACATTATATGAAAGTTTGGCTGGTAACCTGCTGTGTCAAAGAAAGCATTGCCTGTACTATGCAACTTTTGCACTTTTCTGATCATATAGCACTGGTTCCAGTACTCATCAGCTGAATGTTGCTTAAGGCACATACCTGCAGTCCAATTTAATCTGATTACCTGAGTTTATCTCCGACTTTGAAGGCAGGATGTTTTACAGGTTGTGCTCCGTCTTCTAGTGTGAGTTGACTCAAGTGAAGTCCTCTATGCAGGGCCTTTGCAGCACAGTGTAACGAGATTTTGACATCTTCAAAGATTGGACACCACTGTCTCTCTACCATGTCACATAAGAAGGCATGACTGTGCCTCAAATCCTTCAACTCACTGTCAAAGTAAACAAGGATGTATGACCAACATGCATTACAAGTAAACAAACAAATCTACATGTATGTACATGCGCACAATCCAACAATTAGAAAAAGGACTTTGCAAAGTTGCTTTTTTGTTACGATTGTACGATCTACAAACCAGTGTATGTATCATTTAACTTCAGTCAAGTTTATAAGTGAAAGCTATTTTAGGGTTCCCAGCTAGATTTGGTAAAGCCATGACCCCAAGTAATGTACTCAAACTATCTTGGTAAGGAAACAGCATACTGTGCCTGACACTTCCTGCTTTATTTCCTGATAACCTTGATTTCAACAAAAAGATTGAGATCATTCAATGCTCATGCACAAGCATGTACATTTAATAACAGAGGTTGAAGTATATATAAAACATAATAAAGTCAGGTTCTAATGAAATAGGAAGAGATACTGAACTGTAGCAACAGGGAGCATTAACAACATGGCAATAGACCACAGCATGTAATACGAGGATGTATCTTACTTGTCTGATATTGTTTCATTTTCAACTACTGTTGGCAAGCCTTTCATGACAAGCACCAAAGGTCTACCTGCACCTATAAGTGAAAAATCAAGCAAAACTCAGCAATTAGTCCCCCAGATTCTAGTCACAGGGGTCCACAGGTTTGAAAATTGAGGAATGGGTTGGTATATCTGGTGTGAAAATGGAAACTAATGTATTTTTCCTAAATATGAGAAGGGGCAGAAATTCCAATTTTATGAGCTCTTGCTTGATATAATTAAGGTTACACAATTCTAGTCAGACTTCAAGTGCCCCAACACAATTCGATCCACCTCCCATTCACAGGCCCCTCCCTCCCCAAATGTACAGGTATCAACAAATTTTAAGTATACATTTGATCCCTCACATCATCAGTGAAAACAAAAATGTCATATTCTTAGTTTTCTGCAGGTTTTTCGCGCCCTTACCTGACAAATACGCAGCCTCTACTAGAGATGCAACACTTCGTGTTGAGCTGTCAATGACAAAAAGAAGCAATTCAGCCACTTCCTTGGCTTCATCTTCAATTGCTATCAGTTCGTGGCTCCAATTCTCAACTTGCTGCTTCAAACAAACAAAGATTTGATATACACATCATTAACATAGTTTCGCAAAGCTAAGAATTTTCGCAAACAAGATTCAAAGGAAACCTGCTTGCTGTGTTGAGGACAATGTTTATGAAAAATAAACTAAACACTTGGAAATAAAGATCAGAGATCAGAACATAAAAATATATATAACAAGAACTGTGTTAGGAGCAAAAGTAATCGTCCTTGTTAGAATAGCCTATTATATACAGGTATACTGACTGGGTTGTAGTAAGTTAGGTTGTAGTCTTTCAGCAGGGGAATGGCAATGTCTTTCCGCCAAGTTGTCGGATTGCACGAACCACCAAGGAACACTGGAAAAATAAGAAAAGGAAAGAGAAATAAACACAAACAGTTCAGCTTAAATTACATGTACCATGGGTACATAAACTGCTTAACTGTGGTATGACTTAATGAAGCAGTCCAATGTGACTCATGCTCAAGGCCGGTTTTACAAATCTGAAAGCCCTCATGACCTTGGGAATGCTGGATTTCCAGACTTTGAAAAGGAACCATGTGGGTTGTGACCAGCCTTCTGAACTGAAGCAATGTTGTGACTAAGACACATGTATGTTTATATTAAGTACTTATGGTTATGACTGATTTTTCGTGCTGATATGTTAAGGGGAACAGCTGTAGTCATAGACAGTCATGACTGCTGTAGACGATGGTGTCTGATGAATCATGCTACATATTGAAAGGCTACACATTGAACAACCACTAAGGCTATTAATTGGAGGGCCTACATCCATCATTAACACATTCTGTAGGCAAACCTTTCTTTTACACACATATTTCCTGGATAACTTGGGTTACGTCACATGTTATGTTAACATCCCCAAATTAAGGCAATATACCAAACATGCACTAAAGCATGTCTGGTAGAGGTGGGGGTTAAATTTTGTACTAAAAGGGTTACAAATGAAACCATATACCTGTACCTTTGAATTTGGGCATAGAGGAGGAAGATCTTGGATGATGGGTTGCATTGTGACGATATCTTGGATCAGTTGCATTTGGTATCTCACTGGAATGGTTTAAGGCACTGTGGAACAAAGCGATATGACAGAGGAATGGTCCAGAGTCTGGTTGGCGCAGTAGTACATGTAGCTCATCGTCCATTTGTGTGATCTAGGTCCAAATCCCTCATAGGCTATCATGGGGACTGGGTTTTTCAGTCCTTACCCAAGCCGGCAGGTTTTTCTCATAATTTAAGCTTCAATTTGCCCCCACCTTTTAAAAAATGCATAGTTCTTTATCTTTTTTCACTTTTTTAAAGACAATTTTGACCACAGGTTGTGTACTTTGGGGAAGCCCGTAGCTCATTACTGGAAATAAGTTGATCGAACATAATGAATGTACAATAAAAGTTAATATCATTCATTACTTATTGTCTTAGACTTACCTAAATTTGTCATAATGTTCCTCGAGGTCTGAAGTAAAGACACAGAAGTCACCAAACGTAATGAAATCATCACCATCTCGCTGCAAACACTCACTGCTACACATCAGCATTGAATAAACTGCAAAACCAAAACAGAGCAACAAAGTAGGACTTCAAACACTGGTAAAATCAAATTTAAGGAAATTTGCATATTGATCCAAGTTTGAGAAAGCCAGGCTTCAAGTATGATTACAAGTATGATCCAAATACAACAGTGATTAATCAATAATCACTGATTCTGGATGATGAAATCATTCTTACAAATGTACTTTGCAGGTGATAAATGTGTTAACTATCTGATGTCAAAACATATGTGGTTTCACCCACTGGTAACACTTCAAGAGTTGAATTTCACTTTTTTTCTGTTCCACAGACCTTGTTATTATTATATTATATTATATTATTCAACTTACTTTGAGATCTTGTGGGAAATATCTTCATATGACTGAAGGCCTGTAGTAAACTCTTTCTGTCCAGTTTTTTATTCCCACGGTCAAACTCCTCAAACACTTCCAAGTAGCGCCTAGTAACAAAAAAGGAAACTTTTTTTATGAGATAAAAACAAAAGATGCATTACGCTGAAAACAAAAATGACTAAAATGATATGCGAATACACAAAGGTGTTGTAAACCTAAGCTATATCCGTACAAAAATACATGTAATTTCAACAAAAAAAATTGATGTTTGATTGGCCTACTGATTAATGGAATCATGATGCAAAACAAAAAAGGCAACTCAGAAACCTAGACACTCGTCATCAGCAGTCATGCTCGTGAAACCATTCATGATCCATCATTATGTCATCTAATGTCTCACTTAACCATCATTATGGTCATGACGACAAGGATAATCATCTTTATTCCATCTACAACCATGCACACATACAGATCTAATTAGCCTTAAGTAATGTGATTGGATAGAATCAATGTTCGATCATGTCAAACACAGAGTTCCAATTACTCGGGCTTATTTGGTGATCAGTGTTAGAAACCTATACAAAGTAAACTGTGATATTAGTGAACTTAATTTGCAATGTTTATAAACATGACAAACGCTCTTACTAGGCATGTTAGGGTTAACGTTTGGCCTACCGTGTTCTTGGACCGAAGACTTGCATGTCTCCATTTCGCCACTCTGCAATCACACTTTCCGTCTCCGTATTGTGGTTCGTATCACGCTCACACAGTAAAGACATAATTTACAATTAAAAATGAACCAAAAGAAACTGAAGAAGTAAACGTAATGCCTAATGGGCATAACTCAGCTTGATTCACCCCATCATTTTTAGCCTGCACCCCGACCAGCCCCGCCACCGCTTTGGTTTAAAAAAAAAAATGACGTAATGCTTCGTGGACATATATATATTTAATTAACCTTCGATCACGGAGGGCGGTCTTCCTCACGTGGGTTCCGCGTTCTGTGTTGCACGTTGACAAGAACCTGCTATCACAGCAACGTGGGCATGAGGTACATTAGCCCCACTAGTGTGGCACGGATCATCGGGAGTGATCCGTGCCACACTAGTGGGGCTAGGGGTACATCAACAACACAGAGTATCCTCAGTTTAAAAGGGGGTAAAATGCATTACTCTCAGGTCTTCGAGATACATCAAAGTTTTGGTGGGAAATCCGATGACATTTTGGAGAAAAGTTCATCCAAAGATAATCACCCCTAAAGTTTGAAGCCTATCGCCATTTGATAAAAAGATCGTGTCCTACAGTATTTGAAGCTACTTCAAGTCCAATATAAGAACAGAGGCATTTTAGCGCCTAGTTTCATCTACATTTCACAGAAATACAAGGCGGAAGTCCTGTTCAGAGATTCCATTCATTTTTTCTGTTTATAACTAAAAGAAGCAAGTCCGAGGCTATATTTTTCTCATGTAAATTATGATTTAAATGGTGTATGAATGCTATTTGTGGCGTGTCCTGGTAGTGATGGTCCTGGACTTGTTGCAACGTTGGACGTACTTGGGAGCGCCATCCTAGAGCAGACAAAATTACTTCTCCTGGAATAACGCTAATTACCGTTCAGGTTTGGAATGTTGTCCATAGTACTGCACTAAATACCCAAAAGACATTGATAACCACGTACGCAAAAGTACATGTAGCCCCCCTCCCAATAAAAACCTAGGCCTTTACATGTATACAAAACAAATACACAGCAAGCGTATGATAAAATGAAGTTTGCTTCAATAACTTCACACATTTTGGAATAAATCTCGGGTATTATTGATAATAGTAGCACACAGGCCAGAAATTTTGCCCCTTTGCCCCACCTATCTCAGTCATTTGGGGTAAGTGGGACAGCCATTAAATTTGGGGGGTATGTTAAACACACACAGATGTATGTCAACCATTCAACAATTTCTATGTAGATTATTTCAATCAAAGAAACCCATTTTTCTTCCTTCCAACGATCATGTTTTATTTCTGAAAGATGATTAAAAATTCCAACAGAAGGCAGACATTCATGTGATTGTGTAGAATATCATTTTTTACAAAGAAATGTCCCAAATGCTTCCCTGCCAAATGATGAGCATGAATAGAGGTGATTTTTAGGCAACATGGCTTAACATGAAAGTATGGACACGATTTTTTTAATCAGTATTGTTTGTTGAAAATGCTTTCCCCAGTATGTATTTCTGAGAATAAGATAAAAAAAAAAAACAACAGAAAAACTGCCAAGTATTCCACTCCCACAATACACAATTACTCTAAATTAACTTTTCAACTTGTTTTTCCCTCATTATCTGTTTAGGCCTGACATCACAGTGCACATTAAAGATGAGTCTAGAAGAGTAGAAAAGGAATAACTATTACCTTTATCTTCTAAAACTTATTATCTTCTGAAATTTGGAAATTATATCTCAAATTTAAGCTTCACTGTACCTCAACCAGTTCTTTTCTGAACAAAACTTTGCCCCCCCACTGTATGTGATTCCCTGCCCCACCCATTTCTGCTCTACTTCCCTATCCTATATTGGTTTCTTCCACCCATTCTGTCTAACTCTCACTTATTTATTAGACAAGATTCGTAAAATGGGCGAGGATAAAGGGGGGACGTTGCAAGGAGGTAACCTATATACAAATTGAATCCTTCATTTCTAGAGAGTTACAGCACAGGTTTGCTAAGCATTCTCCTCTTCTTAAAGATTCCAAAGTACCACATGAGACCAGTCAAGAACGACAGACTGTACCTGTAAAGCAGTATAAACAGCCATTAGATAAATCTTTGCTTAAAGCGAAGTATGCAAACAGACTAAAGAATGCAGATATGAAGTTTTTGCATAAGTTCTTGGGTTAATAAGCACACTAGGGATACACTTACAGTAAGCTACAGACTTGCATTTATGAGTCAGGGATGGGTTAAGCATAACGGTGTCATCAGTTTAGATCAACTCATTCCAAATAAGTCAAGTAAGACTTCAAATCAAAGCATGAATTTCTTGAATGCTCACCAAGTTATGATGTACTGCAGATGTTCATTTCGCAGTGTGACCTTTGTTTGACCTCCGATGGGACCTCCAGGAATGTCACATGCTGTCAAAATTACAAAAATTCCAAAGATGAAACTCAATAAGTGGCCACAGTGAAATGAGCACACAGATCTGTGCAAGGATAAGAAGATCCCTTCCCTTGAGGCATCCAGCTTCAGTTACATTTGAGAGATCAGGCGACAATTTGGAAAACTTACAGCTATCAGCATCAATCATGACAGGCTCAGCTCCGGTGACCCTTGACATCTCTTCAAGGTCAAGATAATACCAGCGACCTCTTTCAATATCATTCTGGGGCATGAAGGCTGCTCGCTGTAAGTAGGAGAAAACGCTATGTACATTTAAGAGGCAACATTTCATTACCTTGTGCTGTTATTTGGCACAAAACTAGCAGTATGTCAAACATGTCATAACGTTTCAGGGTTTCTGCATCAAGTAAAACTGCTTTGGGAACATTATAAAGTGTTTATGAGTTTCATAAAAAATGCACTTCATTGTTTTAAGATCAAGTAATTTCAAAAATCTTCTTACCTTCTCTGTTTTTCTTACAAGTCCAATCAGCTGAATTTCCCCTGAAATCTGTTGGACAATACACAAAATACATGACCTTATTATTACAGAAAACATAATTACCTCTGTATTATTTTTGTCAGGCTGAAATCATCGATTAGATCTTCAATCAAGAGATCTGACATGACCATCAGGTGCTTTAGCGTAAGAGAATATCTTCCTGTGTTTCCTACCTGGCCCTGTTGCCTGCTAGCTGGGTTGGAGTTACGCTTGGGAACAAACCCTCGGTTCACTAGAATACTAACGCTGTTCATGAAATAGGAAGATTTCATGGTAAACTCTAAAGCAAATTAGATCAGAAATTAAACATACAAAGCCAACATGAAGACAATGATTTGCTTTTCAAACAACAAAGGAAAAAAAAGAGAATGTCAAACTTTCTTAAAAGTACAAAGGTAAGTTTTTACTTTTTTACCAGAAGCTATAAAGTTGGTGCTGAAAACACATGTTAATACTCACCCTAGATCTGGGCAATAAAATGGAGTGACTACATGAGCACCTGATTCTCCCCTTGATATCAAACTCCCAGCATCCTTTGCAGGAGGTTTATTCAACGTACGTGGTAAGATGAGAATCTCTTTGGAGTGATCAAACTCTCCTCTTATCATTACCCGTCGGTACTCTAAAGCTTCAACATCAACTTTCCTGCAATTCAATGGAAATACCAAACCAAGGTCTCCTGTAAGAACAACAGCATGGGCACAGTTTCTTTGCACAAAGTGAGAGATACTGAATGAAAATGACAAGAACAAATACATGTATAGGAATGATGGGCTTCTGCGGACTAGTAAAAGTGTACATGAAACAGGAACTTTACTCCAACATGGCAACTCATTAAGCTTGTATTTGGCCTGAGATACAATCTTCTGCTTTAAATCCCTGTGATACACCAAGACTGACCCTGTACATGCTACCACAGGTGTGACTCTTCTCTGCATTGTTGGTGCCTTGGAGGCTGTTCATCATTGTTTCGATTTAGTTATAATGAACCACACAAGGTTCACTTGAGCCTATCTGAGAGATTTAAAGCCCTTGCCCTTCAACTTTGCCTTAATGCATAACCTCTATGGCTGGCCAGCCAATAATGTACACAATCCCACCAACTGTTGAGGAGACTATCCAAAATACATGTGCCTGAATTTTACAAAGTGACAGCCAAACTGCCGTGTCCTGTATGCATACGCATACAATGATCATGTTACGATTGGTCTATATCATAAATGGGCCTAGTTGGTCACCAAACTTACTCTAATGATTTGAGGGGTACTGGAGCAGCAGTAGTTCGTGCCTCCAAGTCCCGGATCAAACCAAGCTTCCATTTGCGACGTTTCACTTGCCAAGTTCCCAGGCAAAATGCAGCAGCTGGAATGATCAAGAGGAGATGACCAAAGACTGAGGGAGGTGCACTGTCAGAAGAGGAAGCGCCCTCATGTGGTCTGCTGGAGCTGGCTTGTGAATGTCTCTGCTTGGATGATGATACCTGTCTGATGGCAAAGTGCCCTCTGTATGGCCTCAAACACCGCCACAGGTCTTGCTGAAATGACAATATTAATAATGCTGGAGTCACTAGTCACTAGTCAGCCTGCTCTTCATATGCAGTAAAACTAAGTGTTAGTGGAACCAACAAAATTCTAATAAACAAGTATAAAGCTCATAAACACAGTTATGTTTAGGCAAGCACCTTCGGTAAGAACTCTAAAAATGGACGCTAGTAATTACTCCCTACAGTGACCTACTAGCCATCAGAAAGCAACTTCATGTCCAAAAAAGTTCAATTTAGGAGGGAAAAAACCAAGTTGTTTACTAAGGAAAGCCTTAGAATTTTTCAGACCAGTCTCATAAGGTTCATGCACAGAGTGTCAAGTGGTGTTTGCATATTGGAACTCTTTCCGCACCGTCTTCCTGATGTAGGGATTTCAGTAAAGTCTGGCATGAACAACAAAGGGAAGAATGAAGAATCAATACATTATTAGGCCTAGTAATAATAAATAATACACCACTTACTCAAAAAACAATATTCACTAGCATATCCAATGGTCATGCTGGTGCTATGTTTAAACTCACAATGTAAAGGAAATCTTTATCATTTTGAATGGTTTTCTTTAATACAGTTTTGTACAAGAAGTTAGCTAGCAATTTGTATGGCTGGTTATGGTTTGCTGTTTGGTTAAGCATGTTAAGCCAAGACATGGAGATTGAAAAAGGATCCAGTAATTTTGTAGAGTTCTAAGGTATGAAAAAGGACCTTTGTATAACTGCATGGCCCCAGTTACTCCAAACTAGCGGTGTGTCAGCTTTCATGTACAGCCATACATGTAGGCCTAGGCCTTTATTGCTTGACAGTTTTAGCAGCTATGCATGCGTGCAGCCACACAAGTTCACAGCAAAGCCAGTAAAAATGTATGTCAAACCTTTCGTGCACGTGGAAATAATTCAGCTTTTGGGCAAACTCTTGATACACGAACTATTGACTTGACAACTCTAGGGAAAGACATAATTGCAGGGATACAACGTCCACGGGAACAAGGCTACGGAGGGAGAGATCAGCGATTATTACGTAAAAAGTAATGGCGCCCTCATAAGGTTAGGGCCAGGGCCCCACAGTCACAGACAACTTTTCTTCCACCCTTGGTGGCGCTGCTGAAAACTATAACAACCGGAGACGCTTTGCTGGATTGCTTCGTTGACATTGTGCTTCTATGTAATTCATCCCGAAATTCATTCATTCTTTGATTCAGGTTGTACCATTCTGATGGCTGCTCAGGGCTATCACTTAAAGCTTGGTCCAGGTGCTGCTGAATCGATTGATCAGTATCTGGAATATAGACGGTAATATTAGTAGGCCTAATCAATCTTCTGCATTTTCTGCAGCGTTCTCAGGCTTCTTTCAACATAACATCAAGCCTAGCCATGTCGTGAAAAGCTCCAAATGAGTGGCTCCCTTTTGAAATCTGTATTCTTTCTTTCGACAAAAGAAGACAGACTTCAGAGGAGGCATCTCCATGGTGTACTGTAAGGCTAGGGGAAAACTTCCATAAGCAGACGCCATTTGACACTCTGTGCACAAACCCTATGACTGAGACTTGTCTGAAAAATTCCGAGTGTTATTTGTAATCCTACTTAAACATTTTCACTGCAAAATTGATTTTTTTAGGTCATTTAATTGCTTTCAGATAGCTAGTAGTAGTAGGTCACTGCAGGGAAAAATTAGTGGTGTCCACCTGGGCCAGTGCAGTGGTTGAGCTTGTAGGGTACTATAAGTTTTGGAAAACGAAGCCAATGTGAACTACATGTGTTGAAGACAAGGAAAGTATCAAAGCACCTTTCAGCTTATACTGAGTGACGTCATACTCCCCTACTAAGATCAAATTCCTACACTGTGAATTAAAATTAAGCTTATGCCTTCTTAAATTTATTTTATTCTGTTTAACTCTACTGTAAGTCTCTGATCCTTATTTCCCTAATTCACATTACAAAGTATAAAGTTCATTTCTTTATTTGTAAGTTATATAAAGCCTACACTGGATCACTTCAAATGGTTACTTTTTCCAATGCACGGCGTACCCTATACAACTGTTTGCTTTTTCAAATTGCCCACTTAGTATCTGTGTTCTTTATATTTTTTGTGATTTACCACAGAGGAAATAAATGTCACCTCCCCCCCAAAAAAAAAATTGTGGGTTTTGTTATGCCCAATGGAATACTCCAAAACGAATCCCATAGATAAAGGGGTAACAGTCAAACTAACTCGTAGCATGGACCATAGTACAGTATAATTACCAAAAAAGTAGAGCATTTACAGCCTGATGCCTGTATTGTCACTTTCCTGTAGAGTGACCAGTATACAAGAGTAGTCTCTTTACCACATTCACCCCGTGCACACTGCATACCCCTTTGATGTTCATACAGCATTGTTGGTGAGGATGACGGTGGTGAGTTATTCACACCAGAGCAGTATGAAGCTTATAAACGAGATGTTGTACCAACCCGGATGAAGAATCGTCTATTTGTCAGTTGGACATCTCCCAATGGGTGGGATTGTAAGCTGGTTGGACCAGAGACACCATGCTTCTGTCAACACAGGTAGTAGTCGTTTCACTAACATCTTGATTCCATTCAAAAATAGAGATCCGAATACACTTTATGTTGGTCTCCATGATGGATAACCTGAGTGAATTGATTTTTAGGAGTCATTTGTTTCCTGTAAGCAGTAAAACAGTTTTTGCTGGAATTCATCACAAGGGCTTTAAACAACCTGATGGGATAGGCAGGTCATACATCATTATAGTGGCTAGAGAAAATGACCTCTTAAATGACCTAGTGGGTGATTTATTATGAATCTGAACCTTCCCAACAATTCTTTGTGCTTGGGCATGATATCTGAAGCTATCAAGGTTTTATTTTAATTCTTTTCCTGATGTACATTGTAGATACAAGCAGCACAAGACAGATTTCAAGGAGATACCCACAGAGAGACCCCTACTCCTCCCTTGTAGGGTCAAAGGTTGCAGATGTCAGTCATACAATTATGTTCCCCTGAATGGCAGCAGGCCTTTACGATGTCGGTGTAAGCACTTCACTGATGAACATTCTGAGGATCCAAGCCATGCTTGCATGAAATGTGAGTCAAGACCAACATTGTGATCAAAATGGTACAATCTACATGTACAAAATGCAACAGCAATTATGTGTGTTTCACTCAAATTTGTACTTAAAGAACACGCTTATAAAGCACAAATTGACAAATTGCTCGTGGTTAAGGCTACAGTTTTAATTTTATGTGGTAATGTCTCTGTTACGATTCAGCATTTCAAATTTTGACAAGCCAGACTGTATAGGATATACAAATTCCTGCCACAATATTCACAGGAACTATTTATTTTGTTTCTCAGCGAGTTGTAATTGTGTCTCCTTCAAGAGTTCATTCACCTGTTCTTGTGAGCAGCCTACCTACCTACATGAGATGATTATCGAGACGAAGGAGGAGAGACTAGCCAGAGGTCATCCTGTAGGTCATGACACACCGTATGCAGCCATGGGAGGGTTGACTGGTTTCAGTTCATTGGCTGAGGCATATATGAGACTGGATGATAGCGGCATTGGTGAGACGGATTTACATAAGTAGAAGTAGTTGTCATGGTAATACATGTATATAACAGGAAATTTTTGTAGATGTCTTTGTGACAAGATTTGTTCCAAAGCTAGGGTATTAAAACAATAAGGCAATAACTATTCTGCCCCAAAATACAAAAATCTATTACTTTTGAGCTCTTGAATATATAATTTATAGTGAATATATGATTATACAATATTTTTACAGGTAAGTCAATCATTAAAGTGGATGTTATTTTACAGGTCCAGCAGATGAAGAGTTTTTAAATCAACCAATCACATCATCTGATCATCCTTTCCTTCGGATGCATGCAAGCACCTTCCAGCAACTTGAGCCTCCAGATAAAAAAGTTGATGCACTGACCAAAAAGATGGCAAACTTCAAGATGACAGGAACTGATGCAGATATGGAGTATTATGAAATGAGATATCAGCAGAGGGTAGGAATGTGGAAATAGACTGTTGATTGCATTACTTCAGTATTTTAATGGGCTTTGTGTTTACATGTACTTGTCCCAGAGTTTGGGGCACCTCACAGAAATTGAAGTTATTTATGAGATATGACACATTGAGACACGTAAAAGTTGAGACAGCTTGGTCCGAAATATGTCAGAAATCTTCCCCTCATTACATGTCCTGGCCAGAGATTAGTACTTGTTACACTTTTCGTGCATTATCTAATCAACCTTTGCTTCTACATTTACATCTGTCTGAGCAGGTTTTCAAATATAATTTTTGTTGTGACAGAGAGAGTAGAGTGTACTCATGTCTGCTCCACCAAAAACATGCTCTCAGATGTAATGTGACTGATACCAGATGCAAGGACTCGGTGAATACAGCCGTCTGCAGTGTATACTATGGAACTGGAAGTTGTAATTTTATAGTGATGGTATTTAGTCAACAAGTGTTCTTCCATCCTCCTTGGCAAATTGCTGTAGGGTGGAGAGAGGCAAAGGCCCAATGTTATACACAGTTAATCAGTTGGATTCTACCGCCTGATCCTCTAAACATGATCATGAACCCTGATCATCTGGCCACATGCCCTTAATGATAGTCTTTTGTAATTGTCTATGTTGCTATTCACATCCATTTCCAGTTGAAAGAAGAGCGAATGAAGAAAAGAGGTGTGCAGCCTGGCCCTAGGAGACCACAAGAGGGCGCTGCTGTGAGTGGCCATCGAGTTCAGCCTGGCAGTGCAAAGAGTGGTACCAGAGGGCCCTCAAGAAGTGCAACCAAGAGATAGTCTATGTCTTTGCATTCAGTAGTGAGGAGACCTTGCTTATTGACAGACAATGATTTCTAACAACTATAAGTGTAGTGGACTCAAAATCTTGTTTCTGGAGTAAAGTTGAAGCCATCTACACATCAGAAGCATATCTGTTGAATATTGGTGGTTGAACATGATGGTGCAACACTTTTCATTCTACTAATATAAACCAAAGCCTATGTGATCAGTAATTCTGTGCAACATCTAAGATACAAAAGAATTTTGAGAATACTGCTGCAATGAAATTGGGTTAAAAGAACTAAACATGGGAGATGCATATTTACAAGTTTCAAAATATTTTAAAGACACTTCACGAAGGTTTCGAAATAAATCTTGTTTGAAATTGAGATGTTTTAAATGTACATGTATATATGTGTGTAGAAAACGGCCCTTATGGAGTGAAAAAAATCAGAGCAATGAATTTTGATCAGACCTTATTTCAGAATGATGTGCTATTTTTGCATAGTGCACTGAGATATTTCTTCAACGTAGACACATTGAGAACCTTGTCACGTTGACAAGTTCTGTTTGCATTCATGTGTTTTGCTTTGTAATGGGCTTTAATGCTTGAACTTTTCCAATGCATGTATATTTTGCTGTTTTATTCTGGTTTAAAGAGAGATGACCACCTCTGCAGTTTGCATTGCATTGTATTAGTGTAATAAATGGATTTCACAAATATAGCAGAAGAAACTCGGAAGATCAGATTTTCATTATTTCCCTAGTTCTTAACTTCTGTTTTAAAAAGAATAACACAGTTAAGTTGTTTACAGTTAAAATGTTGCACTGAGTACGACTAGTAGATTTAATTTGCTTACACACTTATGCCAAACTTAGTTCCTGATGAAGTGGAGGTGGCAATCTGTAGAGAGTAGAAGAGAGAAAAATATTTGGAGAAACAACCATTTTGGGGAGCTTTCAGCATCTTTAAAAGTACTAAGATTTACATAGGCACAGTTTCTCATCAACCCATACAGAATGCAGGCAAACGACAATAACGCCAATATTGGCTCACGGATTAAATGAACTCCATGTTTGGAAATACGAGATTTGTTGAACATTTTGCGGTCGTGTTGTTTACTTGTTTTGATAAGCAAGAACAGTAATTCTACACGCGGGTGAGAGAATCATGAATATTCAGTAGCATCACCCAAGAGGATTTCCTAATCTGAGAAAGTTGCAGGCGGGTTTTGTGAAACATTTTCAATAAAAACTACAGACTTTTTAACAATCTTCGGTGCGAGCGATATTCTAGAAAGTAAAGTCGATTGGTGAAATACGCTTAAACTCAAACAGCTGCCACCTTCAACCTGGCTCTGGACTTCACGCCTGATGACGCTGAGAACACTAGGGGGAAGGCGAATTCAAGTGTAATTCCGGCGTACAGTATCAGTGGTCTTAAAATCACCGGATCAAATCACCTGTGGCTTTTGTTTAGACTAAAACAAACTGAACGCTTCCAACCTTAAACAAGATATTCATGAATAGAAATTAAAGCCCAGCTCTGTTGTTCCGTAATTGATATTTTCCTTTTTTTTCTTAGCGAAATACAATTCGACTGCGATGTGGCCACCTGGCTATGTTTCCGATGACGCGAGTTCCAAGGTTGCTGTGTAGGGAGAGAAGACATCTATTTTCCCGCCGTCAATTTAGCTGCTTCCTCTCCGCTACATCACACTGTCTCCTTAGCTCGTCGTGTTTATTTTAATACCGAGGTTATATGACGGGAATTTATGTTGCTAGAAGATGCGAGTATTGATTTTCACTGGCAGCCGCCAAGAAGTGTCAGATTATTTCGAAGCGTGTTTATGTGTCGATGGACGAAGTACTTAAATACAACTTCATTAGAAGAACTTAACGCAGGTAAGAACGCACTTCACGATACCGTGATAGAAAATGCACCAATCTTTCCAGATTCCACAGCGATGCAGCAAGAGGAAATGGATGCTTGTTTTCGAAATTAAAAATTATTGACATTTTTGCTTTCTTTACAGGCGTTAACCATCGTGCTTCATCGTGCACTTAGCACTAGTGGTTAAGCCACAGAGCAAATATTGCGGGGACCGTATGAACAAGCGTGCATCGATGCAGCAGGTTTGAAAAACTAAAGCTCACGGCGTATCAGGGTGCAGGACAACTCATTATGAAGTCTGGGTTTCGATTGGCAAAATAAAATATCCTTCGCACCGAAGAACTGTCTGGCGAGGGATACAGTAACCAAAGAAGGAGTCAGGAATGCAGTGAAAGTTGATGTTCTGTCTACATACATGTACTAGCAACGTGGGAAATCAACAGGATGGCATCTAGAGAATCCTACTCGATTGTTTATTTGGCCTAATTATCCGAGATACCGCTGGAGTGCAGCATTCACCGATCTCGTGAGAAACTACCAGCTGGACTGCGTGCCGGTACTGTTTGGAAAGGTTGGTAGCATGGAAATGACACATAAGAAATAAGTTAAGAAATGAATGAGATGAATTGAGATCTCTTTAAAGGAATAACAGCATTTCGATGAGAAAGTAATGAGGTCATTACTGGCAACCTTGCTCTATGTTATTAGCTATAGTCCTTGAATATAGGTTACAATCAACTAATGCTTCACTTGCTGGGAACCGTTAATTTCAGCAAAAGTTACTTAAGAAAAACACAACATGACGCGAAATGACAATACGTAAGAAATGAAATATAACATTTAGTAAGGTGCTCTACTTTTTGACTTGGCAAAACACTCATTGTGAGCAAGTACACCGAGACTGGAAATATATAAAGCTAGAATTGCATGGCATTGCGTTGCTTTTTATGAAACATATTACAAGTTTGAAATAAATGATGTCATTTTTTTGTCGTTTTGGTTCAGTAAAGAAAACTCGGCCACAAGAGAACTGCAAAAATCACTTTGATTGACACAGAAAATAGCTAGGTGGAAAGAAATAGAGATTAATGGCAATCGTTTAGTGAGTGATTGATTTCTCATTTTTTGTTGCAGCATCAACAAAAACAATCAGATCAAAGTCTTGCTGCAAGTACTCTCTCGAAACGGCATCATGTCTGCAGTAGCAAAGTCCGAATCTTTAGTTCACCGTGATGCGCGGTTATACTGTCGGCGTAGACACCAAAAGACCATGGGTAAATGCGCCCGTGAGGAACGGCAGAGCGACGCGCTTCTCGCACGCAAACTCCGTCACATCCAGAAATCTAAAGCTTATCGAGAGAAGGAACTGGACCGAGAACAGGAGAAATGTTTGACGGACCTGGTAGCGATTTTTGATCGTCAATGTCAGATTGCCACAACGAGACTCGCCCGGAGACTGAAAGACGCACTAGGAGAAACAGACATCGTGGAACTGGAAGATTTGTGGGGGAAAAAAACTAACGACAGACAAGTTGCGAAAGGAATGCGTGATGATCAAGCAGGGACACACCGATCCTTGTTTTGCGGCAAGGACAGACATTCTTTTGCCAGACATTCACACGTGTTCACCAGCGCTGATGCAAGCCCCCACAAGCAGTTCCGTAACGGTTATAGATTATCAAATACTGGGATGAGTCGAATGAATGATTTATCGAAAGACAACCGCATCAGGCCTGATTCTCCGATACCATGGCAACAGAAAAAAGATCCAATGGGGCGTGAGCCAATACCAAATCTGAATCAACATCACTTGTTCAAAACTCATCTTGGCATTCATGACTCTGTTCAGATCCCAAAAGCAAATGGAGGCGTTGCTAAGAGACCGACATCTTCTCAACCAAGCGCTGCGCGACCCAAAACGGTTCCACAAATCGGGGAAAATTCCTTGTCAGCGAACAGCCGTTGGGATGAGCTTGCCTCTCAAGTACGATGCCCCCAACATGGCAACAATGCCCCTGCCTATATTAGCAGAGCCAGAAGTCTACGGTGTCTATTACGTGACTGCACTGACAAGACAGCAACACCTGTCTTCGATGCACCTGAAGATGTATGTTTCCGTCGCCAGTACATGGCATGTGTGATGTCCCGTAAGTTACCCGTCAGCGGGCTGCGCAGTGGCAGCTTTGCACAACAAGATGATGTCAGAAAGAAGATGGAGGCAAGGAGGAAATGTATGGAAGAATTGCACATGACCAGTGGACAGAGAGCCAAGTCGGCTCCTGCTGGGCTTGTGCGTATATGCAACAATGACCTTTCAGCTCAATGGAACATTTAAGTGAAACATTTAAAAGCGAGTAACTAACACCAGACATAACATTTAATTCATCGTGATAGAATCACATGCACTCCGGAGCAACAAACACAGTTGTTATCTCTTTGCGCATGAGTGATGTTTATGTTCTGCACCCACATGTACATGTACATCTCAATAATTTAGCTTAAGTACCAAATATTAAAATCTAAAGATGTATTGTGAATACTAAAGTGTATGGCATGAATTGCAATGTTAATGATGTAGATTTTGCATGCATACCAAACTGCATGATTCAGTAAAAAAATGGTTGCAGTGGTATGAAGGAAATCTACTTATCTGATGGGTTAAATATGAGTCAATCATTTTCCATTTGTTCTGGACATTGGGTTTTGAATATAGTAAAAAAACAAAATGATAAAAATGAAGACACTCAATATAAAGCATAGAGATTCTAAAATGAAAACAGAATGTGGAACACAAGAATATTACGTTAAATTTATTCTAATCAATCACAAATATCTCATTTGGCACAAAGATGTCCATTAAAATTTCAGTCTTAAGTAACTTACCTGTTGCACATGTACACATGTTTCATAAAGCTAACCATACTTGGAGAAGTTAGACTGATGATCACAAAACAAAATATAACTACACGTACTGCAATACTGTTAGTCATGTTAGTGCCACTGAATATAATAAATCGCCACAAAGAATTTGGCTGTTCAAAATATCAATTGAAAAACTTTTCTGGCAAGAACTATTTGTTATTATGAGAAGTTACGAAAAAATTAATATGAATGACAAGTTTAAAAACAGCAATGTTGCATTCAGCATTTAAAAAATATATATTGACAAAACATATTACTATACAAATTTGAATGAAGACAAAATTATGAATCAGAAAACAAACAAATGTAAAAAGATAATAAAAAACAAGCATGAACCAATCAGAGGATGGCCCTCCACATGACATGCACCTAATGTTCAGCCTGAAAGTACATGTACTACACTTTCATACTATCACTCAAACTCCTCCAGCAAGTTCCAGAGACACATTTATTGCTGAGACACGCTACCATTTCCACTGCACCAAAACTGTCAGCAGTGTGTGTAGTCCTATACAGAATTCTGGCTATAAAACCCTCATTTCTTCAAATCCCCAAACTGGCTTTCTGCCATTTGTCCATAATTTGCTTCGGTGGCTCTTGGTACTGCACATACTGAGGTAACCAACATCAATGACATGTATCCTACTAATCATCCAAGCTTTGGCTGATTATGTGTGATCTTGAACAACTATCCATCATAAAATACAAAACAATCAAGACTCTGAATGCAACACCATTAGCACCAACTCAGATGAAGTAAATCAGCACCGCAATAAAACCAACTATTTGCTTTGAGTTCGTACTTGTCATCTCATTTCTATAATTATAAATTTTAAATTTTCAGCTACAACCCGGATTATTGAAATTTGAATGAATATTTAGGATAAATTTCTTGATATCCAAACGATTCCATCATCAGGCTCCTTGTAAACTCACAAGACAACTGATGGAAAGTCTCATCTCTGGTAGTTGGCATTACAGTTTTGCTAACTTTAATACTGCTCCTTAATGCATAATCTAGCACGGATCTTGTGCTAAGTTGCATTGTCCATGGTTTTGCTCAGTAAAGTTTTCTCAGAAGGATAGATAAGAATAAAAATAAAAATGCTGTGCCTCGTCAAGGACATCACCATTTAAGGAAATTTAATGTAGTCATAAGATAAAATCTGCAGCATTATCTACTTACACACACATTCTTACTGGTACTTTGTACTTCGGGATCTGTCACACAATTTCAAGCTACTTTATTTTGTATATGCGGTTATTCTCAACATTAATACATGTACCTACCTGATTCAATTGTCGTTCCAAGCACACAGTTTTCTAAGGGCTACACAAGTGAGGCCCATTTAACCCTAATTCATGACACACAAAAATGTGGTGTAATGTGGCATAAATCCCTTATTTGGATGCAGGCAACTCTTACTACTGACATTGCACACGTTATATTAATTGACAAACGATCAAGTCATCCATTTAGTGTACATAAATCATGGTTTAACTATGCCAAAATGAAGTATATATCCCATCAAGACCACGGTCAAATGAAGGTCATGATTAAGGTTAACACTGTCATATTTACGGGTGCATCGTGTCTGTTTTAATAAATAATATCCTAAATATTAATAAAATATAAAGACTATCAACAAAGACAATGGCTATATAAAGTCATGTGCTGTTACTTCATTAAAAACTATATGAAAATGTACAGTTGCACCATACATAAAATATGCACACACATCACACGTTTGTGTAAATTAACAGTTTGCCAATACATTACAAGAACTACTTGACCATTTTAGTAAATGGTCGGAGTCCAATTGCGCTATTTTTATAAATATTTCTTAAATACTTTATGTAAATAATTCAATAGAGTAGAACTGAGACAATCCCGGGTATATGCAACGTCATCAGAAACTTCAATCAAAAAAGGCAAACAGGTGGCAATTCACAATCAGCAACAACCACCAGAGTTTAATGTAGAAAATGTGGAGGGAAGACATCCTTCTGGATTGATAAAATAAGTGTCCTTCTTTACCACATGCTTTCCAGAACTCAGGCTCTGTGTCTCATTTAGGAAGTTACAATTATTCTCTGTGACAAAATGCTTTCATGTGCCCACGGGGAACATGACCCACTTCTCATAAGAATTGCTGTCCTGGTCAAAAACATATTGGGAACATTCCAAATAAGGAAGAAACTTCATGGCAGTTTTGCTTCAGACCTAAAAGGACTCACTGCAATATTGATGCATCGCGCAGATAAAAGTAACGTACAAAATATATCTAAGAACTTCCAAGAAACAGCCTTCAGAAATTGGAGACTTGATTTCCCTTCCATTGAAATCCTCACCTTAGTTATACATTCTTAAATCTCCATCAGTGACGACAGGAGATCAATAGGAAGTGGGAAGATGATTGTAGAATTCCTCTCAGCTGAGATGGTGTTGAGAGTTTGTAGATAGCGGAGCTGAAGAGCATTAGGTGACTCAGCAATGATGTCTGCTGCCTCCTTGAGAGCACGGGAAGCATTCTGCTCTCCTTCTGCAGCAATCACCTGGTTCATGAGAATCACATTGTACAATTAAGATATTTCTGACAAATCAATGCTAACATAAACACAGGTGATGTGTGACTTTACTGAAATGTATATCCCCCCTGCTGATCTCATTATTTTTTGCCATACATCACTCTACTGGATCCCCATATGCAGCTAGTGGGGTATTATTTGTAAACAAATACGCTCTTTGCTCTGTTATGACACTTTCACAAAAAACATGTCTTTTTCCAATGCAGCATGTCAGGTGGAATCAATTTCCAAGCTTTTAGACACTATGTACAATCTTGGGCCCTGCTTAACAGTAATGCTGCTTAAGTAACACATGCACTAGACGTGTACTGTAAGTACCTGCCAAGAAGTAGTCACTACTGATGCACATGTACTTCAACCAACATTTTGCCCAGTAACCTGGTTTTTTTTTCCGATAAGCAGAGTGCTTAGCAAATACTGACTGGTTGGCACAGATCTATGATATGATCCTCTTGAGTATAAGGACTGTCAGGACTAACCTTAGCACGAGCCTCTCTGGAGGCTTCAGCCTCAGCGGCCATTGCCCGCTGCAGCATCAGAGGCAGCCTCACATCCTTGCTGAGAATAAAAACCAAGCAAACAACCAATGATAAAACCATAGCAGCAACTTTTATTATCAATGCAGGAGTTTAAAGATCAACTGCTGAACTGTAATCACTTGTGATTATCTGTTCATACAAAGATAGTAAACCCTAATACATGCATATAATTCATTGGAAATTTAGGTTTGAAGCTGAACTACTCTTTGTCTTTCTATCTATTCAACTGGTGACATTTAAATCATACGTAATTGATATATCTTGCTTGCTTCAAAGATTTCTTGGTGTTGACTTAAAAAATTGTCACTTATCAACTCTGAGACGTTGAAAGGCTGAAGATAACATGAAGACGATGAAGACTACAAAAAACCACAGTATGTCACTACAACATTTAGTCTAATCAGTATTACTGCAATTACTCACATTTCAACTCTCTCAACTTTAACACCCCATGGGTCCGTTGCCTCATCCAAGACTGACTGCATGTGACTACTGACTGTCTCTCTGGAACTCAAGACCTCTGCTAAAGTCTTAGTACCAAGGACGTTCCGCAAAGTTGTTGCAGACAGAAGCTCAGTAGAACGCTTGAAATTCTCCACATTGACAATGGACATAGTTGGATTTTGAACACGGAAATAGACCACTGCATCAACAGTGATGGTCACGCTGTCTTTAGACAAGATCTAGTGAGACAGAAGACAAAAAATGGTAAAATAACCCAGACCTGACTTGAAAGTTCAAAAGTTAAATAAACTAAATAGACTGTAGTGATATGGATTATATGAAACACTTCAGAATCTATGTTTGTTTCAGAGTAAAAGTTACCAGTGCCTCATTAATGAACCTACCTTATTTGGATTTAAAATTCTCATAACTTTGTCACACTTCAATTTCTAAGAGTGATCAATCAAATAATTCAAGGTCTTTTAATAAATGTAGGAGTGGTCCCTACCTCTTGAGGTGGTACATCAAAGGATAAGGTTCTGAGATCTACCACTCTGAATTCATCAATGCACGGTAAGATGAAGAACAAGCCAGGGCCTTTAGCCCCTCCTGGGAGGAGACGGCCAGCTCGGAAGATGATCGCCCGCTCGTATTCTTGCACTGTCTAGGCCATGATAAACATACATGTAAAATAGAGACACTGTCGTTAATTTAAATATTTAAAATCTTTCTTGTAAGCATGCAGATTTTGGCAGATCACAAAGTAAAATGCTGTAAAAAGCTACATGTAGGTGGGATATACATGTAGGGTATTGTTCCACCTACCCTGAAGACAAAGCACAGTGATACTGGCAAGGTTAGACAGCATAAGATAAACGAACAGGCAAAGAGTATGTAGTAGCATACACCCATGCTGGTGTCATCACCTGAAAGCGAAACAATACAAAGACTAAGTGTCTTAACCAAGGATTTGTGGGACTGAAGAGGTATATTTGAAAAGGGTATATTTGTTTCCAACCTTCACAATTACGATTTTTTGGGGGAGAGGTAATCCAGAGATGTACACAACAGCAGCTGATTAGAGTTGAACCCGTATACACTGTAGTTGTTTAAAGGTCTTGTTTTTCTGGACCTGTTGCTAACTTGCGGCGTGTGCAGGCATCATTTATGCCTGTAGTTAATGGCAGCGGGTGCTTTTCAATTTATTTGGAAGACTTATCATTCCAGTCCACATGACAATTCTCTGGCATAAATTAGATGAGCAACTGATGAGCACAGCTACCTATCAATGCTTATGGTGGGTGAATTGGGGCTGCAATGATCCTATTTGCTTCAATACAGTCAGGTGAACTAAGTGAGTCAGCACAAACTGTATGGTTGAGGACAGGTCTCATGCCACAAGGTTTTGCATTTATGATGTTAGCCAGTCTGCAATGCATTTAGACATCACACGCTTGACTTCTTTAAAGTTGTACCAACAAGATTTGCTTTAGTTCTAGGCTGTGCCGAACATCCAAATATTTGATTGATTATTTAATATTTGAATATCATTTTTGGATTTGAATATTTCAATGCAAAATTCATGAAAAGGATGGGAGAATTTTCTTTGGTTTAAATGAGAAAAATTGCACTATTGAGGCTTCTTCCGAGCAAATTCAAATGAAAAGCGACAGAAACCTTACGATTCATAAAGTACATTCATTGAAAAATTTACAAGAAATACATGTATACATTTTCAACAGGACAAGAAGTATTCTTCGTCTATTAAATCTTGTTGACTTGACATCGGGAGATACTCGTAGATGTGAGAAGCTATTATTGTGATTACAATATACAAATGTGTGCATTATGCAACTAATTTTGTACATGGTTTGTTCCTCAACAATCTGCCAGTTGGTATGACCGAATATTCCGATATTCGATCAAACTGAAGGTCGAATATTCGAATTATTCAAATTGACTCAGCCCTAATTGTGACCGAGAAGGTGGTTTATCTATAGACTAGGACCATAGAAATTAAGTCATTGTGACAAATCAATCAATCAATGATGGTTTTTTAAAATAGTGATAAAGTGATCTAGCTGTGATGTCACTGTGATGGTGAAAGCCTGAACTGAAGCAAAAAGGGGAAAAGAAATTTTACAAAAAGGTTACAAAAATGGGAGCTCGAATGAAACCCACTAAAGATAACTTCTTAAAACAAACACACTATTAAAGAGTTGTTTTAGTAACAAACATCTACTGAAATTATCTTTGAAAATATCAAACAGATGATGGTCTGGCTTTATGAAATGAGACCATCTTTTTTAAGGTCATCTTAGAAATACAAAGGGGGGGGGTTCTTTGTCTTAGCCTTACCACTGCCTTCTGTTGGTTCACCTGTAAGGCGAAGAGGCCTATCCCCAGCCATGCTCATTACTTCAGTGTAACATCAAGTTGGGCAATGATCTCAGGACAATCTTGTAAACTGCATCAAGAAACTTTATGGAAATAATTTATGTGTCTTCAGCATTTTGTTCATGTAGCTATCAGAGAATCTTCAAAATCTGCAAACTGTTCTGAAAATTCATTTGGAAAAGTCAGAATTAGACAAAAACTTGAAAAACTGCCTATAGTTTCAATAATCTATTTACTTGTTTCAGCGACGACAACTAGCTCTGGTACTACATTCTTTAAGTACGAACAATAAACAACAAAACATAAATTCATCAAAACCTACAATATTGACCGCACTGCAGTTCTGAACTTACATGTATCTAGCCTTAAATCTAAATTAAACCAATCATGGGAGATCTTTGGAAGGGCATCAAAAACCAAACTGAAACAACGGTAAACAATTATAGCATTCTCATTCCTCCTGAATCCAACCAAAATATTTTGAATACTTGATAAGCACACCATACGAAGCATGGAGCAAATAAAACACATTAAAACTTTCAAACCTCAAGTAAAATGTGATGTGAACAAACTTGATCCCAATGTCCCATCACGCACGCAATTTAAACCTGGTTCAACATTTCTTCGAGGTCGCGCCGCTGGATACAAATTTTACACAACACTACTACAACCATGGAGGTGTGATTCTACCTCCATGCTACAACAGACTATGATTTACTGTACTGATGACACTTCAGTACATATAGTCTGTACGCTATCAAAGTAGGCCCAAGTACAGTACGTGTACATTGTACACGTACAGTACATCACGACGCAAACGGTACATCCCGCAGTGATCAATGCATCAACGCCAACTGATCCAAGTCAAACAACTTACAAGTCCCCGATTCCCAATAAATTATTCATCTGTAACTGAAAAAATCGGAGCAGTAATGAAACTAATCTTGCAACTCACCAAGATATGACTGTCTGCCTACATAATATTGATGTTGGTAAAGGACATCGTCATCAGTAAGAAATCTCAGACGTCATCAGTCAGATCTTGCCATGTTTATCTTCCTAAAGATCTCTCCTCCGATATACCATAGCTCTCGCTGGTCCACGCATGCCTTAACAACCAGTTGAGCATAGCGAGCACTGATTGAATACCAGCCAGTCTTAGCATTGATATGATGGGCCATCGCGATAATGTAGACGACTGAAATTAATTATTCAAAATCTACCTGTCGACCAATAGCGTTGGACTGTGAAATTGATAATAGCCTTCAACATGCACTGTACTGCAAGTCGACAGTCATTAAAGGGGCCTGCCTGCAATTTTATATGTCCATACAATCAATGGCAAATTGCACATTGCCCGCCGGAGCAAAAATGTACACAAAGAAACGTGCGCAAAAAGGCACATTTTACATAGCCGAAGTCGTTTTCGAAAGAGGAAATAGTGGGGAGAAGAAAACACAAGCAAACAGTAGATCAGTTTGTATATATTCCGGTCTTCCATTGTTTACTCCCGATCATCTCCTGTCATCAATACATGCAATTAATCAAGTATGACAGCCTATCCGGACAGGTTTGAATCAATACACCCAAAAATACACGTAGGAGCGAGATAAAATTTTGAAAAATTATTTGACAACCAATTAAAGAAAAGTAAACTTTGGTAAAAAACATTGATCAAATGGAAACCTACTTCAGGTTCACGTATTGATAAAGCATTAGGGTGATAAAGCAGTAAGGTCTAATAAAAAGCTAAATTGTTTTTCATGTGTACATTTTACTTGAAAGATAATATAGCTTTGGCAAAGAAAAAAATAAAAGTGTTATGCTGCAAAGGTAACTTTGGACTAATAGCATTCACAGATTTGCTATCATTGGATTTGTTTTCAGTGAGACAACATTGACACTATCATGCATACACTGGCTGAATAGAAATAGCTGATATACTTGTCCCAAACTGAACCAAATCCACTAACAAGTTTTGCAGAATTTTGATGGATAACGATAAACATCCTGAGGGTCATGTTAAACAATGCCCTTGCTGCCTTCACTGGATACGGACACTGTGCTGCAAAGCTGTGATTGTTGTTTAGCTTCTAATTATCTCCAGAGCATGTCGCTTTGTGAAGGTAAACCCATTCTGTCCCACAAACTGCAACAATGTGCTTGAAACAAAACTTCCAAATCTGGAGGGATCCATCACAAACAGCTTATACATGTACTTAAAAAAATACTATAAATTACAACTTCACCTGAAAATACAAGTCACAAAAATACCATACATGTATGAAGCTACTATATACACATGCATTGACACCCATGAGTACTGCCATCTAATTACTTAAAAAATAACATTTAGTTCTTTAGTAAAGATAGGGGACAGGGAAGTGGTTTTAAAATGACCCAAGTTCAAGGTTAGGAATTATTTGCACCTGCACAAATAAATTCATACACATGCAAATATTGATACAATTAATAATCTTAAAAATGCATCTGTAAAAATACATAAATATCAGGTGTCTACGTATGGAACTTCATAGACAGAAACTGTTCCAGCTTTTTAATGTCTTTGCTGAGCCTTCATATTAATGAATTACTCTGTCTTTATCTTTACACACTCACCAAACCCTAAGCACATAATGTAGATTTAATAGATTACATGTACATAGCACAGAGGGGTGGGCTGGTCATGGTGTGGGGGCGCAAATCATGACACATAACATGTGAATGCGGGGAATTTCTGACATTAGTGGCTACATTACATTTTATTTGTGAAGTGTATGGCTGTAAACTTAGAATGCGGGGAATTATCCACTTGTAACGGTACCTACACAAATTGTGACGATGCACAACAGGAAAACCCCGTTAAAAAGATTCCATAACATTTTAGTTGGAATATGTTGGCAAAATGGACAAAAAATTAAATGGGACTGCTGCAAGTTTAAGACATTAACATTATTCATGTACGCTTGGGACACAGGGAAATACTGAACCTTAACCTTGATTTTGCCTTGCCAAAGATGATGATGAAAAATGTATGCCATCTTATCTTGGTATGATACTATGACTTTGAAATAACAAATACAAGACAGATGAGACAAGACTACATGTATGGCACCACATACATGTATACTCCATTTCCTAATTTTCTTGCAAGGGGCCAAGTCAGTGTACTGTACATGGTCAAGTATGTTTATGCTGCACTGTGTGCTGTTAATGGACAATAAAAAGCATCATTAGTCATGTGATGGCTCTCTACCGATAGGCATAGCTGTCTATTGCATTACTGACTGGATTTAAGTGACCTATACCTGTCAAATTTAGGACTAAAATGTACCCTGTAACTGAAACCTGCTCAATCTTTCCTTTCACAAAGTTAAGCTTTCTGCAAAGTAAACTTAATTGCAAAAGCATTCAAGATTAAAACAGGTGTGTATATGTACATCATCCCAGTATCTTAAATACTCAACAAAAACCATCTTTCAAGATCTAACATTTCAAGGATGCATTTATGTTTTTAAAAACCCAAAAGTGTAGAGAAAATGCATCCCTTGGCAAAAACAAAACAAAACTGTACAAACACAAGGATGGGTTTCAATAGTGCAGGTCATTGATTCGCATTCAACAAGGCATTCATAACCTAGTGAGATCTATTTACACCATGACTATACTTAGTTCTCCTATGGGTTCCTTGTTAAGCACCTTCATAAACGATTCATGCGGTCTCTCTGTAATAACCACTGTCCACCGTCTCTTCAGAACTCAGAAAAAATGGTGAATTGCAGCTGTTTTAATTTTTAGGTTTTCCTGGCAGTGAACACTTGAACAAACAGCAAAAGGTGCCGTCTTCACCTGCTAGTATTGCTGTTACAGACACAATGCTTCGTGCTGATATCAGCTTATCTGCTGCCATTTACATGACCTTCCTGTCAACTGATCTTGTTGCATAAAAGTCCTTCTTCAATGGCTGCTGGATGCACTCAGCTAAACTTGAGATGGGGCATGGAAAGGGTACAGAACTGTCTATATGTTCATCACACAGGCCTAAGGCGGGGGCAGTATAACATCATGTAGTTTATCTCTTGCTTCACTGAAGAGACTAAATATTGAAACTGCCCGTAATGTAATAATAAACAGCACCAAGTGAGGGCATTACATATGTGTGCATGCGACTAACAGATGCAGTGGCTCTAGAATCCTATTATGTCCATGACTTTTGAGATGACTGACAGGTTAAAGTGCTTTTATTTCCCACGGATGTCGCTGGCTTCATATCGGGACGAAAAATAAAATCAGAACGACAATCATGACGATTACTAATACTAGGATCGCTAACCATTGTCTTCGATCTAGCAAAAGAGAAATGAAAGAAAGGATACATCAATAAATGAATCAATGGGATGATAACCAAGCAGGTGCACATGTAAGTTTCTTTGAAATGAATTCTTAACTTATCTTGCCAATTCCAGTTTTCTAATTACATGAATTTCTGCTAAATTTAGTTTTTGTTAGCTGAGGCTACCACTTAAGTGATCTATTAAAAAAGAGAAACTCATTGACAAACAGAAAGAGGAAACACAAAGTGGTGAGACACTAACCGCTTGACATGTGAGTGACTTTAGCCATCTTCTTCATGACTGCATCTAACTTGGTTTCCGTATTCTCCATCTCTGTGTGGAAGTCATCTAGCATGCTGCACAACAATGAAGTTAATTGTGAGCTCACAAAGATGTAGCCTTTCAAAAGATTTGATTTTTAACTGTAGAAACTCAGGGAACTGTAGGAAAGATTCCTTGTTCAGTAGGAATGCTAGTCCATGGAGGAAACTTGGATGTGATACATGTATTTGGGCAATTGCTTGAGTAAGGCTCAAGTAAGGCAAAATGTACAGCATTTAAATAAATCTAGACTAGAGGAGATTGTTCCATAGTTTGGGTTAGAGCTTTGCAAACAGGAACAATCCAAAGCTTAGCAAGTTTGACTTACACTGCTTGCTCATCCAGTTCATTGCCTATTGTCTGACCCATGTGCTTCAAGACCCCAACACTGTCAGCAACACGAACTAAGTCATCATCCTGTGCTTCCATTAATAACTAAAGGAGTGAAAACATGAAAAGTATGTCAGTATCATTAGTCATAATTCATCATCAACACTATCGTTTCTTGTGAACAAAGAAAAATTGAGGAAATGCTATTCCCATTCACTACTCACCTGTTGCTGCTGACGTGATTCATCAATGTAGTTTTGATTATTCTGCTCCATCTCATTGTCCAATCGACTGTATTTACCCTGAGCTTTACTTGGTCCATTGTTCATAAGTGCCTGACAACAGGAAAAAAAGGAATGTGCAGCATCTGCTGTTCTTTTGCTTCCTGTTAACAGGTGCAGTCATAACATCCATCTTGGCTATTTCACTGCGAGGCTACAAAGAAAATACTGCTCCACATTACATGCAAAGAGGACGAGAAGTAACATGACTTTTATGACTTAAATGCACGTTCAAAAGGTTTCTTGTAAAAGGTACTTTGACGTTCCACCTACTTTGAAGCAGAAAAGGAGAGAAACTTAAACATTTTAGTTTTTATGGGAATAAAAATTTCCCTATTCATAAACCAAAGCATGAGGTCATCCAAAGCAGAATGTGTTTCCATGCCACTGTGTACAAACACATGGAGGTATTACACTTTTCTGCATTTCTGAGTTAGTTCCACTTTTTGTCTATCATGTTAAGCAGCTTGTTTGGTCAGAAGGAATGGCCACAATTCCTTCAACACCTTGTTGATAGGTCATACTCAAGGATGCTTTTTTTGTACTTCTCACACTCTTTTGACAAAGATTACCTCGTGTGACAAAAGCAAAATAGTGCCCTCTAAAAAGGACGGGCAAAACAATGGTTTTATGAATGGAAACTCTGCCATCTTCTAGTCACTTCCAATGAAAAGAAGTACATGTATAGGTCTTGTTTGTATTGTAACACATGAGTGTGAAAACAAGTTGAGCTGAATGCAGCTCAAAGAAACTAGCCCTCAATTTTCTATTTATTTTTGAATACCTGTCTTGTTCTCTTTTCTTCCCTTGATCGAGTACTTGGACTTGCCATGTGCTCCTTCATTTCTTCCACCTTCTTCTTGGTATCACTAACAAACTGTCGTCTGGTTTCCAACTCATTTTGCTCCAACTTGAATTTCCTTGGATTGGCTTCCACAATACGTGCAGAATTTCAAGTCAAGGTTACTAACAGATGAACATCTTTTCTAATAGCACTTAACAAAAGACCTACTTCAGGAGTTGCCATTGTTGTGTTATTCTGATTAACGTCCAAAGATCTCTACATATATTACACAACTTTTTTGGGGGGGAGGGTTGCAAAATGAGTCCAATTAATAAGTTCAGCTTGATCATTTTAATGTCTTGATAATGCTGATATTAATATCCTTCATCAAGATGACCAAACATAGAGTGCAGTGGAATATTCTAATAAAGAGTAAATATTTTTTTAAACTATTTGAACCATATGTGACCCACTCTGTGAAAATGAGTCATAAGTTGCCAGTGCCACTTTTTGAGTTTTCATTTGTATTGGAAAGAACAAATTGAGTTTTTAGTTTGGATGTATCACTCAGTTTGGCATCCCGATGAAAGTAGTTACTCCATGGTGAAACGTGCTGTGGGTTCCTGTTGATTCACACTGTGCAAAATTATTCAAAAGGACTTTTTACTTCAAAGTGGCTCTAGTGGGTCACACATAATGTGCATACTAGTTGCTTCACATCTAATAAGTATCCATACCCTATGGCTATTCTGGTTATTGTTCTGTCTGGATAAGGATATCAATAGTCTCTTCAAGATCTTCCAGATCCCATTCAATACTTCTGAGACTGTTCCTCAGCTCATTTGTTGTCCAGTCATATTCTTCCTTGCTTACTGAATTGTTGTCTTCCAAGAGTTCACACCATCGTTGATACAGACCTTCGGATGTACTCACAGCTTTCTCAACTTCTCTGTCAAGGCAAATGATGTGAAAGATACACATTATCCTGTTTCATTGAGTCTTGAGATGTATTTGAATACCAGGCTTCCATCATTATTATGGCAACAAAGGATGTAGGCATGTAGAGTGGATATGTATTTCTACTGGGCACAATCAGCTGATCAACATACATCAACATACATGTAATCGCCCAATCACTCTGCATGATTGGTACAGGTACATTCTGTGTGAAATCTCCAACTTTATTTCCCTTTAAAACAATCTTTGAATTAGAAAGAAAAGGTGATTGGCAGAATTCATGACAAATTGAGTAGTAAGATCAGGCGATCAAATGTATCAACAGATCGCACCCAACATTCTCAGTGACCCTCCACATCTAAGGATTGATGGTAACAAGTCAAGCCAGTAAAACATGTCACTCACATCTAGTCCGAGTAACTTGGACACTACAAATTGCCTTTCTTAATACATGTACTTGGCTATGGTTGGGCGATAGTAGGGTCCAAGTACCTTTCATAGGCTGTTGCTTCCATTAATTCATTTCACTCAAAATAGCTCAAACCCCGAGTCAAAATCCTCCAAATTCACCTCTAAAACTGTCCTTAAAATGTCTAATGCACCTGTCTGTGGATTGAGTGAGAATCAGAGATTCCAATAATGCTCATGTGGTTTACTTACATATGGGAAAAAAAGAGAAATTTCCCCTTCAAATTGAAAACACTCGTTGACGAGCTTACAGACAACATTTTAAGGACAGTTTTTGAGGTGAATGCAATGAATGTGTCGAAAACAACAGCCGTCAGGTATTTTCATGGGTGCATGTCATCATCGTGTGGAATGGGGATTGGATGAGTGAATGAGTGCGCTCCACACATGCAACGAGTTCACACTCAATCCCAAGCATCGTATGCATTTCGGTTCATCATTCATCAACGTTCATTGGCAATGTTATGGTCTGGGGATCGATCTGCATAATAATGCTGTGTGGTTTCCAGACCAAAGAGATCCCGACTGTGTGTTGGCATCGGTCAGCCATCGGGAGTTAATCGCTGTAGTAAACGAATGGCCCAAATCGAAACCAAAATTTCACGGACTTCTACGACTTGGAAATCACCCAAAGTAATACATCAGGTATTAAGCCAATTTCCCGTTCCGTCGCCATGTTGATTTTAGCGTCCCCGTGCGAGTAAGTGAACCAAGCTAGAGGGGAACAAATTGTCTACAACATTAACAATCACGAACGTCCATTCGCAGAATGTTACGCAATGTTGTTGTCATGAATTTGTTCCCCTGTTAAATCTTCTGAGCATGTGCACATGAGACAGGAAAAAGGCTTACTGATGGGGTGAGTAATCTATAATCGCAAAAGGGGTTTATAGAAGGCATTTTTGCTGAGACTCCACTTTTTGAATGGACCACTGTGGACCCTAGGATACAGACATGATGGAGGGAGGGAGTAATTGCAGAATACATTGCCACTCTAAAAAATGACCCCAAGAATGACTAGTTAGGCCTACATGTACGTGGGTACAAGGTGAAAATCCCTCGAGAAGAGTGTGACACTTTCAGTTTCACCAGTACCTGGCTACGAGGTTGATCATGCGGGGTGGCAGGGTATTCTGCAATCGAGCTGGAGGGAGTCCAGTAGATGGGCCCCCAATGACAGCCATGACAGCTGCAGCTACATAATGTACCACTTCCCGTCACTACCACTACAACTTACAAGCTGACCAGTACACGGCTAGACCATAGAAACATGTTAAATAGGCCACTAAGTTCACTAAGTTCTAACCAAAGTCACAGTGCACACATCGTGCACACAGTGTGGTTGGCCGGTTAGGTTAGTCATGTTAGGCCTACTTTACACGTACACGCGTCGGGCCCGTACGTACACAATGCCCGGTGAAGCTGTTTCGGCCTAGGTCTAGGCCTACATGCAAGTTAAGCGACATTATTAATATCGGGCGAACATGGCGAATCTTTCACGTAGGCATATTCGACTTACTCTTTCACAACAAAGAACGGATCCTCCAGAGACATGGTACAAGGATACTATCACACCGGTTACCAATGTAAAAAAAACTGAATCCTTAATACTGCTAGACAAAACGACCCTACATTTTAATTACGTCGCGGGAGAACTACATCATATAGAAACTCAAAACATCCCGAGAATAGTGCTAGTGGGACACAATGACGTCATCGCCCTTACAAATTCCTAAAAATTGCGCTGTTTATTTTTGCTGTTCATTCGAATAAACAATGGAAAAGTGGTTTGAAAATTTATATTAATTTTAAAAAGGTCAGTAATGTTAGATAGTGCACAATATAACTATTTTCCTCGCTTGCAAGGGTAAGATCGGACATTTAATTTGACCTTTGACCGCATTTACGATCTGGTTGTCATCGGATCGGTCATTCGCGATGTGATAATGGCGGCGCCCTAAATGAACTTCTTTGCTGCAAGAAACACTGGAAATTACAGGTAAGATGGATTAAATTTGCATTCATTTCTACATAATTGTGATGAGCTAAATTCTTAGATTACATTGATTAAACACTGGCGATGCTCTGGGTTTGGTGATGTATGCTGTTGACCAAAACCACGCAGGCCTACATTTGTAGGCCTACGGCACATGACTGTTAAGAAGGTTCGTAAGAACTTCCATTCAGTTCCTAGCTAGAAGTCGAATAGCGCCCTCAATTATAAGAAGCAAGCTCACTGCTTGGTCGACCAGGCCGGTCACACATGCCACCCCACCAACTGACCAAGCTCAAAATTGTTGAGGTATCGTCACATATTTTCGTCTCTTCGCAGCAAAACTTTTGAGACTTTATTTCAGAGATAGCTTGAACATGTAAAGATGCAAAGTATAACCTTGTTGAAGAGGATGTAGGCCACAAGAATGAACTACCCTCAGAACTGTGGGGTGATTCCGACATCCGCCCTGCTCCCATGCCTGTGGCGAAAAAGGCTTATTTTCTGTAGGGTTTGTGTTTGTGGGAGCAAAGACTTGTTTTCTGTGGGGTTTGTGAATTGTGTTTGAGGGAGTGGGGTGGACGTTGGACCCCACAGTTCTGGCAGTCTGGGGTATAGAATGAACCATGATGAACAGATAATATCCCAGATTTCTGTCCACATACTGCTGAAACAGCTGCCAAAAAATTTTTTCATTTTCCAAGAAGTTATTTCAGAAAAAGTGTTGTTTTTCCCTTTCGGGAATGGCTAAAAAACAGCTGCAAAGTAAATTGGGAGTTTGTAGTATGCCCGCATACAAATGACATGATGCAGTATGGATTGAGAGCTAGTCTACTTTCAAGGTTGGTTCTCTTTGCACGGACGCATACTGACTATCGATGTGCAGTATGTACACCAACTAATGAATGATGAATAATGAAAAAAAGCCTCAAAATTGTCTGGACGGAAATCCGGAATGTTAATTTCATATCCCAACAAGCCTTTTTCACGTTTCATGTGTGCTTGCTCTGAAGATTTAATAGGGGAACAAATTAGTGACAAGAATGTTGTGTAATGTTTGGTGAATTGCTGCTCGCGATTGTTATTGTAGAAAATATATGTAAGCCAATTTCATTTTACAGGTTTTGACAACAGAAATCAAGAGGATTGTTGGAAAATATGTGTTCTGCTATTGCAGCTTGTTAACATATGTGCCGGTGCCAGCCATTAGGTGTGGACTAAAATATCTGCAATCATGCCTTCTTCAGTGAAAGTTATTGTGAAAGAACCTGATGTTCTAAAGCTTGTATTGGACTTCTTAAGTTCCAGAGAGCTTTACATGTCGATGAGATCACTGGAACGTGAAAGTGGGGTTGTTAATGGATTGTTTTCAGATGATGCACTCTTCCTGAGGAACCTTATTCTTGATGGACAGTGGGATGATGTTTTGGAATTCATTCAACCCCTAGAGAGCATCGAGAGTTTTGATATTAAGAGTTTCCGTTTTCTGGTTTTGAAGCACAAATTCCTGGAAATGCTGTGCATGAAAGATGAAGATCTACAACATCTTCAAATGGAGTTTTCCATCGATGAGGTAGTTTCATGCCTGAATGAACTTGAGCCTTACTGCCCTACTAAGGAAGACTACAGCAATTTGTGTTTACTGCTGACCTTGCCACGGTTGACTGATCATGCTGCCTATAAGAACTGGAGCCCTAGCAATGCTCGTGTCCAGTGTTTCCAAGATGTCTACCCACTGGTAGCAAGATTCCTCCCAGCTGATAAGAACTTAGAGAGCAGTGATCATACTGCTAGCAAAGATCGCCTCATTCAGCTTCTCATCAAAGGTTTGGTGTTTGAATCCTGCGTAGATTTCTGTCAACAGAGGGCCACAGCCAAGGACGTCCAGTATTCTACCCTCCAAGGGATGCTGACGGGCTCTGATGCTGATGATGCTGATCTGAGTTTATTGTCATGGTTACAGAGTATTCCTCCAGCAACCTTCAGCTGCCCCTTTGAGCAGAAGTCACTAGAAGTTGCCGTTGAGCGGATAAGCAAACCAAGTGCATCATGGTCCGAGCAAATTATGACACCTATGACTCCCACACCAAGCAGCAAACAGCGAGGATATCCTTCCCCATCACCTACAACACCTATCTTGTATCGCAACAGACCTTGGTCGGCAGGCTCATCCAGAGGCTTGTCCCAGTCATTGACTCCAACCTTGGAGGCGGTACTCCTCAGCCAGGGGAAGAAGAAAGAAGACAGCCCTGGTCAAGAGGTTAATATGATGTCACGGTCCATGGGCAATGTGCACTTGTCAGGGGGAATGCCGGCTACAATGAATACATCCACATTGGCACCTGTTGCAGAAGATGTAGAGAGACCACCAAGCCAATCGATGATACTAAAGAGCCCACAGAAGACAGGGAACAAGACTTTACCAACCACTCAGGTGATGTAGTGTTTCTAGTGGGTTACTTGAAAATATGTCAGTGTTATATCCTAATTTTTTGAGATTTTTCAGCACCTTTTTTATGGGAAATTTGGGCATCAAACCTCAAGTAAATATGTAAGCCCTGAATTCTATCTGGTACAGCTAAACTGTTGCTAAATTCTGGTGGACTTTGGAAGCTGGTAATTTGAAGAATTGTGAACACAAAAACAGTCCAAAGTTTATTAGTTCAAATTGCAGATGATGACTAAATTTGAATCACAATGTAAATTCCTAATTTCTAGCTCTAAGTCAAGGCTTTCTCCTCATTTTGTATCAACAGCCGGTGACACAACTTTCTCAAAACCCTGGGAGCTCAAATGCTGATGCCTATGCTGAATTTCTTGCCTCCAAGAAATTGTTCCAACAGGATCTGGAGCGACAAGAAAAACACCGACAGCAGCTGCAGGAGCTTTTACAGAGTGAGGGCGCTGCAGGAGATGCCCCACGCTTACATCGTAACATGGGCAGTGGAGATAGCCTGTCTTCTCAGTCCAAATTTTCTCCTGATGCTGTTTCCATGAATGACAAAGGCAGTCAGGTATCAGTTTGCACATCCATGAAACTGCTCAAAACATTTTTTTATTTACAGTTATTTTGCAGTTTTTTATTGATTGCTTGACTTTAACTAATTTATTTTGGAAGCCTCACAATTTTGAGTGAAGAATGTTGAAAGAAAATGATGCATAACCATACTTGCTGTGGATGTGACATATTACGTGTGTGAAAAAACAAAGTAACAAAGTCTTAGTTGTTATATTTTGAAACAGTCTCTGCGTATTCATTAAATGAAGGGATAAGAGTAGTATACAAGCAGTATTTCAGATATCTGACCATTATAACAACATCACATAATATGAGTAGTGATTCTTGATTACTGACTGATCTGATGGACACTTCTGCATGCTGAGTTTTATTTGTTGTGTCTGCATGTGTAATACGTGATTTTCTTGTGATATTATGTTTGATTACAGCATGCTTGTTAACTGTCTTATCTTTCTGTCCTTGTTTCGGTGATTGGGTGTTGTAAACTTTGACCTTCGGTGCTGTATGACATCTGACACCTACATGTGTAGGCCACACCTGTGTTTCTCTCCTTCCATAAGCCACATCACCCAGCCAACGTTCACTCTAGCACACCCAAGACCAATCGTTTTGACCCCACGGTAACACCTGATCCTGGAGCCTCCCCTGTCTTGGCTAAACACACGGTCCCGCATTCTTATACATACAACTCTCGGCATGATTCTACAGAAGAAGGCACATCTATCGATCCTGTTCACAGACTTGAAGCTTCTCTAGGGGAGGTGTTAGCACCAGGAGGAAATCTAATGAATGTCACGTATCTTAGCCCAAGCCTCAGCCACCTAAAAGAGAATAGTGATGCTACCTCAGAGCATGGAATGGAAAACAGACTCCCAGTTCAGGAGGCTGAAAGCAATCGCCCAAAATTATTGAAGGAGAAGATTACTGGAAGTTCAAGCAGAATGCTCAGGGTTTGTTGCAAATAATTTACAGCCTGTAACAATGTTGCTTTTTGCTTTTGCAATATTAAAATAAGTTTGGCTAATACTGAAATAACCCTGTGCTTCAGCGTGAGGGAAGAACAACTTTATAGATGAGCATCTGATGCAGTAGACACCAATCAAGCAATGTATGTTCTGTCAAAGATCAGTTTGAAGGACAAAAACCAAAATTCACTCGGTGTGTACCTGGACTCCCTCCAAATCATAATAACCATTAAAGTATGATGAGAAAAATTTCATCGATTCCATGCGCTAGTCTGTGTCTGAAAATGTGACAGTTTTGTGTTCCCTGCAACTTGTGATATGATTAGTTGGCTTGTGGTGTTTCCTTTATGCGTTCTGTGACACTTATTTTACTTTGAGTGATGTTACTAAGATCATACCTTATTTCAATGAAACCTAAATCCTCCTGCTGTAGTCAGTGTGCCATGTGTGTCTGTAAATAACCAGTTTCAGGAACCCTCTGTGGTGATTGTAGCTGAGTAGTGTGTGTGTTACACTCAAAGACCATTTTTAATGTGCTGTGGCAAAGTCACTGCATAATGTCTACCCCCAAAATAATTTTATATAAAAGCTGCACTTGGAGGTTTTCCACTGGGAAAAGTGGCTTACAAGGAAAACACAAATAAGCTTATTCAGTTAGTGATTTTATTTTTCTTAATAGGATTCAGACAGAAAAGCCCCACGCTATGTCGCTGTTACTACCCTTGAGGATGTGCAGGCAATACGAGCTGTGACCTTTGACCCAACCGGCTCATTGTACGCTGTTGGAGCTAATTCCAAGACCCTTCGCATATGCTCCTACCCTGATGTATCGCATGTCACGTGAGTTATACAGATTGTTAGTGAAATGAAGACCTCAACTGAGCATATATATAATCACAGTGCATGACAATCAAATATATACTTCATTTTGTGTGCACAGTTGTTATTTTACTGTTGTATTTCCAGTGAAGATGAAACCAAGCAACCTACAGTGTTGTTCAAACGCACCAGGCATCACAAAGGATCCATCTATTGTGTTGGTTGGAGCCCCTCTGGAAATCTAATAGCAACAGGTTCCAATGATAAGTTTATCAAGCTACTGCGGTTCGACCCACAGAAGTGTAATGCAGATGGTGAGTTTGTCACTAATTTTGTTTTTTGATCTCTCTTTGGAATTGTGATGAAAATATAACATGCATTGTGATGTTGACAGTTAAAATGAGTTTTGTCTGGTGGAAATATTGTGAACTGTATGTGAACTAAGGAATATTTTCTTCCAAACCACCCAGCTCTAAGCCTGCCTGGGGCTAGGTAGCCAACTAAGATCTGTAGGGGATCTCTTACGATTCATAACTGGATGGACTGGGGTTTGACATCTGCAGTAACTTTTCAGGGGTTTTCTTGCAGGACCTGATATTGACATGACAATGCATGATGGCACAGTGCGGGATTTAGTCTTTCAACCAGAGAGCAGTCATGGAACTGTGTTGGTCAGTGGTGGTGCTGGTGACTGTAGCATCTTTGTTACCGATTGTAATCAAGCACAAACTATTCATGCAATGGCTGGGCACTCAGGTAAGATGACAGTTGATGCTGTGGGCAGTGGCTTGGTCGAAGAAAGGTACTCGTATTTCCTGGGATTGTCCCATACTTGATTGTGTCTCCAAACTCTAGCAAAAGTGTATCAAGCCCCCTCTAAAGACTAGAATGAATGAAATGTTGGTAACCCCAACAAACTGAGGATGGTCCCCATCAAACATTGGATCTGGTTTTCATTCTAGCCTCACCACTTCTGGGTGTTATTAGCAGTTACTGTTGAAATTGCTCCACACTTAAATGCTTTGTCAGGCCTTTGATGTGAGTGTAGAGCAGTTGAGATGTATAACCCATTATCTGGTATTCCTACAGGTCATGTGTTATCACTGTACTGCTGGGGAGCTCACATGCTAGTGTCCGGATCTCAGGATAATACTGTACGTCTGTGGGATCTACGGACTCCACGCTGTGTTCAAGTCATTGGCACTCCAGGCTCGGACTCAGGCCAAGGTGGTGGTAGTAGATAAAATAAACGTAGTCAGAACATAGATTATTAGCATTGTTTATTGATTCTATTATCTCTGAAAAATATGTTGACCTTGTATCCTGAGGACAAATGTTGGTCATGACATTCATTGGTGTTTACATGTTGCTGTATAAAAAGAGGCATAATTCTTGTGACTCCCTTCTTATATTTCAATTTCAAGTGTTTTATGCCTGATTTGCTCAAATAAAGTGAGGAGTGTATTTCACTGTGACAAGTGGCAAGTGGTTTACAGTTTATTGTGAACTGCTGTTTATTTCTCCAGGCACAGCTGCAGCGACTGTTTGCGTTGATCCATCAGGCAGATTACTTGCCTCAGGTCATGAGGATAGTTCCTGTTTGTTATATGACATCCATGGTGGTCGCATTGTGCAGACTTACAAGAAACACAAGGGAGAGGTACGATCATTGAGGTTCTCTCCCAAGGCATTGTACTTGATGTCTGGATCCTATGATGGCACAGTGCTTATCAGTGATTTACAAGGTAAGAACTGCCACAGAATTGACCATCATCTTAAAACTCTTTTTTTTTATTCATGAGTTGGGCCGGCTGTCATAATGGTATTTGTTTATTCCATGGTGTGGAATTTGTTAGATTTGGTAAAACTAGTTGTGTAAATGTCTTTGGAATTATGGTTTAGATATGAATGGCATGAATGATTTGTTCTTCACATTTGCTAAGCAGTATTTTCTGGATAAAAATTACACTTAGAATTTGAATAAATTTACACACTTTACAAAGAATTCATTTGAGTATGCCATGCATTAAACTTCATTATTACGTGTTACTTCATCCAATAATTCTGCAAATGACATCCTGAAAATGCCACTGGCAACTTTATCTCAGAGGCTGATGGAAGTTATAATCCCTTGGCTGTTTTCTTACTTTTTTCTTTTAGGAGACCTTACTAAAACTTTGCCGAGTACTTTAGGAGCTAAGCATAATGACAAGGTGATTCAGTGTCGCTGGCATCCAACTGATTTCACCTTCCTGAGCTCAAGTGCGGATCGTACTGTCACCCTGTGGGCACCTCTTCATCAGTAGGTTTGTTAGTAAAAAATGAAACAATGACAAAGAACCGGTAGAAACATTCTGCTGTCATGAGTGTGGTTCATAGTGCATGGAACTACAGAATCATTTGATTGTGCACATTGTGATAAAAAAAATGTTCATACTTGCTGCAGGCAGGCTTAACTTGCAAAGGAAGGCATGCAGCTAATTGGCTGTCTTTCGCTGTCATGGCATAGCGCCCTCTACGGTTCACGTGCATACCATATAATCCATCTCGCACCAATATGAGCTTCCAGAAATGTGAAATACCAAAACAGCTTGCTGGTTATAGTGACCTAAAATAGACAAATTGATGATGTCAGAGGGCCTGACATTTTGATCCTAGCAGTATCTTTCTGAGCAGCAGATGTTAGCTTCTTTGTCACAGAATAAATGGAAAATACTGGGCACTTTTGTATTATATACTTGCACTGATGTATACAAATGGTTCAATTTATTGAGTAAGTTGATAGTTCTAGGTATTGTTATGCATGTGCAATATTCTGTATGTATTATAGTCAAGTAGGTTTATCTATTCAAATAGAGAATAAGATGATTTCTTTTCTGCCACTTCTACAAAGTGCTCTGCTTGAATATTGAATGGATAAGTGAAACATTGGGGTTATTTTATCAATGAACAGTTTGGTGACCATTATGGTATGATATCAATGGTGACGAGCAGTCACTGCATACTAGTTATCCGTAATGTATACTTAAATAGCACTTGTCTCTCGAGACAGCTTTGAAATAAGTCGGTGGCAGTCATCATCAAAAGTTGTCACTGTAAAAACTACGAATGGTAGCTTAACCCTCCTATGGTTTAACAGCACAAATATGCACAGATGCCAACAGTCACTCTTTTGTGTGTATTTTCCATATGGAACATAAATATACATTTGGTTGCAAGCACAAAAATGACATGTGCAAATTTGTTCTGTGTAGGCAATACCCCATGGCAATAATGGAGATACATGTATGTCATGCTGATTTCTGCTACGTAGGCACTACCCCATGGCAATATTAACCCTAACCCCCTAGGCCCCCGCACTAGAAAGCTTCCTGAACCTCACAAAACACCTACTCCCTGGGCCTTTGATCCCAACTCACTGAAAATCCAACACCATCTCCCTGGCCTTTGATCCCAAGTCACTCAAAATCCAACACCATCTCCCTGGGCCTTTCATCCTAAGTCTAACAAAATTTAACAAGAAGTTCATCAGGTGAGGTACCAAACCTGCCAACACAAAACCTTCTGTTGGCATATGGCAGGTTTGGGATAGTTAGGGTTAACCCTAACCTCAATCCTCCAAAATCCTCCAATAGTTTGAATGTACATAAATTAAGAAGTGCTCACTGCCTCAATCCTCCAAAATCCTCCAATATACATGTACACTATGCCCCAAAAGGACACTGCTAGGGGGAGGGAAGGGTGGGAAGGGATGGCTCATACTCAGTACTGACTACGTTATGTAATCAGGTTTGTTATAATCATTGCCGGGGAAGGGATGGGAAAGGAAGGGAAATGAAAGAGGAGGGAAATGGGAAGGGCAAGGGATTAGTTTAGGGGTTTTGTTTTTTTGTGTGTTTGATTTTTGAGAGGATTCTGATACTCTTGGTAGTGACTCAGTTGGTCTTGGGAGGATGCATGATTGGATAAGATGGAGTACTAGTCAGATGTCGTAGTGCTGGTGTTGGCAGTGGTAGATGATGAGAAGTGCTGCTTGTATGAAATAGTGTGAAACATCTACCAGGGCAGAGATGCACACCACAAACAGGGCAACCTTTCCGTGTTGTCTTGGTGCGTCCCTTTCTGGTCACTCCTCCGTGCAATCTGCACCACCTACACCACTTTGGGTAAACCCTGGCATCTTCGAACAGTAGTGGCCCTTGACAGTAGTGCTACAAGTTGCCCTGGACTGGCGGAAGTGTTGTTCTGAAGCACCTTTGGTGTAGCCCGCGATCAGCTCAGTTGCCAGGTTAACAACAAAGGTGGCGTGGGACATCTTTTCTGTGGAAGATATTAAGTTATCACCATCATCATCGTCATCAGCCCCCTCATCCTCCGTGATGTGCTGCTGCTTGTGGCAGATCCATGAGTTAACACGGGCTACATCTAGAAGAAAGTACACCACCTTCTTCCACCAGAATTGTGCCTTTTTGGCACAGGTGAAGTACGCCCGCAGCTGGTCGTTGCGGTCTACTCCTCCCAGATATAATCCAGAACTGAGTTGGGGCCGGAACTGTTGTAACCTTCAATTTGCCAGTTTGTTGATCAGGTACTTTACATGTATGATGGGCTGTGTGGACTTGTGGGTCACGCGATCCCTGATGGCCTTTAGACAAAGTCAGCACCACGTTGCTGTCCTTCCACACAGTGGCAACAACTGGGCCATTCTGGCGGACATAGAAGGTGCCATGTGGGGTCTTGTTCATCTCCTTCATTCTGGGGTTCTGTTGGGTTTTGACAAAATCCTGGGGCAAGCCTTTGCTATTGGATTTTACTGCACCATTGAAGTACACCTTCGAATCCAATAACTCTCTTGCAAGACTCACCGAAGAGTACAACCTGTCAGTATGAAGGTGGTGGTAGGTGCCACTGTGGTGCTTCATGAGGGAGGTCACTATCCCTGACATGGTAGTTTCTCCGAGGGATGCACTTTGAAATTTATCATGAAGCCGGTGGATGCTTCTGCCAAAGGATAGACCTTGAAGCCAGCTCTTATAGGCTTAAGTGGCGTATAGAATTTCTTTACATTGGCACGATACTTGATCATGGCTTCGTCAATCAAAAGACCATTTCGTGGATAGTACTTTTGTAGGCATCGCTTCCTGACCTCATCCCATATGGGTTGTAACAGGTACAAGGGATTGGCCTTCATGTACATGAAGCGGCGCCCTTTGTCTTGTATTTTCTGTGGGTGTTTCCCAGGATCGTTGCAGCTCCAGGATTGATTTAGCTGATCGAACCGATTCCTGGTCATGGTTGTGCTGATTAGCTTGCTGTGAAGGCCAGGATGGGTAGACCAGTAGTGTTGGTAGCTGGACACCTTCACAATGCCCATTAGAAGTTGCATGCCAATGAACGCTCTCATCTCAGCTAGGGATGTCAGTTTTTGGCCAGCTGTACGCAGCTTCTGGTTTGTCCAGTCCACCATTTTGGCCAACAGCATGAGTGGGAAAAACCTGAGGAAGTAGTGGAGGGGTGATACCCCCCGATGGAATGTAGGGCCGGGTGGTGCTGGCCCTCTGAAGTGGTGGATGTTGCGGTCGCTCAGGGCTCTAGTCCATCCGTCTTCATCTGGAGGGTAGTCTGGCTGGTACACGGATGGAGGGTTGGGATCATTGTCCGACATTGGCTGGAGGCCTTTCGCTTTCACCGACTTCTTTCTTGGCTGCTTTTTCCTCACTGTTGGCTCAGGGATGTCGCTAACATCCATTTCTTGATCGGCTACAGTCTCCTCATCCTCTGCCTCCGATTCGTCATCGTCAGTACAACAGGAGGCCGACTCGGCTTCCCTGGCAGCTGCAATAGCATCGTCAAGGAACTCTTCCTCATTCCTGAAGAACTTTCCACCAGGGCCTGGTATTGCCTCCTGCTTCTTACAACTCCTGCTTCCCTGGCACTTATTCTCAGAGAGGCCTGAAGCTGGTCCTCAGCAGCCTGTTTTTGTTGCTTCTTGTAAGCAGTGTCCCTCGACCTTGGTAGTGGAGCTTTTCCTTTACCTTTCTTCTCCTCCCCTTCAGCACTGCTCAAGTCTTCCTCCTCCTCCTCAAAATGCTCCAACTCCTCTAGCTCCAGCTCCCCATCCTCCATCTCCCTCTCCTCCATACTACTCCATTCCTCATCTTCACAACTAGCTTCTACCTCCACCTTCTTTTTCTTCACCATCTTCTTTTGTTTCTTTTCCATCTTCCTCTTTTTCTTCTCCAACTTCTCCTCGTCACCCGTCATTGTCTTCTCTTTGTCACCTGTCTTCCTCCCCTTCTCCTTGTCACCTCCTTCTTCTCCTTGTGTTTCTTTTTCCTCTCCATCTTTTTTTCTCCATGCTCTTCCTCTGAACTACTTCTCAGCTCCTCAGACTTCTTTCTCTTCTGCTTCTTCTTTCCTCCTTTTTCTTTCTTTCTCCTCTTCCTACTCTCCTTCTCACCCATAACTGAAGATAGAAAATGGTCCTTTCCTCCTTGGAAAGGGAATCTTGTAAAGCTTGCAACTCTCTCATGTTACTTGAAGGTTGTTCAAAAACGAACTGGGGACAAGAAGCAATTCTTGCTTGTATTTATAGGAGCCACTAGAGACCTATTACACTAAATCATGTAATATATAATTTCACATTCATTTTGATTGAATGTCTTTTGTGAAGCAAAAATGGCTTTATAACTTTTGAATACTTTGAAAAAGAAAAAAGATTTCTCACAAAATATACCTATCTCTGAGTGGAATGTTCCACTGGATTTGTTATAAACAAAGTACTTGGGTTTCAACACAGTGCAATGAGGGGACTGCATGGTCAGCAATAAAGAATGGGAGATTTGTCCTTGACTCTACTAATACCAAAGAACATGTACATGTACTGTGTGACTGTTGGGTACAATGTACATTGTACATTCATGTACAGGTATGTACATGTACAAGTACACCTACATACATGTACATGTGTGTACTGTACATGTATGTGGTCAGTTTCCACTGTGACCAGCATACATGTATAATGTACAGTACAATGTACATGTAGTGTATATTATAACTGCATGACCGTTGGTGGGATGCAGCCTGCCACATGTACAAAGTAAAATAACCTAAAATCATTTATTTCGAGAACATGTTTCCACAGTCAGTCCCCCAAAATCCTTCTTTTATATCAACACCATTCAGCCTCAATCCTCCAAAAAGTTTTTATGAAAACTTTGCATTCAGCCTCAATCCTTCAAAATCCTTTTCGAAAAAAAACAACATTCAGCCTCAATCCTCCAAAATCCTCCAAAACAACCCAGAGGATTTTGGAGGACTGAGGATGGTTAGGGTTAATGGAGATGGGTCATATTGATTTGTCCTATGCACAAAGCTTGGGTTTACTGGGGATGTTGCGCTGCTTGGTGTTGTGTTTACACTGCTCTACAGAGTACTGGACAGGGCTTATCTTGGAAATACATGCATACAGTACCCTGAACTAAACTGGGGCTAACCTCCTCTCACAAAAAAGACACACACTGTACCAAAACTTCTCATTTTTCTGTTCACTCTCTTTTCTTATTTAAAACCATTCCTTGTTCTTTTTCGTTTTACATGTATTTATGACCATTCTGTTTGTGTTTCTTTGTTCCAACATGTTTTGCATCAGTTGCAGATCTGGATCTAAGTAGTTTTTGGAGCAAACAAAGCAAACCATTATGTTTAGTTGCTTTTAGTTTTGGCTTATCATTTCCTATGTTTTTGTTGTTATTCTTATTTTGATCTAACTTCTGTTTTCCTTTGGTTCTTACTTGGATCAAATTTTGTTTCTTTATGCTGAATGGGCCTTCAAGAAACATCTCTCCTTTGTACACAGATTGATGTTACAGTTGGTCCACCTTGTCCTTGTTCTCACAGGCTGTTCTTGTCAGGCTTGTACCCTTGTTTCTTGCATTGTACACTCATCTACTGAGAAGGATGGGACCAGAGTCGGGTCATGATTCTGGTGCTGTGGTGTACCCTCAGCAAATCAAGCGATCAGGGCATTGGCGATGCTTAGGGTGACCAGCTTGTGGGGCATCATCTTCCCTGTCCATCTTGTAACAAATGAAGGCATTTACCCTTGACACATCAACCAAGAAATTATACAAGACCTTCTTTCACTACTTCATTGCCTGTCTTCTGCATGAATCTTCTCCCCCTTCTCTTTGATGTTTCTCTGCAGGACGTCAGTTGTTATGTCTCTGTATGGCTGGTGGCACGTTGAGATCAGAGACTTCACTTTGGTATCCTTCCAGAGGACCATGGTGAGCTTCCCTTGCTGCCTTGAGTACATCGTTCCTCTTGATGTTTTGTTCATATCCTTCATCTGTTTGAATTTTGCAGGATTCAATCCAGTCAAAAACAATGAACAGACACTTGACACTCCCAGCAGCCCTAACAATCACAGCCAGTCAAATCATGTACACACTCATCTACCACAACAGTCACCAACAGTTGACCCATTTCTTGTTATAGCTTTTTTACCAGTCAAAAACAATCACTTGACTGTTTTTGACTGAAATAGCAACTTCTTATACATTTCACACTTGCATAGGAGGGTTAAGATGTGAGGAGGCAGCATTCATGGCAATGTCAACCATTTTCTTGGGGGTCTTGCTTCATGTGTGGATGATTTAGTTGCACACATATCCAGTTGAAGTTTAAACCCAGCTCAAATCGGCTTATATGGCATGAAAACTTTCTGACAACTTGCCCTCGGTAGGGGATCATGCGTGCAGGTACAATGGTAGGCCCTGAGTTGGCCCTCCGTCCCTTCCTCTCGTGTGCTTTGTGTAGTCCCTTGCTTGAGGGGGGGTGCTGGCACACTTTTTAGTTTCTGTCTGCCTTTCTTATCATTCACTAACTTCCTCTTTAGGATATCAGTCATCGGGTTTCCCATCCCTGGTGGGCTGAAGACACAAGCATCATCATCTTGGTGTCTTTCCAGATCACTGTAGTAAGCTGGCCGTGTTGTTGACTGTAGGAAGTCCTCCTTCCTCTGTGGGTGTCCTTATTTGTGAGGTGTGAGGGTAGCCTGTCTGTAGTCCGCTGTGTCCCAGCTGACCATGTTGACAGGAGTAGAAACAAGTTCTTGGTAACTTCCCATGCTCTTTCACCTTGTTATAGTGGTGTGGATTCTTTTCTTGTTTGCTTCTGAAGTGAACAGGCAGCCCCTTACTGGCCAGTTTTACAGCTCCTGTCAAGTAGGTCTTCTGTGCTTGAATCTGTTGAGCCAGTTCCACTAATGTGTATACATGTACCTGTAGCTTATCCATGTCGATAAGATAATATTTTCCAAAAAGTAGTTGAGAGAATTCTAGCGTAATGTCTGCCATCTTTGCTGGCTTGCCCTTTTGGTATCGGTGGACCATGAAGTCAAGGTAAGCACTTGGAGACACTGTGGCTGCATAGATTTTGAAGCCTTGCCTGATTGGCTTGAGCGGCATAAAGAACTTTCACACCTTTGCTTTGAAGCCAGAATATTTTACCATCACTTCATCAATGACCAAATGCTATCCCACATTATACGTGTACCGGTACATGTATTCGGTCTGGACTTTGGAGAGAACCTTGTCCCAAACTGGCTGGAGAGGATAGAGTGGATTGTTTCGCACATGGAGGAATTGGTGTTCCCTATCCTCAGACATCTTTGGATTCATTTTGGGGTTAGTGTTGGGGTCATCACATGCTAGGTTTCGTTTCAGCTTATCAAATTAATGGCGAGTTAGTTTCAGTAAGACTGTTGTAGTACCTGGGATCAGTTGATCAGTAGTTCTGATTGTAGCGTATCATGTTATTATGTTTCCTTACACTGAAGCATCAGCATTACTTACAAAACCAAGTTATAATAATTTTGTAGAATTGTGCACGGCGGAGCTTGATTGCTCTTTATTTTGCCATTGAGAAACTTGCACCACTAGAAGCCACTGTGCAATCGATCAGGAGGTGTTCGTTATCTGCTTACTGTTCGTTTGTTAAAAATGTTTTGCACTCAACATGCACGTCATGCGCGCATCATGCGCGTGCTGTGTGTTGGTACAAATACCGGTAATTCAATGCTATGTGATCAACGATCTACCAATCGGATGACTGAGATTTATGCAGGTGTTGTATAATATTTGATAAAGAATTAAGAACAAAGACAAAACTTACATTTTCAACAGTACCACACATTATGGAAACTCCCATCCTCACTAATGAATTTCATGTCTTTTCCCTCTGCCCAGTATGTAAGTTTTTACAAGTTTAACCAGGTCCCCTGCAGGTGGCAAGTACATGTAAGATTAGCAACATACCATCAAAGGCTCAGTCATCAATTGTATGTAGAGTGACCCATGGGTCAAATTCAGGATAAAATGAGTTGTGGATCTGCACAGAACAGCACAATCTCTTCCTGCAGTTAGTTTACTGCACAGTTATACCCATGGAAAAGTTAAGTACAGTTAATGGACAGCACAAAGTGTGATCTATTATCCCAGGGGGAGATGCTTGTGCAATGTACAAAATGACACAGCTGTGCATATTTGTGCTGCTGGCCAACTGACCCAGAGAGTGACATTAATATATAGGAGGGTTAGTAGCATATATGCACAGAAAAACTACCGTCAAATCAACTATTTAATGATAGAATTCCAAGTGAAATAGAGCCAAGTGTAATACATGTAGTAGAAAAGAAGTTAATCTTGCATTTACTTGCATTGTCATCACAATATGTGGAATCTCACAATATGTACTATATGTAAATATGCTGAATGTGTGTTTTACTGTATGACTTGTAGTACACGTATATGCTACCTCTGTTTCTGTTCTTAGGTGTTCTGCATGTGTGTAGGTCAGACCTCATATTTCAAGAACATTTCCATTTGTTTACAGAGTATAATGGCACCAATGCTGTTTTATATTATTTTACTTCAACCTGTGATGGGTAAAAGTATTTGTTGGCCACTTTGGGGGAGGGGCAGTTGGCAGGGATACAACTTTGAATCTCTTTGAAAAATATCTTAAGCTCTCGCGTGAAGGATGCATTGATGTCTGAAGAATGGAGGTACATACATGTATAACTATTACATCAGTTCAAGGATAATTATTTGATGTAGGGGCTTTGAGATTGGCATATTGCACCCTTTTCTTGTGTTTTAAAATCTTTCCTCATACACTGCAAAATAAGAACTTTGTGAAACAAGAAGCAATTATTTGTGTGTGATTGTTGGACTTTGTTTGTACTTTTGTTTGTTCTTTGATTGCAACAGAAGTCAAATCTGTACATGCACCTGTACCATGGGATTTTATTTTGTACATTTTGTCTATGCACATTCTTGAAATGTTTTTGAAAGAATTTAATTTGGTTTGCTGCTCCCACTTGCATGATTACATGTATTTTAGGGATCAGTTTTTGTACATTGCTGAATGCGTGGATTAACCCTTGCTCTTGTTGACACTCCAATGCACTGCAATAGTCCCCTTTAAAAAATTGGCTATGTCTATTACACGGCCA